AGATAAATTGCGCGCTGCTTACCCTCTCGACGCGTTCCTCAATGTGGGGAATTGGGTATGTCTGATCCTTGGTGATGAGGTTTAACTTACGATAGTCTACGCAAGGACGCGGATCTTTGCCGGGTACCTCCACAAGAATTAACGGGGAAGTGTAATCACTTTCACACGGCTCAATCACACCCAATTTCAGCATCCTGTTAACCTCTGCTTTTATTAGCTCAAGCCGGCGAGGTGACACCCGATACGTCTTAGATCTTACCGGTTCCGACGAGGTAAGCTCTATGTCATGAGTGAGGACGGATGTCCGGCCTGGCTCGCTTACAAATCTGTCCTGAAACTCGGTCAAAAGACCACGCAATTCCTGCTTCTGCTTCGTTGTTAGTTGTGACTTTGATACTAAATCCTCAACTCTTTTCTCGATCGGGACTTCGTCCGATTCGGGAGCTAATTCAGGGATTTCTGCCGGAACCTCTTCCGGAACATTTAAAGTCATGTTCACGATGGCTTCCCTCTCTTTGTAGGGTTTGAGTAAGTTGCTATGATACACCTGGTGTACCTTACGACTTCCTGGTAATTTTACCACATAGTTGGTGTCAGACAATTTTCGAGTAATCTCGGCCGGGCCGACCCATTGCACTTCAAGCTTATTCTTTTGGGAGGGCCTCAAAAACATGACCCTGTCTCCTACAGCAAAGTGTCGCGCTTTAGCTGTCCGATCGTAGTAAAGCTTAGCCTTCTGCTGTGCTTTGGTCATCGCACTCTCGGTCAGTTCTTGGGCTTTTGTTAGACGATCCAATAAGGTGAGGACATATTCCACTACTACAGGATCATCACCCTGACCTTCCCACGACTCTCTCAGCATACGAAGAGGAGACCGCAGTCTGCGGCCGTAAACAAGTTCCGCTGGCGTAAACCCTGTTGTCTCATGTGGTGCAGTTCTTAGTGCAAACATCGTTGCAGGTAAGCACATTTCCCAGTCAGTTTTCCGTTCAAAACATAAGGCTCTTAACACTCGCTTCATCACGGAGTGAAGCTTTTCTATCGAGTTCGACTGCGGATGGTAGACTGAACTATGCAATAATTTCACGCCACACCGCTCTAGAAAGGTTGTCGTTAAGGCACTCGTGAAAATGGTGCCCTGGTCTGATTGTATCTCGGAAGGAAAGCCTACCCGGGCAAACACGGACAGAAGTGCGTTCACTACTTCCACGGAACTTAGCTCTTTTAGCGGGACCGCCTCTGGAAATTTAGTAGCTGGGCAGATTAAGATCAGGATGTGACGGTAGCCTGAAGTTGTCTTGGGCAAAGGACCTACTGTGTCAATTACCAACCGACGAAAGGGCTCAGTGATTACGGGTACCAGCTTCATTGGAAATTTCGCCTTATCTCCCGGCTTACCCACTCGCTGACACACATCGCAAGATTTTACAAACCTCTCTACATCTTTAAAGCATCCAGGCCAGTAGTATTCCTGTAAAAGACGATTTTTCGTCTTCTTTACGCCTAAGTGGCCTGACCATGATTCTCCATGCACCAAACTAAGCAAATCCTGACGATACGCCTGAGGTACGACTACCTGGTCAAACTCTACTCCTCGCCTATCTAGATATTTTCGATAGAGTATGCCGCTCCTCTCTTGGAATCTCACATTTCGTTTGGCGATTCCCTCTTTCGAACTGTCCTGGAATTGCTTAAGCGTCGGGTCCCCCTTTTGTTCGGTTATTAATGAAGCGGGGCTCACCTGCAGCAGCCGACTGAAATTATCCGAAGTTGGCATGACACACAACTCTTTTGTAGTTCCTAGTACCTGGAATGTGTCCCCCTCTGTGCTATCCTCTGTACTACCAGGAATCGGCTTGGGAGCAACGGCATTTTCTATTTGCTCGGTCAACGAGGCGTAATTGACCCCTTCCAATTCGGGAGGAGGTTCAACGTCGCCTTTAGGAATGGTTGCCTCCGCGACTACGGCTTCTGCAGCCTGTTCTCGCACAAGTCGATTTGTTACCGTGGTGTCCAACTCGCAACCAGGCCCGTTGTCGATTTGAGGCTTGTTTGCCTCAGTGAATGTTGCTCTCGCAGCCAGCGCACGTGCCTTCGATCTAGTCAGTGCCTGCACTGTGCCTTCTCCCAACGTTAGACCTTTCTCCTTCAGCATTTGATCTGACTTATTTGAAAATAAGTAAGGATACTGAGGGGGTAGATATGGCGATACCGCGGCTTCCGTTTCCAACGTACCAAATGCGCCTTTAAGGACAACTTTAGCTACGGGGAGGCACTGACTGTTTGCTTCTACGGCTTGTCTAATCCAGGCACAGTCTCCTGAATACTGTCCGGACTGAACAAAAGACGGATGAACTACGTCCATAGTGGCTGCGGAGTCTCTAAGAACCCGACACTGCTTGCCGTTCACGGTAAGGTCGTACATATAGGGCTCTAACAACTTCATGTTCTCGTCGGTTTCATTTATAGATAAAAAGGCCACCTTTTCTTTCGGGCAATGTTTCGCGAAGTGCCCTGTTTCGTGGCAATTGAAACAAGTCGCCGGTTTTTTCGCCTCAAATTTCCTTTTGATTGCCTCTGCCGACGCCCCATGGTTAGATGCCTTGTTTTCCTCACCCTTTTGTGCGAGACTTGTCGGTTGTTTTCTAAACGGCGCCTTATTCGGTAGTAGGAATTTTTCCTTTTTAGGCTCGCTGTTTGCCCCGAGGGCGCGGCGCGTAACGAATTCTTCAGCGAGCTCTGCGGCTTTCGTTACGGTGTTCACGTCCGGTCTATCCTGCACCCAGAACCTCACCTTTTCTGGTAACCTTTGATAGAATTGTTCCAGACCGATACACTCGAGCACCTTGTCATGATTCCCATACGCCTTTACCTCTTTGAGCCACTCCCCCATGTTGGCCATTAACTTGTAAGCAAACTCCGGGTATGAATCATTGTTCTCTTTTACGGCGTTGCGAAATTTTTGTCTGAAACCTTCCGCTGACAACCTGTATTTCTTGAGAAGGCTCGACTTTACCTCACTGTACTCGTCAGCCTCCTCTTTCGTGAGGCGCGCGATTACTTCTGAGGCCTCCCCCGGAAGTAGGGACAACAAGCGTTGAGGCCACGTATCCTGGCTGAAACCTTGCCTTTCACAAGTTCTCTCAAAGTTGACGAGAAACAGCCCAATGTCCTCCCCTAGCTTGTACGATCTCATTAGGTCCGTCATTTTGAACCTGACCCGCTCTGCGGTACCGGATGCCTCGCTGCCTCCTGTTCTACTATTATGGCTAATCTCTAGCTCGAGGCGCTTCATTTCAAGCTCGTGCTTTCGCATCTTATCTGCCTCGGCTTCTGCCGCTTTCCTTTCGGCCTCGGCCGCCTTTCTTTCGGCCTCGGCCGCTTGCCTCTCCTGAATCTCCTCGACACATTCTGACAGCTCGTCATCCTCCGCCCCCAATGCGAGAATCGCCTCTATCAGCTCTGGCTTTCTTTGAGAGTCCGACACCTCCAGATTCAACTCCCTTGCAAGTAGCAACAACATGGACTTTCGCAGGGATTTCAGATTCATGGCCGCTTCCAGTACCGCTGTCTCTGTTCCACAAAGATTCCTGTCCTGCAACTAATTAACCTTGACGGCAACGACAGCTCTAGGTTCCTGCCTTGCCTCAAGTTTTCCGTTAACTTAGTCTACAAATAAAGCTTCAAACAGCTCTTATACGGAATCCTGCCCTGCCACTGTTAACCTTGACGCCACTGACAGAAGGAGCTTAACCAAGCTATCACACAATTTCTGCCTGACGCAAGTTACCTGTTAACCCAATGACCAAGACAGCCCCTCTCTACCAGCTTTTACTTAACACATAGAGTAAATGCCTGGTAAAATTTAACAGAGAAAGCCGGCACTCACCCAGTTCGCAGTCATGTCTCCGGCGTCGTGCCTCTCAGAAGTGCCGTTCGGTTCCCTTTGGAAGTCGATGAGCTCGTGTAATCCTTCTCCTGTCGTCCCGTTGTTGAACTTCGGGCTCACTCCGTCCAGTGGTCGCTTTCGGGGTTATCGGCATCCCGCCGCTGCCATCCAGTTGTTGGAACTCCGGGTCCTGCCGGTCTCGTTTTCGGTAGCTGGCCCCGTCGCAGGATCCATCGTCCGACAATTCAGCGAGAAGAAGCGCCCGAACGGACAACAGAGATTTATTTACATGTGGAGAAGTGGTCAACTGACCCAAAGAGAGAAGAGTGAGTGTGATACAAAACGTCTTCGGCATTTTATAGCGCCACGTTGTTGACACTGGGCGCCTTGTCCGCATCGTCAGCCAATACGGTGTCCCCGGCACCTCGTCCACGAGGGAGGGGGAAACACCTCTCGCAACACATGGAGTGGCACAACCTAACACGGAGTCCATATATGGTCACGGCGCCCTAAAATGTTACCAAACATGGTCACGAACGCACAGCAGAGTCCGGAGTTCTCCCGGTGAGAGGAGGAGCCTGAATGGGGAGGTGGGGGTGGACGACCCCGTCGGTCAAGAACCGGTTCTCCCCCAAACTCTACTTGCTTGGTTCCCTAGGGCCGGTCGTAACAAGGGGCACAACCTAACACGATGCCCAAATATGGTCACGACGCCCTAAAAATGCCCAAACATGGTCATGAACGCACAGCAGATTCCGGAATTCTCCCGGCGAGAGGGAGGAGCCTGAATGGGGAGGTGGGGGTCGACGACACACAGTCGGTCAAGAACCGGTTCTCCCCGCAACTCCGCTTGCTTGGTTCCTTAGCGCAAAACCAGTGCGTTGACCTTTGTTTTCGCTTGGCTGCAAGGCCGTCTCAGGTGCAGGCTATCCCGGGAATGCGTCGACGATCTCACAGAGGGGTTCGCCAACCTTCGGAGAATCCCAACGCTGGGGCCGGTCGTAACATGGTGTTGGTTTCATTACTTCGCCCTTGCGGCATAGCTGCAACGTTCTACTCTGTATGTGTCCCTTCTGCGCGAAACCATGCCGCTTGTTAACATCTCCAACAGGTTGTTGGTGTTCCGGACAAGAGGCTTGGCGAAGAAGTCTGCGCCTGGATCAAGCTGAAGGAGGGAAAAAGCTTGACCGGAGATGATGTCAAGAAGTTCTGCGAAGGAAAGGTATATATGGTGTTGGAGCAACCAGATTAATTTCTGTTTTGTTTTTATACATGCGTATACGTCATGTCTGGTCTCTGTGCACTGTCACAACTCAGTTTATATTGCGCTGAGGCGGTTTCCGTTTTTTGTATAATTTTTTAAGTACCACTCCTACAAAAGAAAGGCACTAACGTATGGTGTCTTGTGCACAACCCATATTACCCTATTGCACTTCATTCAGCGTCAGTAGAATGTCTAATTTCTGTTATTTTGTTTTCTGCAGATCAGCCACTTCAAGACCCCCAAGTACATTGTCTTTGTGGATACGTTTCCGAAAACTATTTCTGGCAAGATACAGAAGTTCAAGATAAGAGAAGAAAGTCGAAAAAAATTTAACCTCTGAACTTTCCATGTCCATTGCCCATTGTTTTGTTCGTGTTTGTTGAATACAGTTGTGTGTGCACAGCGTCCTCGTGTAAATACACGCGAAAATGTTTTCCAGAAAAAAAAACTATGTGCTTTGATGTGCTGCGACGTGCCATGTGTTATGTAGCGAATATATTTTAACGAAAAGTAGCAATGGTCGAAATTTCTATCTTTAAATTTTTTTCTCGATGTAAAACAGCGCCTCCTAAATGCACTGAACCGCGCATATTGTATGCAGGTGCAAAATATTCTAATTTTTTCATGCTCGAAGCATGCACTACACTGGGAAATCTCGCTGTCATACACAGCAGGGCAAGAAAGTGCATTGGGCAGAAAATTGCTTCAAGCAGTATAGCGATAGCCCGCTGCTTGCTTCAGCGCCTTCCCGTTTATACCCTGCGGTAAGTTTTGCAGCCACTCTATAGGGTTTTATGTTTACGCATTGTGTACGAAAAGCTTCGCAAACAATGGAAGATGTGCAGGTGTTCAGTTGTCCGTGGACTATACGCACGTCGCGCGAGTGGATGGCAAGTTGCTTAGGAAATAGGAATACAGCGGATATACGAGTGCCGATTCCTGCAAAGAGGTATGCATATTTGGAGGTGATAATACCTTTCTGGTACCGTACTCTAAGCGACGTTCGACAAGCAGCATGCTCTACAGCGGCTTTATCTTACAGTAGTCTGTGTTATCAATAGCCTCTACGAATGCTTGAAACCCGTAGACCATTTAGGTGCGCGTTTAAGGAACCCCATAGGGTGGTTGAAAATTTCGGAGCCCCCCACTCATAATGATATCGGGGTTTGGGGACGTTATACCCATTATTATTATTATTATTATTATTATTATTATTATTATTATTATTATTATTATTATTATTATTATTATTCGATGTTCACGTTCAGTATCAGCGTCATATTAATGTCAGCTTCACTCTTCATTTTAATATTGCACTTCACATGGGTCGGCCAGAAATCTCATGCGCGCACCGTCTTTCTGTGGTCATTGCTTTGCTGTATGAACTTGTTCTGCATGCGCCACGTTGCGATCACTCTTTTCGCGTCTGGCAGCTGCTGACAAAGAACGTTCTCTGCACTGTTATCTTATCTGCGATATTCAACTGATGTATTTATTATACTTGTCCAAAGACGGTTTCATTGAATCCATCGGTCAGATTACGCTGTATGGTATCTCTTTGACCATATTTAAGAAACGATGCCACTGCATCGCCACATCACCGATTCCACCAGTTCACGGAGGGCAGGGAGGAAGAAGTGACCACCATCTCTCGTGTGCACGCAAACCACGAGACAGAAGAAGAAGAAGCAGCTCACCGAGTGCAACCAACGGCTTGAGATCTCACTCGATCACCGTTTAACCGGTTGAGCACTATTACCAACCACATTTTCTGCGTCAGGGACACTCCCGTCTAGTTCGGGCGCCACGCACTTCAAGGATGCCGCAGACGCTGCTGCCGTCCGACGACAGGACGCTGTTGATCAGTCGCGGCACTCGGCGCCTCGGCGAGATACTCAACAAGCGATGCTACTGGGCCGGCGTCTGGGCCCTCACGGCCGTCGTCTTCGTCATGCTCGGTGTCACCACGATCCCTCAGCTCGAAGCCTTTTTTGCGCCGGCCTACCTCTCCGTGAACGTCACCGAAGACTCGCTAGACGAGCCGCAGAAAACGAACGACTCAATCGGCGAAGAGATGGCTTCCCTGGCTGCAACGTCGCGCCCGCGACCACAGCCTTACGTCTGCAGCACGGGCGCCTGCGTCAAGGAAGGCAAAAGGGTAGTCAAGGCCGTCGACAACTCGACCAATCCGTGCGACGATTTCTACCGGTTCGCCTGCAATAGGTGGATGGCCTTCAACAAGCCCGGCCCCAAAGATGCCAGGGCGTCCGTCGACGACCGCCTCCTCTACAGCTACGCCGAGATAATGACCCGGGTGTTGGTCCAGAAGCACAGCGTCGTGCCGTCGGTCAAAGTGCTTTTCGACAACTGCGTCAACCCCACCGCCGAACTCTTCGAGCACATACGGGGCGTCTATTTCTACCTCCTCGGCTTTCAAGACTGGCCCTACCTGAGCGCCAGCTCGGGCAGAATCAGCGCCGACGAAGTGTCTTCTAAGATGGGTGACCTCCACCGCCACCTGGGCATTGACAGTCTCTTCCATTTCTCGCTCGTCGAAGAATACGAAAACAACGGCACCCTCTCACCCGTTATTGGGGAACCGAATCTCCTGCTAGGAAAACTTGAAGGCCCCCTGAACGAATACCGATTCCTCAGTGACGCGTTTCAGGCCCTGATGCACTCTATGGGCAAGGTCGCCGACACCGACATAGCTCAGTTCGAACTGGACCTCGCCCAACGAAAGGCGTCGCACACGCACGACTGCATGCTTTTCCCCAAGCACTGCGGCGCGATGAGCCTATCGAACCTTCCCAACTCCAGGATCTTCTCTTGGCGTCTTCTGTTGGATCGAGCCTTTGGTGATCGCATTTTGTCCATGACCGGACACAAGGTCAAGGTGACAAGCTTGGAATACATTTCCAGTTTCGCGAACCAAGGAACGCTACCGCGAAAGGCGGACGTTCTCAATTACATCGTGTTTCGCGTCTCCATGGCACTCTCGCCGTTCATCAAAAACGCCGAGCTGAGAAACAAGCTGGCCTCCATCGCGTACGCTGACCAGCCCGAGTTCGCCAAGCACTTACCTGCCGCCCACTACTGCGTCAAGTTGCTGGACCGCATGGAACCTTACGTGCCCATGATACTGGCCTACAGTGGCTCCGTCAAACTGCTCGGCTACGAAACGCTGAGAGACCTGCTCTTGAAGCGTCTCAACGCCAGTTTCTACGAGACCGTGCGCAACGACACGCGTTTCTTCGGCGCGTTCAAGGACAGCCTGCTGAAAAAGCTTCGAGCTCTTTCCTGGGAACCACTGGTGCCACGCAGTTTCTTCGACAAGGCGTTCCGCAACAAGTACTTCAGCAACATGTACAGCAGTAACCCGACACAGCCGTTAAACGCCTTCTTCTATTACTGGCTGAAGAATGCTATGATGAGGCGAAACTGGCTATCGTCCGACTGGTACAGGCAGTACAGAACTGGCTGGAAAGGAGGCTTCTTGCGCACTTACCCGACCCTCGAAGCGCCGTACCGAAACCTGGAGATACCGCTGGCCGTGTTCGATTTCGTTATGTCGAGCCACGCATCGGTCCAGCTGCTTCACGTGCCAAGAGTGGCCACTCGGGTCTACCGCAGCCTCTACCGTTTTATATATTACTGGGCGTACACGTTTTATTTCCACACGACCGCTACGGACCCGGTGTCCGTCTTGGAGAACATGCGGGGTTGCCTGCAACAGGACTACGCCTCCTTGAGGTCTCCTTTCTCCAATGCGTCCTTGAACAGCGAACGGACTTCCCTGTCGGACCTGTTCGATGTCTTGGCGATCCCTGCGGCTTTTGAGGCCTTCCTGGCTGAAGCGTTGAAAGGATCCAGCGCTTTCCAGCTGGCGGGAGCGCTGTCTTTTACGCATGAGCAGCTGTTCTTCCTTTATTACGCCTTTGGGCACTGTGAGAACAATAACCGCGACTTCTTGGCCAAGTGGATGCGCCAAGGGTCTGAAAGCCCTGCGTGGTATAGAGTGAACGGACCTCTCCGCCATTTTCCGGCGTTTTCGAAGGCGTTCAAATGCCCGGCTGGCAGCTTCATGAACCCCGTTAAGAAATGTGTCAACTAGCAGCAACCTGGTCTTAAAATGTTAGCTGTTATTGAATGTTTAGATACAATATTACCATCGGGAGTCTACATTAGCGTTACAGCCTCCTTGATATAGCGACTATTTTACCTAGTAGATGTGGGCGTCGCCGTCTTGGGCTATTAAGCTGATGTTTTCTTGCATTTGTATATCGTGATATGAATTGATAATATCAAGAAACGTCGTATGTACCAACCAAACCGCTTTCATGCGTACGCGTCCATACTGAAACCCTGCTCGTTTAGTTGTCAGAGGCGAAACACTATAGGTTTACAGCCCAACATGGCGGCGGCACTCAAACCTATCCGTAATGTACGTTTTATTGGCGAATCCGCGTCTTGATCTTTCCAGAAAACACGTTTTGCCAAGCTTCATACTTTTAACAATGGAGCCGTAATTCGGTATTGCGGCCTGTCGCAAAGCTATCATAAATGGTTATGTGCCACAGAAATGGGGTAAGTCCTCCCACTCGCTACTGGTCCACTAGAAATGAAGGCAACAGCCCAACACATGGCTGCGACGCGACGGCGGGGTGCAGCAGAGTCAGAATAGGTACAACGGGAGAATACTATAGGGAACGGGTAAGGTAATGGGGGATAAGGCCTATAAACAATCTATAAGCAACCAAAGAAGTCTTCACAACGGTCCATGGAGTTTGTTCAGGCCTCTCGTAGCTTTATAGAAGCTTCGCCAGTTTTTTTTTTTTGTTACACGCGTTAAAGGGACCTTGCAGCGCTTTTAGTAGCCATGGAATGGATTGTCTAAAGAAGCACAATGTCTCACGAATTCACCGCCCCAAAAATTTTGAGAATCCGTCCAGTGCGAGCGGAGCTACACAATGATTTGCCACACGCTGCAATCGCAATCTCTCTTCACTCGTCTCGACAGAAACGCTGGAAGCTTGCTTGGTTACATTTCTGTTCTTACTTGCTAAAGGGGATCGGCCAACAAGCCGGCGGTTAGTGCAAGTGAAAAATTGAGGTCGATGCAAGGGGATAGGAAACGTGATTAGCTTGTTTCTTTTTTAGGAAAATATAAAAATTTCTGACACAAAAAATTTAAAAAAGAAAGAAGAAAAGGTAATAGTTATTCGAATGACTCGAAATTATTCATAATACTTTAATAGGTTAACATAATGATGTGACGATCTATCGCACCAACCTCAAATCAGCCATTGGTCAGCAAATGGGAGAATCAGCCTACATCCCAGGCCTGGTTGTTGATAAGGCTGAGACGTAGTAATTTTGAACCGGTAGCGTCACTTATCGAGAGATGAGAGAGCAATTTTCAGCTGGCTTTAGGAATTTATTTTAAGTTCCAGGCCACGTGGTGTGCTATAATATTTGGCTGGCATGCGTTCAATGAGCTGTACGATTGGTTTACACAAGAAGCTCAAACGTTCGGCCCTTAAGCAGTGTTTGCTGCCCGTGTGTTCTCTTGTTATTAATTTTTTTTGTGGGCCAGTGTTGTCTCCCTCCCAAGTACTGACCGAGTCCTACCAGTGTGGTGAGTAGTAGCATTTTCCCAAATTCTGTCGTACATTCGTGGCATAGAAGTTTTATAGCGGATTTGTTATGGTGGGGGAGTGAAAAAGAAGGCCACTGAACGACTGCAGGGAAAGAGAAAAAAAAGGACATAGAAAAACAGAGAAATTAACGAAAGCCTTAGGAAGGCATAGATGCGAAGGGACAGGCTTTAAAGAAAGATAGATAAGGAAGAGAGCAAGCATAGTATAGAAAGGGATGGGAAAGAGACAAGTGAGAGGGTAAAAACCTAGCCAAGTCAGAACGAGCAATGTGTCCTTTCTTTTCTTCAGAGCCTTATCATACACTTGCGTGGCTTTGTGGGGGTTAAGCTGACTGTCACACAGGAGGGCTACGTTCTCTTCCGTCTCAACGCCTGGATTTTATATATAATTTGCATTATTTGTGATCTTTCTCTCACGGACCTTGAGAACCGCGTGCTTAGATTTAGGTGCACGCTAAAGAACCCCAGGTGGTCCAGATTTCCGGAGCCCTACACTACGACGTCCTTCATAATCATGTTCTCTCAGAGAAAATGTAACGTTTTCTTCGCAGCCAACTCCTCCGACACCAATATGCCAATACCACAGTATCTGTAACCCTGGCTAATTAAACAACGAGTGCTAAAACTGGGTACTAGACTACTTCGGATGCTCAAACTGACCTTTGGAGTTAATTAAACGCAAGGAGTTACGCGGATGTTTGTTCGAATTCCGCGCCTCTTCTACCGTTTGTCTAGGAGGAGAAAATGAAGCGTGCGAATGGAAACATAACGCGAAATGGAATCGAGGAAGGCATTAGTTTACAGAATTCAGTAAAACCTAATGTCTTGCTTTTTGTGTTCTTGGCTTTCAAGGTTTGGGTGCTCTTCTAGTGTCAAGTCACCCGTTGTCTGAAGCGTACGTTTTCAAACTCGCTTCGGTTTCTCATCAGAGACGATCTTCGCTTCCCTGCCTTCGTTTTGAAGAGCTCCCACGTTGCTTACTTCAAGGTTTTGTTCTCATTTCTTTAATTAAGTCACAAAAAATAACAACAAAAAATACGCGTAGCACGTTCCTTGCTCTGCTTGTACCTTTCTAGAAGTGAAACCGAAAGTTTCAGGGCCGGCGCAGTTGTGAAACCTGATACACGCATTTTTGTGTGGCCGCATGAAACGAGCTGTCCTGTCACACAACAGTGCTTAGGGTTTCCAACTTTGCGCAGATTTAACAAAACTATGACCCTATTGTTGTTCTACTTTCAGGCGACGCAGAGATTCGAGTTTCATTTTGTATTTTCACTTGTACCTGTTGATTTTCTATGGGCAGGTGGCGCCAGCTGCGAGGTGACGTGATGTGCGTTCGTTTGGTGTGTGCGCGCAGTACGTAGCGTACGCACGCAGAAAAAGCTGCTGTGGCCTCCCCGGCTTCTCCTCGCACCACTTATTCTGCGATTTACTTTTTTCCCCTCTCAAAATGTGGGCTGCTCGAACCGCTTCCTCGTTGGCCACGCATGGGGTATCCCAGCTTTATCAGGTACGGTTGATAAGACCTCGTAACCCGCTTTGATCTGTGCGCCCGAGTTCGTGGTTTACGGTTGCAATTTTCACCCTACGCTTCGTACGGAAACACGCGAGCTGCGCAAACGACTCGTGCCTCTGCAATTGGCGAGTACAGGTAAGGATCGTCTTTCGCGGTCCCGTGTCCGCGTTGCATCCCCAGTTGGAAGTGCGCTTGGGGCAACCAGCAGAAACCCGATCACGCTACGTGAGCTGTTGATGTCGGTGCTCGTATGCGGCGCTCGTCAGCATGTTTTTTTATTTTTATTTTATCTGGGCGACGCTTGTTGGTGCACAGTTGTGTCACAGCGCAAAAAGAAAAGGAACTGCACATTTCTGTTCTGCACGGCTCAGCATGTACACCTGTCATCCTTTTAAGGAGCTTGTAGAGCGCTGAGTTGTGGGTCTGCGATCTCTCTCTCTCTGCGGCACGTGAAGCCATTTCGTTGCACTGTGCGTTTGGTTTCGTTTTAATTGCTCCAGCTCTTCAATGCCGGTGTTGTATTTTGCGCAGCATGTCGAAAGCCGAGAGCCAAAGGGAACACGCTCCTAGGTTTCTGACGCCGCCGTCAACGCCAAGGAGGGTCATTGCATATCAAGAAAAGCTGAAGCAAACCTTCAATCCAAGCGTGTTTCTGCAAAATTTCAACTTTCCAATACCGTTTCGACGAAAACCAAAACCAAAGGTAAGCAGCAGCGATACGGATAAGCACGCAAATATTTTGCGGGAAGATTAACACCTGCAAGTTGATGTCACTATCCTGATATGTGATTAACAGCTGGGCATTTATATTTTGTTTACAATTCAGCATGTCAATATGAAGATTGTTGGGACCTGCCTGTGGTAGCTGCAAGTGAAATTTAATAGGCTGTTTGTAATTACTTCAATTTATCGATTAATAGCCTCACTATGGCTATGTTTAAGAGTTCATTGAATTGTCTACTGGTGTAAACTGACTGCTCACATTTGAACTGTTGTTTTTCAGCCAAGCGAAGATACAACAGTGTTTCCTACCCCTTACAAGACGCTTTACCATCCGAGGGCTGCGAGGTACCAACCATTCCGCAGGTCGGAGTTCATCGAACTCGCCAACTTTGGTGTGGTTGAAATCGACCCAACTGAGAGTGGTGTGGGGCACGACTTTGAGCCGGTGGTGTTCAAGAATCCAACTTGGTGTGACTTGTGCGGTGACTTTGTGTGGGGAGCCTGCAGTTTACAGCAAGGGCTTCAGTGTCAAAGTGAGAAAACGTTGCTGTTTTTAGCAAGTGACAGTAAAGAGTATGAATTTTATTTGGGCACGGATAGGTATTCGTATCTCTGGCTGATTTTGACCATGCTATGAAATTATTTGCACTGCTGTAGAAGCCTTTCGCCTTCGGAAACGAAGGAAAGATATGCCTGAAATAATTCAGCTGTTCCCAAAACGGGAGAAAGAGAACCACATTACTAAGTTTGTGTCAAATTTGAATCAATGCATTTCAAGCATGCATTGCGGCTCAAAGGTGCTCAGAATAGACATGGCTAATGTGCTCCTTGTGCTCAATCATGACCGAACTAGTAAGAACGACCCACTGATGTAAAATTTGCAATTTTTGCAGCAAACATAAATGTTGAGAAAATAAACAATCTATACTTAGAAATGTGGTGGCCGTATAGTAATCTCGAATCTTAATAAGAGCCAATATAGCTACAAGAGACAATATAAGAGACAATATAGCTAAATGCAGCAGTCCTAATTGACTTGAAACACTGCGATTCCTGCACAAAGACTTCTGATATGGAACTTGGTTGCTGGGAAGTCTGTATATGTTTCATTCACAATGCTTTAAAGTACGTTTTGGTAGATTATAAGTAGGGCTGGACATCAACTCAATATGTAAACCTGCACAGCTCAAAAATTTTAATTAGTAATCAATCTTTTAGATTGACTTTTCTACTGTTGCATCAGGACAAACTTTGCAGCAGAAAAAAATTGCTATTTGAATTTATAGTGACGCCCTGTAGGAGTGAAGTGTAGCGGCGTCGTATTTACACGTATGTCGCAGCAGTAACATATCGTATATCCTAGTGCATCACAGTGAATGTATGTTGTGTACATGTGGGGCGTCCGCTTTCATATTAAACAAGTGGGAAGCTTTGTTTTACAAGTTTGTTTAGCCGGCGAGAGAATCGGAGTGCTTGCCTGCAGCCGTTTTATTTATTCACTCTTTCTGTATAATATACCAATGTTTATGTGCCCCACGCAAGTCAACTGGCATGTCTTGATGAGTCCTCTTCTAGTGCAATAATGCAATTAGCCTTCATAGTACATTCATTACAAATGTCATTACTATTCACAGTTCCGGGGGTGAATTTGTAGTGCATACGATTCACTACAAGTGTGATATATGTGATGCGCTACTTATTGATTTAAAGGTGTATATTTACACTAATGCAGCCCAATGTCCAGCTGTAAAAGCAAATACCCAAGCTTGGCATTCAGTTTTGCTTCCGCTAAGTCGAAGTTCACTTCTTATGATCATCTCCTCACTTCATAGAGTGGCCTCATCTTACGTCTCATTCGACTGGCCTTTTTATAGTGCCTTGTGGCATTGTTTACAATCAGATAATTAAAATTTGTAACTGATTTGCATGGTTCGTTTGGGTTGCTGCATTCTAGTTCGAAGCACTCCAAGTCACCTTGACCTTCTAGCTGCTAGCATGACTAAAGGACAAGAGAGAATTGTTTGCCTGACTCCTTGGAATTATTCGGGAAGTACATGTACAATGGATTTTCTTCGTCTTCAATTTACAGAAGGCTGTGCGTCACCCCCAAACTGTGTTAAAATATAGCAGTAACCAGTTGAAATGTACCTGGAAGATTAAGAAGACCAAAGGTCAACGTGAAGTTTCTTTCTTTGCTGCTCAGCAAACAGAGTGGGTGTGTTGTTGCTCCATTCTCAGACTTTGAGACCTCAGTTAATTAACTGCGCTAATGAAAAATTGACTGTGATTGAAGTAACAGAACAAAGTAATGAGGTTGAGAAATACGTTGCCCTAGCTCATAGACAACTTCTTTTCATTTTAACTGTAAGTTATACTTATAGGCATGCACACGAGGGGGACTGGTGAGGTGACTGATTCCCCTGAATAACTTAATAGGGTGCACAAAGCCTGTCTCACATTTTCACTCAGCCGAACATGTCCTGTCATTGCTTGAACAGCACGATATGGCCATGAATGTTTTCGACGATAATGGCTGCCGAAGGCCTTTTGTGTCGTATTCGAAGAACTGTTTCCCTTCCTATCTTTAATCCCAGAAAGCTAATGACCAACGGCAGTCATTATCAGAAGACTGTCGTCACTACATTTTCATTGTAGAGCATGTTGTCATGTTTTAGATCAATCAACAGGGGCAGGGAGAGGGGGGGGGAGGCATGGGAGTGAAGACTGAGATTTGCCTCCTCCCCTTCCCCCTCTCCTCGATGAGAAACCCTGCACACTTCTATGGTTATGCAGAGCACCTTTGTCACCTTATTGTACTGTTTTTCTTCTTTTCAGACTGCAATTTTACTTGCCACCTAAGGTGTCGAAGTTTTGTCGCATTAGACTGCAAAGGCCAAGGGGAAATGGAAACGAGCGACCTAAGCGAGCAGAAGCAGGACGAGAGAAAGGAAGGAAATGTGAGTTTTATTACTTCAATGCCCTTGGTGTCTTCCTAACTGCAGGTTGTATTAGGGTAGGGCAACAGGGGTGATTAGAAGTGCATTATCTCTCTGTAAAAGCAATAAAAGGTAAGTGCTGTTTGTTTATAAGTAGGTATTCAGTGTAAACGCTGTGAATAATCGCCAGTGCACATTATACCATTGCACAAGAAACTGCTCAGCCTTCTTTTGAAGCTCTAAGGCCTGTCCACTAGAGTTGTGAGTGCTGTCAGATGTACCTTTTGCTCAACTGCTCAACACCTGTACTAATTTTGTTTCTGTTCTGATGCCACGAGATAAAAATATGTTAATATTTTTAAAAATGATAACGCTACTGTTTTTAAAATTGTTGGTGACCTGATGCTCGGCTTCATTTTGATAAATACCTGCATTATCTTAGTATAGTAAAATCTTGCTAAACAGAACCTGAAGGGACCAGGAAAGTGTGTTCTATTCAAAAGAAATTTCGTTTACTCAAAGTTGAGCAGGATTGCAGAATATAAGCCCAAATTCCATCATATAAGAGGCAGCTGTTCCATTTAAGCTGCTATTTTCTTTTAGATACTTTTATTTACTAAGATTCTACTTTGTTTGCAAGGCCTTGGACATATAGGAGAGGGACAGTTGCCTTTGATGCAGAAGTAAACATGAAGGGCAAATGACACAGATGTTGGCATAACATCAGAGTTTCAGAACAAGCCAGTTACGCGGTTGAGTACTGTGTTAGTACGCTTGATGTTTGCTAAGGAAGGAAACAAAAGGCTAGCCTGAAGAGCACTGTAAGTGGCCCTTTCTTGCAAGTGTTAAATCGCATGAGCTACTAATATTGTGGGTTGGCTTGGGTAGTGCATATCATAGTCTGCACTGTAACAATTACTAAGCAAATCTTGAAATTTCAAATAGTCAACAAACTTTCCAACATTTGTTGTGCCTATACTCTGTCATGTCTATTGTGCTGCTGTTCTGTAAACATTGTGCATTCAGAGTTTTGTCATAATGAAGATGTAGTCGTGCAGTGCCTTGCTTTGAAAATACTTTTGGCAGGAGACAATTTATGTGTTGATCACTTACACATATTGTCTTGTGCATCCTGTGAAACATCAGTAAATGCTTTCTTTCAAAGTGACCTTTAGCCTTACTAAAGTGTTCACGAGATGATTCGTTGCCTCAAGGATGTTGGTGTACTTTTCTATCACTAGTATGTATTCCCTAATTTAGTAGCTAGCGTGATAGGCTTTAGCTGGCTAACCAAGCTTATTGATTCACTAGCAGTGTTCAAGGCTGATCATGGATGAAGCACTAATTTGCTACTTGAAACAAGAATGCTTGATCAGTTTAGTATGTGAACCAATTATTGCGTCACATTGTATGAATGAGTCTTATGTAAAGCTTTTGGTATATGCTGAATGGGCTTCAGTACTAAAGCATTTGCAATCTCATGTTGCATAAAAAGTGGGGTGGCAGTCTTTTACAAATAAATACTGGTTGGTTTATCCAACGTACGGACACTGACAACTAGACTGCTGGGTAGAGATGTTGAGGCTACAGAGGCTGCACACGCTGGCAACGCAAACAGTGCAAGAAAAAGACCTTGTAGTAGTGCTCAAACATGTCACATTTATGACTATTACAAACTTCTTCATGCATTGTATGTCCCATAGCAGTGAGCTTTTTAACTGTTTACTAATGAATGCGAATATTACCTACTTGCTCCAAACAGGGTCGTATATCACCATTGTTTCTTGAGGACTTGCCTAGAGATGAGCTAATGTCACGAATTCAGTCCTACAACCTACAAGAACCAGGGCTTGACATGGTTTTGGTAAGCTACTGCACTTATTTTGTACTTCCCGGCTTTACTTATTACCCCCTGATTATTGTAGCAGCAAGAGGAATCAACGACATATTGTAGACGTTGCCAAAATGAGTGTTCACTGAAAGCCAGAGGTTAGTTGTTAGTAAAGTGATTAAAATTGTACGACCGCCCAATTGTAGGCATTTTCTATTTCTGCAATAATCACTACCTTTCTCTCTGACATGGCACCAAATCAACATAAAAGTAGAATTTGCTGAAGTATTTTTTTTTATGGAAAGTACTATATCAGTGGACTTAATATATACTGTAATGATCTGTATGCATAGGGTATACTTTAGGCATTTCTTGTAAAGCTCTGGCAGAGTGCTTAGTTATGAGCACTATATTAAAAGGTCGCATTCAAGGTTCTGTAACAAATCTTATAGTAGCACTAATAGTTTACTGAATGTGACCAATCGCAGCTGTGACTAAAACTGTTCTGTCAATACCATGATAGTACATAACTGTACACGCACATGAAAAGTCCGCCTTTTTGTTGAGTACAAACTGCCCAGTTCTGTAGCTTGCAAATTCTTTCTATTTCCCTCGAATGCAGCAAGAAGACGGGTCGGTACGAGGTTTCGTGAGAGTGCGCATGAACCTGATGCGTCCCATCAACGTTGTCGCCGGTACAAGACCTCCGTCCATTTACAACATCCTCAAGGATGAAGACAGTGATAGAAAAACGCTTACTTCCTTCTACCTGCCCAGGGACACTATAAAGGCTCTTCACATTACGAGGTAAGCGGGAAGTCTTCTTATGGTAGCATGAAGCTTTGCATCAACATAAGAGTAGAGAAAGCCCCAGTCATGATAGTTTCTGCTGGTACTGTTCTTCAGCATAGTTAAAAGACTCTTCAGCATAAGTTAAGCGAGTCTATTTTTATTGTAGTCCACACAAAATAGTTTCACGATTCCTCAGCTCCCTTAAAAGTGTGGAGATCTGTACATTTAGCTGCCCAAGAAAAGCCGCATTGTGTGCCCACTGTAAGAATGCACAGCAGTTTCTTTAGCAGGTGTGGGATAGAACAAAGTCCACCGAAAGTGAGCGAGAAAACAGACGGGTATGAGGCGTGAAGATCTACGTAAAACAAATTTGCCTGCTAACTGATTTATAGCTGACTGAGCAGTGATAATCGGAACTTTCATTGTGAAATATGGCAAGTTGCTATGGGTCCCTGAGCATGATGTCATGGAGAGATAACAGCATTTAGGGATGCTGTTGTCTGGGTCACTCTCCAATATTAGCAGAGAACTCGGTATTCTGTTTATGAGTATACATGTTCTCATTGAGTGCTTTTGTTACACCTAGATCTGATACAGTGAAACCTCGTTAAACCTTACCCGCGTAAACAGTAGTTCTGTTTTAAAAGTAGTGAAGTCAAATCCCCGACCCGGCGGCCATTGAACATAATGCATTTTGTATCCGCATAAGCCGTACCAGCTTATCGCGTATACCGTATTTACTCGATTCTACCGCGCCCTCGATTGTAACGCGCACTCATTTCCACCGTGAAAAAAAAAAAAAAAAACGTAAGACATCGATTGCAACGCGCACCCATTTTTCTCGCTGGCCCGCACGATCACACCACTCGAAAAAACGACTCCTTTCGGGAGCGTCTTCCATTTAAATATGAGGTACGGGCGAAGCTTGTGCCCATCTGACGTGTAACAGAGCATTGCCGTCACTGTAGTTTTACCGTGGATTAATGTCAGCACGCGAACTTGCTTCATCCCCTTCTCGACGTTTGTGGTGCCAGGCATGTCGAAGTAACGAGGCGTCTGATCGGCATTCCCGATTTGCCCAAGCAGGTAGCCGTTGTTGCGCCGCAAGTTTAGGACGAACCTCTGAAAACTGTGAAGCTTTTCATCGTACTCCTCCGCAAAACTTTTCGCATATGCATGTTCCCCTTCGGAGGGAAAAGCGTTTCCTCTTCATAAAGTTAGTTAGCCAGCACCTGCTCGCTTTAAACTGGCTCCACATTAGACCTTTTTCTAAGACTAATTGCATAGCCCGCACTTGGAGCAGTTCTGTCGTCACGGGCCGCTGTGCCGCTCGCTGCTCAAGCACATACTCGCCGAGCAGCTCTTTAATTTGCGGAAACCGACCCTGCTGTGGTCCACTGAAGCCTTTGCGTGAGCTTTGCTGTCGACATTCTTCTGCTTTTGTTTCCGCTGGTCCCGCACACACGTTTCGGGAACTCCGAACGACCGCGATGCGGCCCGATTTCCGTCCGTTTCCGCACACGCGATGGCTTTTCTTTTAAAAGCGGCATCGTGGTGCACTCGAGTTTTTGGAGTCGGCCCTTCCACGCCGTCGATGCTAATGCACTACTAGATGACGGACTCCTCAGCACACGTACGAAGTGCCGCACATGGGAAACACATAGGCAGAAATGGCCAATGCGGCGCCATGCCGACGAACGTAGGGGGCGGCCATTTTGGATTTGCCGATGGCAATAGATTGAACGTATTTTTTTTGTTCGTACTCGATTCTAACGCGCATGCGATTTATGAACTCGCTTAACCGGAAAAAAGGTGCGCGTTAGATTCGAGTAATTACGGTATATTGGTTAATAAGTAGTTTTTCCAATTTTCGTTGCGCACTCGCCGCGGCATGTCGTGCCCCACTGGGTGTCCCGACAGAACAGCAAGCCACAGAGATCGAAGCACGCCTCGCTTGTTTGTGTTGATGATGATGGCGGCTGTGTTGGTGAGCGCCATCTCTTGGATTTTTCTACAACAAGAAGCACTCGGCCGGCTAGGCTTCTGGTGTTGTCCACGCAATGGCGCTTTGCACAAACATGCAAATTAGAGGAAAGTGTACTGGGCTTCAATCTCTCTTTCGTCAAACAAGGAAAACTCATTGAACAGGCACTACCAGCGTTGATGTACGCAGATGATATAGTGCTAATGGCCGACAACAAGGAAGATTTGCAGGGATTGGTGGACATTTGCGGTAATGAGGGAGATAGGTTAGATTTCAGATTCAGTAAGGAAAAATCAGCAGTCATGATTTTCAATGACAATGAAGGTAGTGAGCTTAGAATACAGGAGGTCATGCTAGAGATAAATACGAATATCTGGGCATATGGATAAGTGATGGGGCCGAGTACCTAAGGGAACACGAAATATACGTGTCGACTAAAGGTAACAGGAATGCAGCGGTAATGAAAAACAGGGCACTGTGGAATTACAATAGGTATGATGTTGTGAGAGGAATATGGAAAGGGGTCATGGTTCCTGGTCTGATGTTTGGCAATGCGGTCTTGTGCATGAGATCAGAAGTTCAAGCAAGATTAGAAATCAAGCAACGTGGAATAGGTAAGCTTGCCTTAGGAGCTCACGGGAATACACCAAATCAGGGAGTACAAGGTGATATGGGATGGACATCATTTGAGGGCAGGGAATCTAGCAGCAAGATAAAATTTGAAAAGCGATTGAGAGAAAGGGGGGAGGAGCGTTGGGCTAGGAAGGTATTCAGCTACGTGTACGTGAAGAATGTCGATACAAAATGGTGGAAGCGAACCAGAAAATTGACTGGTAAATACTTGGAAAGCAGCAGGGGGCCAAACCAAAAAGAATTATCGGTTAAGAAGAAGGTGAAGGAAGCTGAGACCTATATGTGGAGAATTGGCATGATTAAGAAGTCCGCACTAGAGATCTATCGAACTTTTAAGCAGGAAATCGCCAAGGAAAGGATCTATGATAATACTCGGGTTGGTTCTCTACTGTTTGAGGCCAGGAGGGGAGTATTGCGAACCAAGACATATCGGGCCAAATACGAAGGGGTAGACACGGTGTGCAGTGCGTGTGGAGAGGAAGAGGAAACTTCCGAACACTTGATAATGTTCTGTAAAGGGCTTCACCCTATAGTTCAAGATGATGGCGCAGAGTTTTTCAAAGCACTGGGGTTTAGGGACAGTGAGGGCAAAATAGACTTTAAGCGGGTAGAATTAACTAGAAGAAGGTTATCTGATTAGTGGCTAAGGTCAAGGCACGAGTGAAAATTAAACCCTTCACTGCAAAGTACGAATCCTCAACCTCACTATTTAAGGGAAAAAAAATAAATATAGTTTTTGGTTCATTAAGCATTACGGCTTGGTGGCGCTAGCCACCGCCCGATCTAAAGGGTACAGCTATATCCAAGCATCCATTCATTCAAACACGGTGTGCGCTTGCTTTGCTTTCTTTGTTCCTTTGGCACCGTGCATAGGTGTTCTCTGTTGATCCGTGCCGTACAGCTCTCACGTCGTTTTTCACGTGTTGTGTATGTGTGCTTGTGCTGCTTCGTACTTGCGTCATGCCGAAGCTGGGACAAAAACATCGAGTGCTGAAAATAGAGGAGAAATCGGACATAATTCGTACTCTTGAAAGCGGCATGAATAAATCGGCACTGGCACGCGAAAAGGACCTGCCGTTAACCAGGGTGTATGGAATTTGGAATTCCAGAGAGAAGTTGCTAGGCAGTGCTTCTGCAACTGCGAAAAGGTGCCGGCTACGCGGTTCGACGTTTTCGGATGTGGAGGAGGCACTGGTGAAGTGGCTAAAAGCTGCACGGCCAAAAAATCTGCCTATCAGCAGACCCCTGCTCGTCGAGAAGGCCCTGGTTTTTGCCTTGCAGTTCAACCATGACAACTTCGTGTGCAGCAATGGCTGGCTGGCCAGATTTAAGGCGAGGCACGGCATTACCACGAGGATTGTTTCGGAAGAAGGTGCTGCTGCTGACGTGGATGGTGTGGAGCAGTGGCAAAATGGTCAGCTGAAGAATATCTTGGAAGACTATGCACCTGATGACATCTTTAATATGGATGAATCGGCGCTATTCTTTAAGCTGCTACCAGACAAAACGCTCGCATTGAAAGGCGAAACGTGCACCGCCGGCAAGCATGCAAAAGGCAGAATATCAGTGGCGTTTTGCGTAAACATGACTGGAACTGACAAAACTCCGCTCCTCGTGATTGGAAAGTTGGCGACGCCTAGATGTTTCAAAGGTGCCCGGTTGCCATCAGGGGTCATCTATCGCGGCAACACCAAAGCGTGGATGACGGCAAAACTCTTTGAGGAGTACGTGCGCCTCATCGATCGTCGTTTTGCGGCTAAGAACAGAAGAGTTATTCTTTTAGATAACGCTTCGGCGCATGTCGCCCGGGACAACCTGACGGCTGTGAAGTTGGCGTTTCTGCCACCAAACACAGCAGCGATTGCCCAGCCCTTGGACCAAGACATCATTCGAGCTGTAAAACAGCTCTACAAGAAGAATCTGCTGCGCAGATTTCTTCTCGTCATAAAATGTGGCAAATTATTCTCCATCGACCTGATTGGAGCGATTCACCTGCTCGAACACTCGTGGTGGCAGGTTGAAGCAACGACAGTTCAAAATTGCTTCAAGCGTGCTTCAGTGTGTGTGCGAGGGACGCAGATGATGCCAGTGACACCATCGGCCAAACTTCGGACATCGTAGACGAAGCTTGCAAAACTCTGCTAGCTGAAGTGCTGGAGCGGCAGGGCATTACGGAAGGCATTTCCTTTCCCCACTTCAGAGATGCAGATAGCGATGTGCAGACATCTACGGACATGTCCGACGAAGCCATTGTTGCCTCGGTTGTCGAAGTGTCGCCAAATGATAGTGATGAGGACGACATGGAAAGCGACAACACAGGTGATCCAGGTCCGACAGTGGCTTAAGCTGCGCATTGTGTCAGCATCATGTGGGTATTTGCCGAGAAGAGGGGGCTGGCCGAAAAGCTGGCTCACAGCATAAGTGAGTTTGAGGCCGCTGTCGTTGCTGCTAGGCTGCTGCGTCGTCAAATGAAGATTACAGACTTTGTTACGCGAAGTTAATAAATTACTGCACGTTTTTTGTTCTTTCATCGCACTCCCTGAAGGGTTTTTTTTTTTTTGACAGGTAAATGAGCGACCTGACGCTATTTTGGTTAAGCAGTACTACCGTTTAGTACGTACTTTTTCTGAGCTCCGGCCAACTACGATTTAACGAGGTTTCACTGTACAATAAAAGAAGGATTGCATCCTGCTAATTCGTGCTTACTGTGATAGGAAGTCATGTGTGCAGTATATGGAGCACTCTGTCTATCTTATGAAGCTGTGCTCTCCTTGCTTGTTTTCAGAAGGTGCTTGGTGAAGTTTCAACCTCAAACAACAGCTCACCATGAATTAAACTGTATTTAGAAAGTTAAAATGCATTTTCAAAATAGATGATAAATCGAAAAATGATTTTGCACATTATGACCTGTCGCAAAACCATAGCCATTTGTTTTCTTTCTCTTGTCTGTTTGCACCAATTATCTTCCTCTAAGGCTAAAACCATGTTCCTGTCGTTCACGTCAGCTTGCTTGTGAGAACCATTTCCTCCGTTGATGCGATAGCAAGCTGTCAACAGAATAATTTTTCATTAGACATAGGAAAAATATCCAAGCATTTTGGCCTGCGCTGACATAGCTTGGTTATAGTAACTAGATGACAGTACACTTCAGTGCACTGTTTTTATGCGTTATTTTACAAGCCAAGCTAGTAGCAACAAGTTTACGTATGGGCTAGTGTAGTTACAGCAGAGCCATATCAAATGTCATCATGTGTGAGACTTGCTTTGCTTCGTTTATGGAGCAAAGTCTTAGCATAAGCAATTCGTGATACTCGTGCAGTCACTTAACTTTTTTCTTGCCTCACTATTCAACATTCTGACCAAGAAAATCGCAGCGTCCCTTATGCATGCACATAAGATGACTCGAAGGCGAAAGCCAATTTTTTTTCACTAGGTTTATATTGATCCTGCCACACCACCATCCAAAAGCTTTGTGGATCTGGCATGGTTTTGCACTGCCCCTGTGAATGGCCCACCTGTGACTAAGCTGAGATTTCATGTAATGACAGCATGACGTGACGCTACTCCAAAATTTGTAGCATTATGATGACGTCATATGGCGACATAATCATGTGATGATTACATTTTGGATCACTTCCGTTGTCACCAACGCTGCAGGATACCATCACTGATGACATGGCACGCTGGCAGTCAATTTTCATGTTTTTTATGAGGCATCTAAGGATAGAGTTTCATACATAATACCTAGAGGGGAATCTGGCGCTAGTGTTTACACGGGCGCTTTCTGTGGCGCTTGTAACCCCATGGGAATTATGGGAAGTACAGGCTTTGGATCCGCTTCGGATTGATTACATTCTTGAGATTTGCGACGCTTCTTTTCCAAGTGTAAAACAAAGTGATATGAACTTATGTTTAATTGAAACTTGCTTTATTTATTTGTATGCAAACTTTATTGCAAAAAGTTTTTGTGGCAATGGGGTAAAAGTGATACCTGGGCAAATTTAATCATCAGGGTATGCATTGCTCTGCCATTGCATTCCAGATTCGTCATCAAGATTTTAAGAATTATTTTATTACAACGCTTGAAAACAAGCATGCTTGTTTTTCTCTGGAAAGTACGCATTATCTATTTATATAAATAACAAAACAGTAATAAGTGAGAAACACTTAACGTTTCCTCTTCTGCGATGCTAGGTGCGTTTGTCCAAGTGGTCTGCCCCCAACGCATCTCTGGTTTGTTGGGAAGTCAAGTCAGCGTAGCATGACGGTGCATCTACTTAGCTTCACCATTGTTTTGAAGTTGATTTAAAACGAGTTTAGGCAAGACGCGTTCATGAAAAAACATGAACTCGATTCAGTATTCTGCACTGGCATGAGAGGCTACATCTCTGCGCAGCAGTGCGTGGACAACGCTTCGTTAAACTGTCAAATACGACTCGTAAAGCTTCAACGTTGCCGAAAATTTCAGACATAAGTGGTCTAAAGCCTCTACAAACAACATAGGGACTGCTTCAGACTTTTTCACCTCACCCTACTACCCACGTTGCATGAAGAACGAAACTTAAACTGTAGAAAAACGTCTGTAGACAGTTTGCTAGATAACCCTATCCAATCTGAAGCCTGTACACCCCATAATACCCATGGAGGTACACGATCGCAGTGCTAGATTCCTCTCTAGGTATTATTGTATGAAACTCTATGCATCTAAAGCTTTTACCCTTATATAACTAACACTATCTCTTTTGTACTCCTTCCTTGCCCACGTGTCTTGGTTCCTTCGCACAAACAAGCTAAGCTATTTTTTTGTGCCCAACGGTATGTGTACTTCCACGTACCTGAAAATGATAGACCATTGAGATGATACCAACGAGTGTATGGCAGTACGAGAGAAAGAAAAATCACCGTCAGCAAGCTGAGCTTGTCTTTGTTTTTTTAATCTCGGGGATGAGGAAGGTTTTTTCATGGCATGGCAGGGGTTACGAAATATACAAGTTACAGAGCGACTTAGCCTATGTTAGCTGCAGGGTGTCCTCAGTAGCTGCTGTAATAATTTTTAATTTGCCAGAATTTGAAGTGCGTTACATTCAGAGAGGCCTCTGAAAGGTCAAGGGTGCACTCAAATGAAGTCGCAATATGATCAGCTTTCTGAGTATCTACGGAGCTGACAAGGGGGCAGATTGAAATGGCAGAATCTCTGGTTTTAGTTAATGGGGCAATACACAGTTTTGTTTATGTAATCAAGCATTTTATGAGCACTCGTCTGGCAAGGGCACATAACCTGTACAAAAACATACACTCGCCAAGGTGAAACTTTTTTGTGTGTCTTTTATGACAGTTTGGTTTACATTGATTCATTCTCAAGCCTTGCCACGTTCTATTTTATCACCACCTGCAGAGCCACACCTAGCATATGGTAATAGCTTGGCTATATAATAACAGTATTCTGGTTTCTGTCAATGTGATAAACAACCTTCTCTGGTGAAAAGCAATGTTCTGAGTGGTAACCACCTTCATGAAGAGTTTGCAGAAGTCACAGTGGAACTATTCTTGTCGTTTTTTCATGGCAGTTGGATTTTCTTTCTTCAGTAGGATTAGCCAACTCTTGAGTCATCTTAAGGACGTCTGTGTTGCTAACCTACCTAGTGACAATGGTGCTCGGCTGCTCACACGAAGGCCGTGAGATAGAATTCTGGGGCAGTGGCTGCGTTTCTGTAGTGCAGAATGCTAGTGATTTAGGTTGGATTTGTAGGTGCACGCGAAGGGACACCAGGTGGTCAAAATTTCTCTAGCCCTTCACTACAGAGTCTGTAATAATCACATTGTGGCGTTGGAATATGAAACCCCCACAATTATTATAGATGTGATAAAGCTGGTGCTTATTCATTGCAGTGAATATTCTGTACGGGAACTGATAGTGGCCCTTCTAAAAAAGTTCAAAGTAGCAGACAATCCACGGAAGTTTGCACTTTATGAAAGTCAAGTCGACGAAAACACCGGTGAAGGTATGTCTATTTACAGAATTTAACGAGCCTGTATTTGCTCTGGGTTCGTTTGTAGTGAAAGGCAACACTGCTGTGTTGTAACGGTGAATAGTTTGTTGGTTAGCGAGCTTTCGAGCCTTTAAACATTTTGCTCTGTTTTCAGCTTCTGTTGTTAAAATAACTGCGTTTCGAGAGTTAACGATATCTTCCTTATTTACTTGTAAATATGGCAGCTCATAAACTTTAATGTACATATCAAGGCAGTCAAGACAGTATAAGAGCTCCTGTTCTCTTCAACGTAGAGCTTGTAAGGTCGCATAAAATCTGACCTCTTCTTGCATATTGTTTCAGTGAAGCTCAGGAAACTTCAAGATACGGATAAACCTTTATGGCTCGCCTTGGACTGGAATAGCCGAACGAGGCAATTTGTTCTTCAGGAAAATGACAATAGTGATATAGAGGTAAGGCTGTACACTCATTTACTAATTGTTGTTGAACTTTACTCAATGTTTCGTGGTGATTGAAGCCTTTTTGAGTAAGACAACAGCACGAAAGCTGATTTGGTGCTGAATACCAGTACAATGGTGCATATGAATACGTCTTTTTTCCACTACTAGCGATTATGCTTATAACGATATTAAATATGAAGGAGGCTATTAAATGATATATAGATTAAACTTCATCATAATGAGGTTCAGCTGTGGCTCCCATCTGGTTATGAGCTACAAGTTTAAAAATAATTAAAGTGGCATAAGTAGTGTGTGCTGCGAGTGTTAGCTTCCCTCCTCTAAACAGGATTGTATTGTATAATGACATGCTTGTTGTTCAATCGGAGCAATGCAACTGCAAATGGCATTGAAGGTATACTGTGCAGTGCAACTAGTACATTGAAACATTAAAAATAGAGCTGTAAGTAGGCAATAGATTTTCGCTCTGTTCGAGCTGTACGTAGGCGTTAGATTTTTGCTCAGTTCGAACACCAGTAAAGAGGTGTTGAGCGTTCATTATCTGTAGTTGTTGAAGATTTAAATTTTAGTTTGTCAGGAGGGGCCATGTGTACTGAGCCAGTAATGTGCAGCATTGTAGTGAAACGTAGGTTTTTTATGGGACTTTCAGTGCTGCTAATGTGACAATTTAATCATCTCATCAAAAGGCTACCAAATTGCAAGTCACAATACAAGAGCAACTTGACTGACAGTTTGAGGTGCAAGGTTTCTTTTTACTGTAGTATTAACTTGTATAAAAATGGGGTGAAAAATGGGGTGAAGCACATTTGGCAAGCACTCTCAAATTATGACAGGTAGATTGCCACTATCCCTCAAGAAGAAGATATATAACAGCTGTATCTTGCAAGTACTTAGCTACGGAGCAGAAACCTGGAGACACACAAAGCGGGTTCAGCTTAAATTGAGGATGACGCAGTGAGAAATGGAAATAAAAATGGTAGGTGTAACCTTAAGAGACAAGAAGAGAACAGAGTGGATGAGGGAACAAACACGAGTTAAGGATATCATAGCTGATTCAAATCAAGAAGAGGAAATGGACATGGGCCGCACATGTAGCGCGTAGACAGGATAAACGCTGGACATTAACTGGATTCCCAGAGAAGGCGAGTGGGTTAGAGGGAGACAGAAGGTTAGGTGGTCAGATGAGATTAAGAAGTTTGCGGGAATAAATTGGCAGCAGCAAGATCGGGGTAGCAAAGCAGGCAGTGATGCCCCCCTGAACGAAAACATCGTGGTTGTTTTCAATCGCCGAGCTAAGAGGGATGTCATCGTTAAGAAAGCAAGGAGAACTCGATTCACAGCTGAGGAACTGGGTTTCACAACTAAACAGTCTGTTTTCGTAAATGAGCACCTTTGTCCCCAACTGAAAAAATTGCTGGGTATGACGATTGCTCGGAAACGGGAAATGAACTGGCGCTTCGCGTGGGCAAGTGGTGGCAAAATATTTGCGCGTGAAACGGAAACATCTCGTGCAGTTCAAATTACATGTGAAGCTGACTAGCACAAGATGCACGCGGCCACTTCAAGCAGCCGCGGGGCATCTAGCATGCCGTAGGCTTATCTGATTAGCACTTTTCGTTTTTTCGGCGCGACCTTTTTTTTTCTTTTTTTTTTTCCTTTTGTTAAGATGGCGATATTACCACGGGATGTCAATATACCTTACACTAGTGGATATTGCAGTATCATGCACTTAAATGCTCGCTCAGCTCGCAACAAGCACGATGATATAACTATGTTTCTTGACGAATTCTCGTTCAAATTCGACATCATCATGATTTCTGAAACTTGATACACGTGCAATGACGAGGTACTATGCTTGCCAACGTATAAATCGTTCTTTCTAAACAGGCCCTCTCGTCGAGGGGGAGGTGTTTTGCAACTAATTGCTGACCATTTAGTTTGCAGCCTTCTCTCAGACTTTTCAGCTATTACACCAGACTATGAGGCATTATCACTAGCGTGTCACAAGTATGTATATGTGGTAGTTTATCGTCCACCTGACGGAAAAACAGAAGCGTTTTTTCAATTTCTTTAAAATCTGCTTACGTATGCGTGCACTAACAAGTTGCACGTTATCATAGGGGGCGACTGCAACATAAACCTTTTACAGCAAACTGAAACCTCTGGTAACTTCCAACTACTACTTGATTCCTTTGCGTGTGCTAATATTATTACTGAACCTACACGTGTCACTTCAGATACTGAAAGCCTTATCGACTTACTTAATACAAATGACATAAGTGATTCAACCATATCTGGAACTGTTATTGCCGATATTAGTGATCACTACCCTATATACATGTTTCAATATCGCAACGAGTATCTTAATCGTGCAAAAGTATCAACTCCAGAATCATACAAAATACAGGAAATTAGTAACAAAACATTAGACACTTTTAGGCGTGAAATTGCGCAGATTTGTGGGGATCCTGTCTATAAATCAGTTAACGCTAATGAGGCGTATGAAATATTCATGTGCCTGTTAAGAAAAACTTACCATAAGTGTTTTAAATATAAAACTGTCGAAACCCTAAAGAAAGGTCGGAAACAATGGCTGACGCGAGAATGTCTGGAAATGATTAAGAAGAAAAATCTACTGTACGCGAAATTCGTGAAAGCAAGACACCATAACGATCTTTCGGAATTCAAGCGGTATAGAAATTTTGTAACGAAGCAACTGAGAAAAACTAAGAATGCGTACTATGAAGCTCTCTTCAAGAGGGTTAGCACTCGTGGCGACGTGCTTTGGCGAGAAATAAGTAAGCTTCTAAATAGAAGTTGCTCTCGAGACAACGCACTTGAGTTAAACATAGATAACAAGGTAGTAAAGGGTCAAGAACTTGCTAATAAATTTAACGTGTACTTCACAACGCTGGTGTCCTCTGATTTATCGAACCCTTCTCGTGCCTGTAATAGTGATTACAGGGACTTTCTAGGTGTGCCAAACATGAGCACCGCATATTTTTTAAACACAACTCCTGAAGAAGTATTGTCTGTATTTATGTCACTAAAGAACACTACTGCTCGGGACATAGATGACCTACAAATTAGACCTATTAAAGCTGCACTTGATCTTTTGTTACCTGTTCTTACCCATCTGTTTAATATCTGCTTATCCACGGGAGTTTTCCCAGAAAAAATGAAGCATGCGAGAGTTAGTGTCTTATACAAATCTGGTGACCGAAATATCTTTTCTAATTATCGTCCGATCTCGATACTTCCTGTTATATCTAAAGGGCTAGAGAAAATCATATATCAACATGTCATGTCTTTTTGTGAAAAGTACTCTATATTATCACCGCATCAATTTGGCTTCCGACGGGGCATGTCCACGGAACTGGCTCTCCTCACACAAAAAGAACTCATACTTAACCCATTTGAAAAGAAGCTGTTAACACTGGGTGTTTTTATTGACTATTCCAAAGCGTTCGATAGAATCAACCACGAAGTACTCTATGCAAAATTGTGTCATTATGGTTTTCGGGGATCCCCACTTGACTTTCTGAAATCTTATTTATCACAAAGAAAGCAATCTGTAGTTATAAATGACAGCCAATCCTCCCTACTAACCATAACGTCAGGTGTACCTCAGGGCAGCATATTAGGGCCCCTACTGTTTAATATTTATATAAACGACATAACAAGTGTCAGTAAATATGTGGACTTTATAATTTATGCAGATGACACTAGTATATTTTTTCATGGTAATGATTTAGGTAAGCTTACAGACTCAGCCAACAACATTCTTAACGACATCTTCATATGGAGTACTGCAAATTATTTAATGATCAACACAAAAAAATCCAAAGCTGTGGTATTCGCACCGGTTCAGAAGGCTGTCTGTCGTGGTTTGGATATATATCTCGGGCCCAAAAAAATTGAGGTTGTCAAAGAAGTTTCATCATTAGGAGTAATTTTTAATGAAAATCTTAATTGGGACGAACACGTTAATAAAATAACTAGAAATATAGCTAGGACGTGTGGTGCTCTCTCTAAACTTCGACAGTTACTTCCAGCAAACATTAAACTTTTACTCTATAATACGTTGCTTTCATCTCACATAAACTATTGTAGTGTAGTGTGGGCAGATACATTTAAAGCAAATTGGAACAAAATATTTTTACTGCAGAAAAAAGCGATTCGTCATATTGCAAACGTACCATACGACGCACATACAAGTCATTTATTCAGAGAATATAAGATTTTACCGATCGATCACATACACAGTTTCAACCTTATTATGAAATAGAAACAAAGCTTGCTATCAAACAACGCTTGTTTTCTTAAACTGTGTAACCTCAGAAAAAATACACAATCCTATTATGACATTCGGAAAAGGCCTTCCTGGTTCGTTCCTTATTCGCAAACTAATCACGGTTTGAGAAGACTTGAACACTGTATTCCAGCTTGTTTTAACATGTTTGAAAATAAAAACATCGACATCTTTAATATACATAAAAAACAACTTAAGAACCTTCTCATCGAAAATGGCGGCGTGTAGTTTAGCTTCTTCTAGTTGTCCGGCTACAGTACTATATGTAAAAGAAACAACCTATAATAGTGCTCGTGTGTAACATGGCATCCTATGATGTTTGCTTTCTTTGACATTTTTTTTGTTGCTTTTTTTTACGAGTAAAACGTGCATTTCACTCGTCAGTGTTTCCCTTGTGCATTAAAACTTGTGCTTTTCGCATACCCAGTGTTGTAAACGTTGTATAATCATTTTGTAATACTTTGGTAGCCGTTTAGCAACGTAAACGTTGTATAATCATTTTGTAATACTTTGGTAGCCGTTTAGCAACGTGTGCATTGTTTCATGATTGAACGCACGCTGTTTTCTTTTGTTTTTTTGTTCTTTTTTTCTGTTTGTGGTTTGCTTATCTTATGTAAACCTGAAACTGATGTAATTTTGATGTATTTTCTTTTTATTTCCTAATTTCTTGAAGTTTTGAAAATCGACGTCAAATTGTTTTTTCATGTTTTGTGCTCTGCTGATTTTTTTTTTTTTGTAAGGCCAAGGTGAAAAGGGGTAGGAGCCTCGTCAAGCTGCTAACATAGCAGCTTTTTGCTCTTATCGTTGCGTTTTCTTTTTTGCAACTCTGTGAAGAAAATGCTCAATAAAAACTGAAACTGAAACTGAAACAGGACCGAGTTAACTGGCAGAACATGGGAGAGGCCTTTTGTCTTGCAGTGGACGTAGTCAGGCTAATGATGATGATGATTAACTTGTAGTTTGCGTGATTTTTCATTGTATTTTTGCACAGTTCTTGGATGGGTTACAATTATTGCCTCTCAGCTTGTATTAGATACAGGCGTGTAGTTTTTCACAGTATAAAACACTGACCGTGCAAATCATGTGGGAATCTACTGCTGCTATTTACTGTTCACGTCACAGCTTGTATCAGCATTGCATCAACATTAAATCACTTCCTGCTGCATTTGCATGCATAACTTACATGCTGTTTCAGTCGTATGTAGTATGAGGAAAAATCTGTTTGACCTTTTGCTTTGTCATATTTGGTGGTCAACAGGAAATGTGGATTGTGTAAGAAATGTCATACTACTGGCAATACTTGTGATTCACTTTTTTCTTAAGTTTTGTCTAGAAAAATCAGCCCAAGGTTCGTTTGCACAAGGCATATGTACTTTTTCAATTGGCATTGCGCTAAAAAAATTTACAATGTTTTGTGATTGTGCTATGAGAAATGTCATATGGGTAACTCCTGCCATTCACTTTTTGCTTAAATTTCGTCTTGAAAAATTGATGCAGTGATCACCTTTCTGTATTCATAAGACTGGTTAATACAGAGATTTGTCTTTTCTTTGTACTTGCAGTGGGAGGACTTTGCAGTTCCGGAGCTTCAAAACTTCCTGAAGATTCTGGATCTCGAAGAGGAAGAGTACCTGACCCAGCTGAAGCTGAAGTACGACCTCGTGCGTTCGAAAATTCAGGAAGCAATGGACTCGTTCCCGAAGCCTGAAAATGAAGTTCCCGAGGTGGAAGGCTCGGAGCCACATGGGCCTGAGCGTGCAGAAAACGTGTCACGCTCTTGATTTTGGCGTTAAAGCTTAGAACTTCTAAAATTGGTTTTCCAATTTCTCCGCATGCCATAGACCTCTGGAAGTTGCGCTGTTGTCGATGACTTGAAGTGCCAGCAGTTCAATCGAGGTAGTGTCGCACCGTGTTCAAACGTGTTGGTGGGCATTTATGCATTCTAATTGGAGTTAACTCAATGCCTTGCAAGCGAGAACTATGGGCACCGAATTCGACATTAGTCACGAAGTCCAGATGTGTTTTCATGTGCATTCGATGTTTTATTCGTCCCGCTAATAACTAGTAGTACCTGCATTTGATACGTGATTTACTTGCTTTTGCTTGAAGTTGCTAGCTTCCCGGTGATGGACTAAATGCAGGAGGGCTATTCAACTGGCACATTCAATGCTGTTCGTGCCAGACAGAGCTGTATATGTTTGCTTCTAGGCATATTTATTTCTTTCCACGCGCTTTTGTTCTTCCTCTTTAAATCACTACACCTGTTCACGTCACATCTTAAAAGGCGATTAGCCATCCACTTTTCTTTTCTGTTCATTTTTATTGCAATGAATTTCTGCAAATCGGTGTACAGATGTTGTACTACAGTTAGTGCAAAAGTGAGTGATATGGAAGCATTTTTTTTTTTTCGTTCTAACATTATTTTGTGTCTGTATTTGTATAGAATACTGCAGACGTGTGTATATAGGATATAAAGTATTTACTTCAATGATAACAATTATAGTACACAAGACTATTAAGGGGCTTGAACGGTAATGTTAATACGCATATACTAAGACAAAAATTGCACGATCTTTTTTCAACTGTTCTAACCACAAATAAACCAAACTACCAGAAGTTACACAAATGTTGCCATAAAACCATAATACAGGAAACAGACTTGATAGGTCAGTTTCGTCAAATTTGTGTAATCTAGCATTTGTGGGATACAACTTTCCTTCAGTACCAGTGTGAAAAGAAGGCGGAAAAAACGTCTGTAAAGCCAATATGAAATGTCAAGTGGAAATTGGGATCAAACAGCCTCATCTAATCAGTACTAGCTTCTGTATTTCCAATAAGTTTAATACCCCGGGGTGACTAACCTTGATAATTATTCTGCTCACTCTCGCATGATTGTAAAGAAATGCAAGATACTTCTTTCATTCCTCCTCTTAGTTTGGCGAGGATGTGATTTGTAGAAAAATAAGATTACATTATTTCACACAACTAGTGGGAATACTGGTGGAACAGTCCTGTGTAGTTAGCACAAACGTGTGCCATAAAACAGCAGGAAATGCTATTCCAATGAACATCACAGAAAATGCGAATATGAACAGTTGCCTTGCCTAAATTGATAATACAATTCTATCAACAGTTGTCTATGACAGTAGTTCCCAGCCATAAATATGTCGGAGACCTCTTGTGGACTGGTGGAAGTCATGGGGGACCGCTTGCAGCGAGGGGAGGGAGGATGGGGGGTACGTAGTTAAATTAACACAACTGGAGTGTGAGACTGGAGCCTTTTATTTCTACCAAAAACATCAAACAAACGTGCCACATCACATCAGTTTGGACACTTCATCAATACGTGGCACTGTCACGCTTCAAGAAAAATACCGGGGAGGGTTTCGCGGATCGTAGAAATGACTTCGCGGACCTCTTAGGGTTCAAGGACCCCCATTTGAGAACCACTGGTCTATGACTTTCACCCCATGCTTGAAGATTATGCAATTCTAAACAAGATTTCAAATGCATGATTTAAAGAATGTTATGCCTCTCAAGCCATTTTGTAGCATGTCTCCAACAATGCTTTTTATTCAGTGAGATTTTGATTATGTGGCAATCTCAATAAGCAATGCAGAGCATAGTTTTCTTGCTTTCATAATTCTAACATGAAAACTCGCTCATGATGCACCAAGTGGTATGTACCACGACCGACAAATTTCCCTACTGAAGACTTCTTATTCTTCTCACCTTTAACCCTTTCTGTATCAGCGACGATAATAGTTGTCAGGAGTGAGAAGTAATCACAATGTGTTCCCACAGAAGTACGTCAGTCGATTCCTTTGTAGCTGTTTTTTATGGTACTCGAGTCGCATGTAGTTTTTCTCTATTCTTCAGGTGCTATTCAGTAGAAGTGTGGCTTTCCTGCTTGACACATTTTTTGGAAACTTGGTGCAATATCTTCAAAGGGCCCTGCAACACTTTTCAGCATGGTCAGAAAACGCTGCCGATCGGTAGTTGAGGTAGCCCCAGAATTCGCAATTAATATTTAAAGTCGGCTAGACATGGTTCCTTCGTCTTTCTACAAATAATGCCACATGCCGGTATCCACATCCTTTAGCTGATTTGACCACAGTGAACTGCTTAGTAAATGTGAATTCCGCAGGAGGCTGCCACATGCCTATGCTCGCAATCACACTGAAATTAAGCTGCAATCTGAACATAAAAGAAATAAAAAGAGAGAAGTGCTCAAGGTTATAACACACTCTTGACATAATTACTTCCTTTCGTGCCATCACTCTGAGCTTACTAACTTCCAGCACGTTGGTCGGGACGAGGAAAGAGGGAAAGCAATTACAACGTGCAACAAACCTGTGCAAGTCTACTCGTACTTTTGCAATGCAATAAACTCTTTCATAGTGAAGCCATTCGATGGTTACGTGTAAGAGTGATGCAGGGCCCCTTTATATACCTGCAGAATGGAAAGGTAAAAATCATGCTGAGTGCAGTGGGATATTTTAATAGACCGTGTTTATTCATATTGTAATATGCTGAACACGCAGCTGGCAATCGTCGAAGTAGACACCAGGAAAGGATGAGAAAGCCTTTTCTTTCTGTGGTTGCTAGATTCATTGCTACCTTTAAATTGTGCAGGGTGGGCGACACGGCCAAGCTCATTGTAACGAAGCTGCACCTTACATGAAAATAAGCTTGTTATATTCGAAAATTCGTTTTAAAGTATATTCCTAACAATGTCACTATTGCAAGAGTATTCTTCAATATACTTTTTTGTAACCAATATTTCGTAATGTTCCGGTTCGTTATATCAATGTTTGCATGTGTACATAATAGCAGGAAGGTAGCCTAAAGTAACTTGCGATTCGAAGAACACATAGGATAAGTGTGTCATTTTTACGCGTCATAGTTGTTTCAGCAGTCATAGTTTCTTTGCTGAACATTCCGGTTCAGGTAGAAAGCTGTGTATTTTGAGGGTGTGCAATATTTTGCTATGCTTTTAGGAGTATTACGGTCTTATAAGTCTTCCTAGTACACAGTCTGCCTTATTATCACAGCAGCAAGGCTCCCTAATGTAGTAAAACACTGTGGCCAGTATTTCATTATAAATGTAGCATGTGAAGTGGCAGATGCCAGGTTGCTCCTAGCACCACAGCTCTCTGCAATTTGAAAACATGCAAGACATTGGCAGTCTCTCACTGTTCAGTGCCCGTCCCTATATTTTAATTTTATCATTGCAGTCTTGAGAGGACCAACGACTGACCATGATGCCTTAGGATAATGGAGTAGTGGCATAAGTCAAATAAAAGATGTTGATTTCAGCATTGACTTATTGACTTGAAATGCGGTGCAAGGTGGCCTTGTAAACTAGGCATGAGCCAAAATTTATCATATCAGGACACTGGCACTTGGTAGAAGTGTTCGAACTTGTGCATTGTGCCCATATAGCATTGTGGAGGCCTTATCTAAGTCACTTTGATTATATTTCTGTGCCTAAAGCTCTTTTTATCATATTTTTTTATCCCTCAAGCTTCTTTTTTTGGCCTGTTGTTGCTAGCACCTTTCTTTTTCAATCATTTTTCACTATAAATATTCGGGGGGCATTTGACACTTTCATTATGTCACATCTGCCTTGTCCCACGCAACACACATATCGCGGACAATCCCGCAATTCTTCAAAGTAGTATGTTTGAATGGCTTTCATACTTATCGATTTGAAGGTTTGCTGCCATTGCCTGCATTCGTTTTTGACCATTTTGTCCAGCATTTTGCAATTATCTATCCAGGGAGAACACTGTAGGCCAAACATTTCTATTAAAACTTGCTTGTGTAGTGTCTTCAAATTAGTGGTGTTGGGTTACGTGGTTTGTAACACTGGGCAGTAAAATTGAACACTATGTTGCTATTTCTATTTAATTGTTTTACGTGCTGGACTCTCACATAGAAATTTTCTATCATGGGCATTTTATTACCATATTGCAATGTGGATTAACTTGTTTGTGAATGTGACTAACTTCATAGCACTACTATGACGTTGCGTGATGTGCAGAACTAGGAAGAAAGGTCACAGACTAGGCTTCTTCCCTCTGCTTCTGTGCTGTACAAGAGGCACTCCGTGCTATCAAATATTTTTCATGTCTCGTTATATATTTCAGTCACCTCCACCATTGTGCATGAAAAAAAAAATTTCAAGGGGCTCGTTTTTTTTTTTTTTTTTTGCTAGGCACAATCAGTTGAATCTGACAGACAATTAGGCTAGGGGAGGTATAGTAGGCAATAAGTGTTATCTCATAGTCTAGTAACTGTGTCATACATTTAAATGAACTGAAGTGAAGAAAAGTCACCCTTTTTGTTAGTGAGATAGGAAGCCACAACTTTCGAATTATAGTTGAACCACTATAAGAGACCTACTACGAAGCATTTGTCGTCCCTTGTACACCCGTACCTCAATATAACGAACCCACATATAATGAAACACTGTTTATAACTTAGTAAATTAAGAAATGTTCTTGCAGTTCATATAGTATGACAATTATAGCTCTATAACGAATATTCGAATATAACAAACCAATTTTCGGTAAAATGCAAGTTTATTTTAATTCAGCTTAAATGTATGATGAGTTTTCTCTTATAAGCAGGGTCAAATACCATGTTCTTATTTTCTGGTCAACCCATATTTCTGTGTAGGCACACTGCTGTCCATTATACCCAATTGTCTCTTACATCAGTGTCTCTTATAAAGGGATTTGACTACTTGTCTGACGCTCTAGTTCGATAGTTGTAGGTTTTGGATTCGACCGATAAAAAGGGCAATCTTTCGTCCTCTTTAATTTCGATTTGCATGACAATTACTACACTGCACTTTCATACAAGAATAATACCTATACTTTCTTTTGAATAACTGTCTGTTGGAATCATTTGGCTCTGTTGTAGTGCAAGTTTCCGTGTGGATGGTTTTAATTTCCAAGCTGCTTCTTGCATGCATTTGTTAAGGCCCGTCTTGTTCCTTCAATCTGCCACATGCATATCTATTCTTGCATGGCTATTTTTCAGACTTCGCCCTTTTTTTGCGTGACTCAATTGATCCAGATCCCCTCGGTTATCTGTTTTGACTAACCAAAACTGCTTTCAAATCCAACCACAATACTTAATGCAGTCGCACATATGCGGAAGCTTGATTGCTGCAGATTTGAGTGCTACAGATTTGAGTGAACCTGCCTGTGTATTTATTGCTCTTCTTTTTATGTGGAGTTGCTGTCGAAAAACCTGCATATTTGTATGCTGTCCAGTGATCGGCAATTTATCATCTCTGTACTCCGAACGTTCAGTCGCTGCTTCATATTTGCAAATTTGTGTGCTGTTTGGTGTGTTAGCATCCCTTCACTTTTATATATTTATTGAGTTTTGCAAAGTTTGAATACAATACTGCTAACGTTACCATCTCTGCCATGTGGTGGAATTTTTCATAGGCTACTGAGAGTGTGCCATGTGCTTGAGCAGTGGGGCTTATAGCTACAGAATACAAACATGGAAGCCAACTGCCAGAGCAGTCATGTTAGCAATAGGAATCGTGGCTGCATGCTAACATTCAGTTTTAAATTACCATTTTGAAGCCTGATTGTAGTTGTTGTGCTTGCATGAGATGTCTCCAATACCCTAACTTTTTAAATGCCCGCAACCAGCCTGGTGGCATTGCACTTTTGTATTTAGTGTGCCTGTCGTATTATCTAGTATGGTATTTCACAAATCATGGCAATATTAACTTGACCACTAGGTTCTTTGGTATGTGCCGAAAATGCTGTGTTCACTTGGCACTAGAACCTGTTCCTAAACTACATTTTAGGAGTTGTGCTGAGCTGTAGTCGGGAACTGTGTTGCCCCATGCTGACTTGAAGAACTAACATTCCATTACGCACTGTGACATCTTAATCTCGGTTAGGACCTTTAGCATTTCCGTAATGTGCACTGCACTGTTACCAAGCCATGATTGGGGCCTATAGATCTAGCAGCAAACCACAGTACTGATACAGGGCTGCATTCCGCAACACTCGAATTCATCTGATAATCTAAATTTGTGTGACTGGCAGGTTGCCTGCCTATAGCTTGGCGTGTTTTCAATGTCATGGCAGTTCAGTTTCCTATCCTGTCATTCTGTTAAAGAGCTTTACAGAAATCTAAAAATATTGCTGTTGCATTCCTGTACCGGAAACAGTTCTATTGCTTCAGCAAGCTCTTGGGGATGTTAGCCTGAAATTTTCAAACTGCCATGAAAGAAAATGTGTGTTGCTAGGTTTCACTAAGTTTTCTAGAGAGGCATTTCGTGCAGCATGTGAGTGACAGGATGTACTACAGCTGTTTGGTGTAGCTTTCACGCAAAGCAGCTGCAGCTTTGTGACAACTCTTTGCTGGTCGCACAACGGGAACAGCACATGCAATAAATTTGGCACTTGTTATGCAAAATTTACCGCAAAAGTTATTTACAGTGTTAAGTCATGGTGAAGTTTGCTCCAGTGTTGAGAACTTTCCGAGTTGTCCCATCTTCTTATTCTGAGAGATAGTCATTGGTGGTGAGTGGCGCCAGTGCACTTGTTAAGATGTTGCACGAAGCAGTTTATGAAATTTAAGACTAAACATTCTATAGCTATGTGCTACGGTAATATTACAGTGTACCACCACTGTAACTATGATGCAGCATTGTGGGAAGCACATTGCTTGGAAACAGATATGCCACCAGGCCAGAAGATTGACTGGAATGAGCTAGCATTCACATGTGAGACATGCTATCCCGAGAAGATGAAGCCCAGTAAGGGGAAAGTTCATCTGCACTCCTTGATGGGGCTCAGCTCTACACCTTAAGAAAGTGAATGAGAAAATTAAAGAAACTAGAATGAAGATAGGAGGGCTAAGTGGTGGCAAAGTTGGGAGAAATGTGATTTAGGGAAGGAAAGTTTAAGTTTGCCCAATTTAAACTTTAACGTACAATAGCTTGTTCTGAAAACTGATGTCATCTTGTTGTATAAAATTTAAGTGAAGTTATTTCATAGTTTTTGTAGGTCCTCCAGATAGTCTTTCAACATATTCATTCCTTAAATATTTAACTGACTGTAGTGCCACACTTGTCTAGAAAGTACTTAGAGGAAGAATTCTGAGTATGAAAGATATTTTAAAAGGGCCGTAGTAAATTAAATGGATCTGTGCCGCTTTCCAAGGAGAGCAAGTACTACACACATGCAATACTGTCATGGTTGCTGCTCTGAAAAATATGATATTCACCTAATACGCAATGTATACACTTTGAACAACTCTAGTGCCATTGCCATACATAAAGGCTAAGTATTGTGGCAAACTTGGGGCATGCTCACCGAGTGCTTCCAGTAGTCTGGTGTGTCCAACTCTAGTGCCATTGCCATACATAAAGGCTAAGTATTGTGGCAAACTTGGGGCATGCTCACCGAGGTCTTCCAGTAGTCTGGTGTGTCAGATATCCCTAGGCATCCCTAGGCTGTTTGGCACCATTAGGCAAGCTGCAACAGGCCGTTGGTTGTGGGTACTGTGTTGCTGGGGCTTTGTGAATGAACTGGGCAGAGTATGTACATAGGTGTCGGCTTTATGGTGTAACTAGATATAATCAAGATTTAACCACACTAATCTACATGCATTTTGTTTGCTGTTTGGCACGCCATATGCTCGCTTGTGATTGTTTTTCGTCAAATCAGCCTTCATTCGATATTGAGTTTCATCGGTTTTCATTCATTTTGAACCTCTTCACTTGTCTCAAACATTGAGTGCGCTATTCTAAGATTTATGGAAAGCTTGTATTACAAACATCAGAATCTATTGGGACATGGTGAATTGAAGCAGACTGGTGCTCATCCTTTTTGGTGTACCACTGCAGACGTATCCGTTGCTTATCACTTTTGGGGATACTGGCACTGTTGTGTTGTGATATGCCTAGTTGAAGTAGTGGAGATCCTGTCCGAGGGTTCATCCATCAATTGCATGATGAACGTTACTTTCTTCAAAAGTGATTGGCTGAAAATGCAGCGCATGCTTTGTGGTAAAACACTTCAACTACCGGGCATCTAAATGCTGTCGCATGCATTGTGCATTCACAGTACCACACGATGCTGTTAATGCTAGCTACCACAGCGAAACATTTGCAGTGAGGATAGTCCTTGCTTATGTAGATTATAAAAGAACAAATAATAATTCACATTAATTTCACAGGCCTTTCGTTAGCCAAATTGATGGAATTCAACTGTGCTATGCTTTCAGCTTAAGTTGTTACTAGGACTGCATGTTTTTTATGCATCTGCTTGAGGTCCTTTTAATTTGCTTACCACATTATATCATGTGGTAAGTGTGTATGAAAATTGTGTTTTTGTTGAAGAATGAGTGAAACTGCACATGAACGAACGCATTAATTTGAAGCCACTTTTCAGCTGCTCTTAGGGTAAAAAAATTATATTACACGATATTTGCCAAAAATGGTGAATTTCATCTTAGTAGCTATGTATAAGACTATAATTTAAACTGGAACAATAATTTAGTAACATAGGAATTAACATTTAACATAAAGACTGTGTCTTAGAAACCTCTTACTCTTGTGGAACATGAGGAAGGCATAAGCATTTCTTTTTGTGTGAATTTGCATGTGTATATTTTTTACCACCAATTACTGTGTCTAGGGGTAGGCTTTTTAAAAAAACAACAATGTATTTATATAAGTGCAACTGGATACACATTCAAGGAAACACAGTATCAGTGGCTACGATCAAATGTTGTTTCCCATATTCTGATATTAATAATTTTTTTTAAATAATGTCTTACAAACAGAGTAGAGTATTTTGATATTCTCGTCTCTCACATAGTCATTAGCTGTCGTGTTTAATCTAAAAAAAATTATTTGTGAAGGCTGACGCAATGTGATTGGTTAGAATATTCACTATAGCTCAAGTTTCTTTGCCAAATACCAATAAAAATTCAGATATATTTGCTGATGAGCCCATTTTTACCTCCTGTTTGTATCATGCAGGCCACAAGCTAAAGCTTCCTTTTTGTATTCACTTGATGAGAATTGTCTGTAGTGCTCTTCACCTGGAGTTTCTTGTGTGGACTTTTTGTTGTACTTTTTAACTTCACTTTTGGATCGATGAAGAGTTGGCTTTCTGGGCATGTGCTGTTTTTTTTTTTTTCTGTTCTAGTCAGGATGCTGCATTTTATATTTACCTATTTCATTGCTGCTGCTCATGCGTGATGTTGCTGATGAAGTTGTTTCATCGCGGTGATGTGCAGTTGCGATGATCATTTATTTACCTTGGAGACGGTGTACAGGAACTGCTGTTACTGTTAGTGTGATTACAGTGTACAAGAAGTGTGATTTCTTCATCTGCGTCTAAATACGTCATTCTTTCCTGGACACACTTGTGCGTGTGATGCAAAATTTTGATTCTAGGTAGTTGGGATACACTTGTGGGACGATTCTGGTGTGACGAAACCCCAGCTTGAACCAGCGGAGATCCCTGCCATTACAGGCTGCGAGGCATTGCACTAGAAATGTGAAATGTATTGTATGACCTGTCAGATGAGTCATTTCTGGAATGGACAAAAAAGAAACAACCTCTTGTTCTTCAACAAATGAGATTTATTTACAGAGCTAAGCAATAAACATACAAAATCTATGCAAAAGGCTGTCGTGTCTTTTTATGTGGTGGCAGCAAGATCTATTTTATTACAGAAGTTCATTGTTAGAAACTGTTGTGCTTTTCTTCTTTTGGTCGCTTCAAGGCGTGAATACAAGTGCGTCGCGCGAAGTTGCGGACAATATTAATGCTTTTTTTTTACCGCAATGTTATAGGCAATCAGCACTTGATAAACAATGCCCAAGGGCAAGTGCCGACGGCGTTAGCCCATCTAACTACAAAACAGCTTGTCTGCCTTGCTCAATAACACGCGCGGCCTGTGACAGCACGGGAGCATTCACGTAGCAACGGATGAGAACGGCCGTACGTGTTCGCACTTAACAAAACAGACGGCAATGCAGTAGCTCTGGCCTTCGGAGATCACAGGTTTCGTAAGAAAATTACAATAAAGTTGTTTCTATCCATCGTATGAACACTTCGCCGACGCACTGGGGTTTCATGCATGTGCGTCCGGTCAGTCACACGTGAACTGTGCGGCAGCATTTATTTCATCGTCGACCTTATTCTTCCCGACAAGCAAAACTCGGCAGCAAGAACACTTTCACCTGACAACACCAAGCTTGGCATTGCAATCTAGAAAATGCAGTACCAACAACTGTAATCAGCACATCATACTGAGAAACTTTATGGCGCACACACTCAGATGAAGCTGCGGCGTGGTGGACGGCCACGCTAGCTCCAACCACCAGGTTCAACTAAGCATCCAGCAATCACATGAAGCAGCGACGACACTCCAGTCCTCCTTGGGGGTGGCCTAGGCCATGGCCACGATTTCATCGGAGTTTTCACCACCTAACACATCGCAGGCGGCTACCATTTCGCAGTGTTTACGATGATGATGATGATGATGATGATGATGATGATGATGATTAAAGACCTCCCCTTTGAATCGGGGTAACAGCATGCGCTATCTAGCCTGCCTTAATAGTTCGAGTTTAAATTTTGTCCCTCAACTCGGATGTCTTGTTAATTTTGCCCAGCCGCTACTCTTGGCTGGGATGTTATTTTATCGACTTCTCTGCTTTTCCTCCACCAATACTCCAGCCGTTGCTTAGTAATACCTACTGCTGACCAGTTAATGCTTCCATCAACCGCGAAGCCCAGCGCCTCAGGAAGTGTGACTTTCCCCCCATTTCTATCTGGCTGAATCTTTTGGCATTCCATGACTATGTGGTCGAGTGTTTCTTTATTTATGCCACATCCAACACATGTCTCATCCTGTGACGAATATTTGCTCCTGTAAGTTAGAGTTCTCAAGCAGCCAGCCCGCGCCTCAAAGAGCAACGCACTACCTCTATTGTTGTCATAAAAGTTCTCTTTCCGGATCTCTTGTTTGCTTGCCTTGTAGATTCCCAGCGATCCCTTCTTTTTCATCCTCTCTTTCCACATGAGCGTCTCTGTTTCCCTCACTTGCTTTTTAACTGGCCCCCTTTGCTTGTTTAACGCAGTCAAGTTATATTTAGTCGCCAGCTTTCGCGTCCTCTTCCGCCATTGGGTGTCCACACTTTTCAGGTACAGGTACCTGTGCACTCTGGCTGCCCAGTTCTTCTCATCTAAATGTCTAAGTCGCTCCTCAAACCGTATTTTACTTTGTGCTTCCCTCGCCTCAAATGAAGCCCAACCCATATCGCCTTGTACAGCCTCATTTGTAGTCTTACTGTGAGCTCCCAGAGCTAACCTGCCGACTGCCTTTTGGTTGACCTCCAGCCCCGACAGGATATCTGACTTTACGCATAATACGGCATTAGAGAACCTTTCGCAGCCGCAGCGCCCCCTGTATTTAAAATACTTGTAGTATGTATTTAAGTAACAAACCTAGGTTGATTGGCTCGTTAAACACCTGTTTAGTAACATTTATGTAGGTTTAACGCATTATACACGAATACTTTACACATTTAACTAGCTTTAAGTAATAATTTTTAATGTGACGTCACTTTTGTGCGGTGCAGAAGCCACTTTTGTGTGGGGCAGGCTACTGCTTCGCGCGGCGCAGAAGACGCTGCCTTTTTTTTTCCCTTTCCATGTTATGGAACATATGCTTTGACTGTGCAAAAAAAAATCGCACTATATCTCACTTAATTAAGACTGTTGAGGTCGCATTTATATGGCCTCTCAAAAAGCGGTTGAAAAGTTTTTTTTGTGTTTCAACGCACGAGTTAATAAAGGCTTTATGATGAACTATAATAAACCGGTTTGCAGCGCCGCCAAGGCACTCTCCGTTTTGTTGACGAGGAAGATGAGGCTGCTTGTAGTACATGACGTCACACCTGCGCTGTTCGCTTGCCCCGACAGAGACGTGGCAAGGAACAATTTTGTATCAAATCTCCAAGCGGTTGCCTTAATAATTGTGGTGTTTCGTGTGTGAAGTGCATACGGTCAGCCCGGATTATCGACCAGCTATGGGACTTACGCTGTCGTCTTTGTTCTCGCGTCTTTTCGGGAAGAAGCAAGTTCGTATACTGATGGGTGAGTGAATGCCGCCTGCACTCTAGGCCTAAATGATTCAATGTTTATCGGGGCCCTTTAATTTTGCGAGACGTTCTGCCGTCGTTTGCTAGCGAGTTCATTGACGTGATTTTTGTCGGATAACGTTGGTTGCGGAGACTGGCATTTCAAACGAGCTACAGGGCTACCCGTGTTGACTTTGTTGGGCCGGCGTAGGTGTCCGGAACCCGCTGAATGAATAAGATCGAAAGTAAAGCGGCTGTTCCGTCGTTTAAGCGGTGTAACTTGCCCTTTGTTTGTGTATGCTCGTGCGTGAACAAACGCGTATGCTTTGAAGAAGCTGTTAATTTACCTGGAGTCGTTTGTTTACAGTTGGTCTCGACGCGGCCGGAAAGACTACTATCTTGTACAAACTGAAGCTAGGTGAAATAGTGACTACCATTCCTACCATCGGCTTCAACGTAGAAACTGTCGAGTACAAGAATATATGCTTCACCGTGTGGGATGTTGGAGGACAGGACAAGATCAGACCGCTGTGGAGACACTACTTCCAAAACACGCAGGTGAGGTAGCGATGGCGTTCGACGTCTTTCGGACCCCGAGTTTGGTTTCGGGTGCTGCGAACCTACTGCATGACGCGACGTCCGCTGTTTCGGGAGCTTGACTTCGTTACTGAAAACATTGGCGGATAGCACAAACTCCGTATCGTTTGGACGGATTACGTACAAAGGTGATGAAAGGGAGTGGCCTTGCATAGAAGGCGTGGCTTCACACAAAAGCGCTTTCGTTTGTGACACGTTCTATGCATTGATACGCGTTGTCACAGGTGTTCGTAAAAGAAAAGGGATGTCTGTTTATTGGAACTCCTCAATACACACGTGCGCTGTGTGCATTCAATATGCTGCAGTAGGTTGACTGATTATTGGCTAGCAAGCAGATTTTCTCTAGTTGAGTGTTTTAAACTAGGAAATGAAACAAAAATGCATTTAAAGCAGTTGACATTTCATCCTGTGTCGGCATGCAGTGCATACTTTTCGTGTATGTGCGCCTAGTGTTCATGGTTAATCATTTCTGAAAATGAAGAGCAGCTAACAAAACTTATATATGCGTAGATGGCACATGGCTTGAAACATGCCATGCAGCATGGCAGCCATTGACTTTTATGTTTTTCTAGAAAATTCTATTATGTTTCTTTTGTCACGAGGGATGCACGTTCATAAGGGGTGACGCTATGTGCTCTGATGCACCCTATGCGAGGCACGGCATCAAAAGGTGTTGTCTCTCAGTGTTATGTTACGTTCTCATGCATGTAAATGGGTTTCACAAGGTTTGTAGAGCGAGGAGCTTTTAGTGAAAATGTGACATTCAGGAAGAAAGATGTCCATAATCACTTGGCTGATGAATTGCATTGGGTGTGACTTGACTTTGAGGGGGTCTAATATAGCATTGTCGTGCTAGAACCTTATCAGGAATCAGTTGGTTTTATTATGTAGGATTACTTTTATCACATTAGAACTTTGCCTAGTTGTTGCTTGCTATGGCTCATAATTGCTACTAGAAAGCTGTGCAGAAAGCAAGGATGAGACAGACTAACATATGAGGCTCACATAGTACCCCTTGTGGCATTTCATAGCTGTGCATGGTGTCAAGGGTTTAGAGTCCTGTCTGGTGATGTTTAAAAATGCTTGTAGATTGCTTTTGTGTACAAAGCAACTCCTTATAAATCTGGAGCCTTTCAATGTCGGCCCTTGTATAAGGGGTGTGCACTTGACATCATCCGCAATGGTCGCTAGTTTCAAACTTGCCATTTTGGAGGTCAACGCGCTCACTGCATGTGTTGTGTCAGAGTTCTGTACAGCAACTTGGATGTCTAGAGACCTCCAGATAATCTCCTGCACAGACAGTGGGGCACGTGTATGAAAGGACCTTCGAAGCTGTGTGGCAATAGTGTAGCCGCCTTGCGGATGAAGGCTCGCTTCATACCCCCTATTCCACTGTGTGGCTTTTTGACATCATCTCCGGCAGTGTAATTGGCAATTTTATTTTGCCTCGATTTCAGGGACTCATTTTTGTCGTCGACAGCAACGACAGGGAACGAATCACCGAGGCACAGGATGAACTGCAAAAGATGGTGGGTTAAGTTTGTCGTGTGGTGGTTGCATTCGTATAGGGGAAAAAAGAGTAGTTCAGATGGACTGAGACTGGTCTTGTTCTCCTTAAATATTTTTTGTAGCTGAGTGAAGATGAACTGCGAGATGCTATCCTACTGCTCTTTGCCAACAAGCAAGACCTGCCTAATGCCATGCCTGTAGGAGAACTCACTGAAAAACTGGGCCTCAACCAGCTGAGAAACCGAAGGGTGAGTGTAATTGCCCGATTTTATGCCCCTTTATTTACTGTAGGCCTGATTGGTTGTAAACATGGTTGGCTGCCATGTTCTGTAAACATGGTTTCAGCTGGGCTGTTAATGCCTTCTTGATGAATTCTGTGCTGCCAAGCGGCATTGAATAACGGTGGCCTCCATCTGCCTTTATTCATGAACAGTGATGTTTAACGTACACAAAGCCATAACGATATTGTATGAATGCCCCCTGAGCCTGTTGTATAAGCTACGTCCGGTCTGTCGCTCATATCTGCTGCCACATGGTAATAAAAGGAAATTAATACACAACGGCTTCTTAGCATTCTGAAAAGGGTGCATGATGATTCGTGGAACACGTGCACTTTTCTGTGGGTGCGAAGCATGTCATTTTGCAAAGGCTCAATTGATAATGTTATGGCTGCCGACATGACCACCTTGACATCTGTGAAGTGGCCCACCTTCTTCAAATTATGGGAGACACAGTGAATATGAGGAATGACGTCAAGCCTTTTGTTCTTACTTGCGAAATTTCCCCAGTAATTTGTCTCGGCACTTGCATACCCACACTTCTTTCTTTCTTTATCTTGCGACACAACGCTTCTGCCACACTGTAATTACTTGTTAAATGAACAATAAAGCCGAATAACAATTTATGTCAGAAAGAAAGCTCAATGTATGACAATGTTTAAAACTACAGTATTATCAACAGCAGTGTCCTACTTACTGAGAAAGTAATGTAAATGCACGAAAACACATGTGCCACGCGTAGGACATTTGCAAAATGATCCCAATTACGTCAGACTTACAGCCTACAATTAATGACTAGTAATCGAACTATCTGCACTAAATAAAGAGCCTTCTGTGTATCAAGAGACACATTAAAATGCTGTTTGTTCGTTTCTGTTTGATTCATGAAAAAAAAACAATAAAAACGACCAAACATTACTATGGAGAATGGTGCGAGTGGTTCAAAAGTTCAGTTTTTGCCTGCTTAAACTAAAATCTCTGGATATTTTTAGGAAAGTACCGCCATTCTTTCAACCGAGCCGCTGCGCCGTGCATACTCTTCTCCCGCCTCTCGGGCTGCGACAAGTATCGCGCGTGTTATCAGCGTGACATAGTACGGTGGCTGTTCGGGAGAGAATATAGATTAGGTTTGGAAACTTGGGAGAGGATAGTTGGACACTTTGGAAAAGATATGGCGGAGAGTGTCGCTGCTTTCTCTATAATAAGGGGCTTTAGGTTAAACTGGACAAGTCGTGCCATCTAGCTGGACCTAGTACGCCTGCAATCTCGGAGGCCATGACAGAAAATTGTTCAATGGTTGTTATTGCTGTTATGGCTCCCGCTTTTTTCGTTCTGCTGCTATTAGTGTCGGCAACAGCACAGTGAAGCCGGGCAACATTGAGCACGGCAACAGGGACGTGAAAGGTTCCACTTAAAGCGGGTAATCTGAGGTATGCTAATGCGATGTGGACTGCTAAAATATGATTTAATTTCAAAATAAGCACTTTGGACAAAAGTAGCACTACAAGGTTTCTGGACTGCTATTTGAGCAAAGAACATCGACTTGATGCTTGCCTTTATTGTCACTTTAAACAACTGCCTCAAAGAGCATGTCCAGGGAGGTTTTCATGGTCACATGGCGACACATTGCCAAAGCTGCAGTTGCACACCATAATTTGAAAAATGTTCAGTGGTCTTTGCTCATGCCAGCAAAAAAAGGTGAGAAATAATAGAAGCAACAGAGATAGTCAAGGATGTGAGCCCTTGTATCAGTGTGCCTTTCATTGCTCTTTTAAAGAAAGAATTATGCTTTTTAGGTGTATCTCTTGATAGTGACAACTGAATTAATTTTTTGCACGTTACTGTTGTGTATCTTGAGAGCTGAAGCTTGTTTTTCTTGTTTTTTTTTTTTTTGATGTGAACTTGCTTAGGTACACACACAGTTCCTGTTACATTTGTGTTTCAATAATAAAAATTAGAAATTAGCACTCGTGTGTCGCATTCTCTTGCCTGTCATCTCCGATATTTGCGCCGTAGAAGTTTCAATGAAGTGCCAACTAGCCCAAACCTGCCCTTTGCTAAGGATGAGTTGTATGGCCCCGAGGAGGTCAATTGCATACTGCTTGCTGTTATCGTAATCAAGGAGCATTCGGTTTAAATTGCAGCAGCACGCCTTTTTGTGAAGTATAACACCTTGATCTATCCATCATGCATTGGTAATGACATGTAGGAATGCCAGCTTAATTGCGTGAAGGTTCTGAATGTTACTGCGTGCTGAGCAATGACTAATTGCAGAGTGCTACGACTTGTGGCTACAGACTTGTTTCTGGTCACAGTTCCACACATACTATAGAAATCTTTGCTGGCATCCAATGTCTCCTTGTTCATAAGAATTATCATTCTTGTCAGGCAGTCATGCGTTTTCCACAGCATCCAAGCATAGGCAACTAAGTTGTGGCCAACTATGCAAATCAACCTGAAAATGGCAGACTAGTCCATGCCAGTTATTCGGTCAAATTAGTGTGCAAAAATTTTGAACTGCACTTGCAATACATATTACCCAAGATTTCTAATAACACAATAAAATTTAACAAGGTCCTACTGTATCACCAAAGCTAGTGTAACTGAGGTTAGGCACATGTTTTTTTGTCATCTTGACTGGACCATCTCTCAGTCTTGCTTGCTTTTTCTAATACGTTTAACAGAAAGCATAGTTATACACACCATTGCTAATTGCAAGACTCTACCACATAGATGCAAGAAGTGGCATCTGGTTAGTTCCAAGTTCCTGAATATTTTATATTTGATGAAGGTTTTGAATGTACATATTTGATGTTAACACTAGCTTCTAAAGTGTGCATATTAATATACTAATTAAAAGTTGATGCTTTTTGTATGCTCTGCCTTGCTGAGTAGCGAAACTTAATATTAAACATACTGTGGCGGTGGTTTGAGTTTGATTATGTTGCTCCTCAACATAGCAACAATATTGGTAGGGAATGGCTTCCACTGGTCATTGCAAGGAGAGTCACTGCTTTTCAAACCAGAAGCACATGAGCGAAACAGTATTTGGGGCTTCAAACTTGTTGTTGCACTCGATGATGTTCACAGAGGGACAGTTCCGAACATAAGCGCTGTTAAGAGTTTTATGTGAGTAGTTTCGTATATAATCAGGTGCTTTTTTCGAATACATCTGTCATAGTGCACTGTGCAAGCCATGATGTGAAGAGTAGCTTCCATGGTTGCATGCTTTCTGGCGAGTACATTGTTGCAAAAGAGTGCTACGAAGAGTAGTAGATCAGGAGCAGCTCAGTTGTGGGTCAAGTGCAGTCTGGTTCGCCGAACAACGCAGTTCAAGTGCCCATTCCTCTACTTCCTTCTTCTTCATCTCGCACACCTGCGTATTTCGTTGACAATATTGGCTATCTTTAGTAGTTGTAATTGAACAGATAACATCACGGGAAACAAGGTGAATAAGAGGAAGTTAGCTTGCCTTTTATGAACCTCTGCATGATGCTTCCATTCTACTCGTGCATCAATGTGAAAGAAAGTGCAGAAGTTGCAGTCACTGCTGTACCACATCTGGTAATGCTCAACACATGTCCACTGTTAACTTCCCTTAACGCTAAAGAACACCAGGTGGTCAAAATTTCCGTAGTTTTGGGATGTAAAACGCCACATATTTAAATTTATTATGCTAATTTTTAATCAATGTTTTGGCTCAAGCAAATGGTCAAGTAACATCTGGTATGCTTTACTTTTGCATCTGTGCATACCAGATGCGTGGTATGTGTCCTATATGATAACTTCATATAGAAGTCTTGGTCTAGCTTCACGATGGCCTTACTTCAGTTGAAATCGCGTGGTCCTAAACACGTTTCATTTGAGGCAGTCACTATGGTTTTTAATCATTATGCGATCTACTCTTCTTTTTTTTTTACGTATGCCTCTCTTCCTTACAGTGGTACATCCAGTCAACTTGCGCAACGCAGGGACAGGGTCTCTACGAAGGTCTTGACTGGCTCTCCAACGAGCTCTCGAAAGCAAAGTAACTCCTGCTTCCCTTTTGGCAACAAAGTGAGGCCTAGGGCGGCAACCAGTTTTCCTGAAGAAGAGGAGGAGAAACTATTTGCAAAGGGGGGAGGGGCAGCTGCCATCATGTAAAGTACAGAAGAAAGCTTTCGCCGCACCATCTCCTCGTGCTTTTGCAAGAAGCACCCGGAGATCGGAGATGCTTTGGAAGCTGTCAAACGGCTGGTGGTTCAGCCAGCTTTTTCAACCAGTGCTGCTTGTAATATCTTTTTTTTTTATTATTTAAATTTCAGCAAACAGCACTGACGAAAGGAAACTGTACTTGACATGCTGTTCTTCGAAGCATGGCACTTTCTTTTCTCTTTTCATTGTGTTTGGGCAGTAATAAATTATCGTTCCTCTCTTTTTCTTACTGTGCTAAGTTCGCGAAAGTAGTTGGGTTTTCCTGGGGCTGTGTTTGAAACAACTCCGAACACTGTAACGGTGCATCCGACGCCAAGCTGCTGCTGCATTTGTCGTCGGGTAGCGATGGCTGCGACTTCATAAAATTTCAGTCCTTCGAGTCTTTTTCTTTGTGCAACATGCACGTACTGTGCAACATGCACGTACGAAGGAAGCAAACCAAAAAGTTAGTCATCTTAAAATTTTAGTTTACACTTTTCAGGTGCTGTATTTTTGTTTGTTTGATGGCGCTGGAGCTCCACCTAGATTGTGCGTGTGACCTGCTGTGTGTTCTTACTTGTACATATTTCTCGGTAGGGGAGATTTTTTTGTTTGTTTGTACTTGATCTGTCGGGCATTTATGGGACCAACCTGACTTGACTGTATGTAGGCATCATATAACGAATAATGAAATGTTCTTGTCGCGCAAGTTTCTGTGGCATATCAAAGCCTTGCATGTGTGTTCAAGAATTTAAAAAAATTTTGGGGTGATGACGTAGTTATTCGATTCTCTGAATTTCTGCCACATTGAAGAACTTTTGACACTAAAAAAAATTGTTCTTTTTTGGCACCTGTGATAACTGCACCTCTGTTTGTCTGGTTGATTTTGCTGTTCTAAGTTCCAGAGTCATGTTGCCTAGGCCTGACAAGTCATGTAATAAAGTATAGGACGAAATAAGTCTTGTTTCTTGTTGCAGAACTGCACAGTGCCGTGACATTTTTTCCAAATGTCGGCAGAGTGAATATTGATCAAATCAAAAGGATGTTGACCCTTATAGAGCACGAAAACATTTCAAGCAAGTGTGCATCGTGTGCAGACTTTTGTCATGATCAACAATGCCACAGGTGGCAGCACCACAAGCTGCGGGAGTGCCACAAATTCGAAGAAACAATCCTTTCTCTTCTCGGTCCCTTCCGGTATCCATGTTGACGTGTAGGATGCCACAAAGTTGAATCTGTGATGCGGAGCACAGGTTCTCCTGCAGTTGGGCGAACAACTTCCGGTTAGTCTGCAAGCAGCTGCCTGTGCTCCTTGCTCGTTGTGTTGCAGTGGCTCATCTCGCATGTAGGTGCTCTGGCATGGCTTCAGGGTGGCTAGCCTAACTGTGTGTCACTGTAAGGATTAATCATGCTGGTGATGCTTTGAAGGCCTGTGGGTTAGTGTAGATTCTTGCACGACTTGTGGGAGCATGGGCCAGCACGGCTACGGTGATTAGACAACACGCACTGAGTTGATGTCGCAGCAAACAGAAATGGACTGTTTTGAACTGCGTGTCGGCAATGGTGTATGCCAAGCGAGACCGGGAGAGGCACTGGGCAAGAGGGGCAAAACAGCTTTAGGAGAGGGAACCAGCGAACGAAAGAGTGTAAAGGAGCAATCACAGTGTTTCAATCGTTGAACGAGTCTTAACTGTGCTATTACGGTACTGTTTCGAAAAGTTCTAGGGGCTCTGTGTTAGTTGTAGACTCGTGCACAACTTCCTTACTGCAACTACATTTTGACCTCTGGTGGTTCAGGGACCCTCTAATGACTTCCAACTATTCATGAAGACATTCACAGATCATTTATGTGGGCCATAGGGGATGCTGTGATAGTTCACACCATGGTGAGTTGAAGTAACTTCAGGCTGGTGGTGCCTCCTGTAGTTTCATTTCGTTCATTTTTCTGACTTGGCAGTTTTGCTTTGATGTCTTTACAATAGGACATAATATAGGCAGCAATAGTGTTGCGTAAACTGAAATGATTTTGAGTGTAGCTTTCTGACATCTGCTCTTACATTTCACATTGGCATGCCTTGACCCTCTTATGTCCTTCGACGTTACAAAGTGAACAAGTGTAGTTATAAATGAAAGGGCGAGGGAGAATTGTCTCATGCATTTTAGTCAACAGAACACAGCCACATGGCATAGTATTTGGTTTCCTTTGATGCTACCAAGGGTTGTATTCTGATACATATTGTTGGATCACTACTATTGATTAGTGCTGATTGACTGGTTTGTGAAAACCGGGAAATTGATGGTGCCATTTAGTATTAATGGCAGTGTCAATTTTTATCAAGGCATTTCGCAGTGCTTTGACATACATGGAATGAATTAGCACATTTATTTAGTTGTTGGTAAAAGTCTGACATTTCTGCCTAGACAGTAGCGTCTGGTACTGTTCATTGTAGATGTGCGTAGCATTTTCTTGTATTGATGCTCTTTATTGTTTTAGTACCTTTTAGAGGGCATGAAATTTAGTTGTCGTTTGAACATGCCAACAGCATAAACTCCATTTCTTGCAGTTTACTGCACATCAGCGAGATGAGATGATGCTGTGGTGGCACACCATAAGCTAACGGTCGCAATGTGCCACTTTAAGCTCTCGACAAAAGCCATTTCACATAAGCTTGCATTCTTTCATGTTGTAGTGCACTTTCAACACTTATGTTTCAAGTAGCCAGAGCCAAGTGTAGCCACTGCATAGAAGCCGGTACACTGAAAAACTCCACGCGCTATGAGCTCGTACAGTGTGCTCATTCTTGTGTTGCTAGTCAATCGGAATCATCAACAGCCAGTTTGACAACATCATGATTCAATTATTTGATTCAGTATTGACCCGTCGAACTGCACACAATGCAAAGTAGCACTCCATTTGTCTTCGAATACAGCCTTTATATGTCCCTGCCCTCCACACGTTCGGCAGAGTCAGTCAGTGTACTGAAACTTTCGAAGAAAGGACATACTACTGGTGATAAGTTAATTGATTGACTGATATGTGGGGTTTAACGTCCCAAAACCACCAGCATTTTCACCTCCATTACAGGTGATAAGTTGTGCTTACACATAGTGTGTACCTTTGTCTTGCAATTGTCGCTGTGTAGTGTTCGAAATGGATGTAAAGCATCATTCAACCATCATTCAGGTAATTTTAAGCGCATACATCCTCAGTAGAAATGCACACGATTCACGCTGCAGAGACTTCATTTGATGCAGAGACTTCATTTTTCTGGCAAACTCTTCCCCCCCCCTCCCAAACAGTGAAACGTGCATAGAGCTGCTCTTCAATTTGCTTTAGAAAGTATCATAATCAGTGATCTTTTGCTTGTGAATGTGGAACGGTAGAAACACTTGCAAAAATAGAACTTCTTGTATTTGTACAAACATTGACACTACGCTTTACACAACACTGTCCATTGAGGCCCACTTCACTTCAAGGACTTTGTGTCTTCCTGTCACGTCTCAATCCATAGGGCCATTCAGCATGTCATTCAGCTTCACCAGTTCTTCGTAAATCTGTGCAAAAAAACAATATAAGATTGAGGTACACGCTACCCTTATAGCAGGGTTTTGCATGGCAATAGAAAATCTGATGATGCAATAATTTCAGCACTCTTGATAATTCAGAGTTGTACTGTACGTTGTGGGGTCTCGAAATGGAGAGCGACCACACTCTTGGAGTGAACGGACACAGCAGATGCGGTCAGTACAAACCAAGCCAGACAACTTACATTTATTTTATTACTTTGAGAAGGACAATATCGTCAACCGAATTGTTATACGATCGATCGTGATCAACACGCTAAGACATTCTTACACAATATTATACAACACTCCCCCGGCAGACAGCCCGCGGTGCTGTGTACCGGGGTCTCACTGAGAGAGACAACCCTTTGCACCAAACGCCACCAGCCAAAAAGATACCCTCTCAATTCTCTCCTGCCGCCACCAAGGCTTGCTTCCAGGGGTCACCGCAAGTGCTACCAATCTATAATGATGATAGCGTTGATCAACGCTCTCGAACACAATGCCACCTACCGCGTGATAGTTGCGACCCCTGAATGCGACTTCTGCGCGGGAGACACGCGCGCCACGAGGCGCACACAACTTTACAGAAGGTGTCGGCACCCCCACAACGTAGATTGACGTTTGGAAAGATTTTGTTATGTGTGGTTTGAACTGCATTTTAACATTTTTTTGCAGTGGCATTGCCTCTCATATCTGCTACTTACCAGTTTTTGTCAGTTGGTGGTTTTTGTAAGCTGATTAGGTGATTTTACGCCAACTGTCCCAGCCATTTTGGCGACCATCTCAAATCTGTTGGAGAAAAATCATGTTGATTTACGGCATTGAAAGCAGTGAATTGCTAAAATATTTTGGAGTGCAAAAAATTTTGGTCACGTAGGTGCCTTAACTTCCCAGAAAATCGTGTGGGTTTTGTTCGCAGAAAAAATTATTTTAAAAGTACCACTCCTTTCTATGCCAAATTTGTTCTGCATATTACGTATAGGCGCTTGTTTAAAGTTTTTGAAGCTCGCCAATACAGGCGCAATTTTTCTGTCACGCCTCCAAGAATTCAGCCAAGATGTGTTTGACTTTTTTCCATAAAAATATTTTTAGATACCCCAAGTTGCTAAACTTTACGAGAAACAAATCACTCATTTCACAAACTCGTCATTTTTGTCCACATTTAAATGCAATCCTTATACCTAAATCAAAAGCAAACAAACAATTCCTTTCATATGGCAAATTTTATCATTACAATTTTCGTTTTAGTGACGAAAATAATTTTTGAAGTTTCCCATTGATGGCTATCTTCCCATTCCGCTAACGACAGCTTCCACCTTGAAGTTCCATTGCCGTTAATGGGAAACTTCAAAAATTATTTCATTTAGAAAACGACAATTTTGTGAAATCAATGATTTTTTTGCTGTAAAGTATAACAACTCTAGGGGTTTAAAATAATTTTTAGGCAAAATATACTGTCTGTGGAGTAAGTGTTCATTGCTCAGATGCTTAAACAAATTGTAATATTGCAATATAAAAAATGCAAACATAACACATTTTGGCAAAATTTTTGGAGGTGTATGCGACAGAAAAATTATGCCTATATTACTAAGCTTCAAACACATTACACAAGCACATTTACTAATATGTAGAACAAATTTGGTATAAAAAGAAAGAGTGGTACTTTCAAAATAAATTTTTTTTGTAAACTACATTCAGACGATTTTATGGGAGGTCAAGAAGGTATCTTTGTGACCAAAATATTCTCTCCGAAATATTTTAGCAGTTCACTGTTTTCAATGAAGTAAATCAGCACGATGTTTTCGAATATATTTGAGATGGTCGCCAAAATGGCTGGGACGTTTGGCATGGAATAACCCAACTGCTTTCAAAAATATGGTTAAGTTTGAACAAGGTTATAGTGGCAACAGCAATTATAGGTGCTTCTGAAGTTGCTGGTGACATAGTGTGTATTAAGGAACTGAATATATTGCTACGTAGCTGACATATCAGTGGTCAGAAGACGACAACGAGGAAGTGATCTGTCGGTTGTGGGTGCTGTCCTCCATCTTAGTCGATGCTATATGCATCAGTTTCAATATAGATTCTAAATAGACATGCCTCGTGTCATTTTTACGTAACATCTTTGTGGTGGACGTGCTGGGTACTTCCCTGTCTTCATCACGAAGCTCCGCAACGGCCACATCATCATAGGTCCAACCATGTCACAGGTTGAACAACCATTGTCTCACCACCTGCCCCTTCCGTGACTTTTACGTATGTCGTTCTACCTCCTGCTCGTGATCCCCGTGTATTTTCCGGTCAGGATGGCGTTGACGTAGACAAATAGATCAACCGGTATGAACGGGTCAGCGCAAGCTATAGGTGGGACCCGACTCTTATGCTTGCCAATGTGCTTTTTTACCTCGATGGCTCACCGCGGGTGCGGTTCGAGATTCACGAAGCGGAGATTACAAGCTGAGACTCCTTTAAAGAAAAGATCCGCGACCTTTTTTGGCGACACCATTGGGCGGCAGATCGCAGCGCGGAATCAATTGGCGCCTCATGCACAGATGTCGACGGAGTCGTACGTCGCGTACATTCACGACGTCATCACAATATGCCGCCAGATTGACGAGCACATGAGTGAGTTTGAGAAAGTGGCCCATGTGCTGAAAGGCATAGCAATCTTTAATCTTCTGGTATACAAGAACGTTGCCACCATTGACGCCATCAATAAAGATTTCCGGCGGTTTGAAGAAGCCAAGAGCCTCTGTGTTACTCAGCGATTCACTTGGCTGCCCTACACAGCCACAACCTCATCGTGTGAAGCCGCCCGCCAGTTCCCCACGTATGACAACGTCACGCGCATTGTTCGTCGGGAAATCGAAGCCGCCTGTCCAGCTCCTCTTTAGCCACCCGTTTTTGCAACGCTCGCCGCTGACCAAGAACAGCTGTCAGTGGCGTTAATACAAGCTGTGGCGAGGTAGGAGTTTTCGAACCTTGGCCTTCCATCAGCATGTCCCTTGACTCGCCCTGAAGTCCCGTCTTACTCCCCAGGACACGCTCGCCGTTCACCTCCAACAATGCCCTTCCGTAACCCTTTGGAATGGCGAACACCCGACGACCGGCCTATTTGTTTTTCCTGCCACCAGCCTGGGCACGTTTCTCACTATTGCCGCCGCCGTTGGTAAAACCAACCACGTCAGACCTTCTCTACCTCTGTGCACATGCACCCGACGACCTCTCGACGTTCAGTCGCCGCACCCTTCAATTTCTATTCGTCGTCATCGTACGAGCCTTCCACTGACTGCCCCTTTGCCCGGTCGCCGCTACACTGACGCCCCTTCGTCCGGTCGACGCAGCTCTCGCTCCCCATCGCCGCTACGTCGCCAATCCCGCTCTCCGCCACCTCGGCGCTTTTCCTTGCCGAGCTTCTCTGGACGACTGCAGCAAGAAAACTAGATATTGCAGCTTATAGAGGTGAAGCTGCAATACCAATGACGGCCGAAAATCCTCTACTGACGCTTCCCATGCACCACAGCCTGCTTGAAGTACATGTCGACCATGTTCCTGTGACCACCCTCATTGACACAGGTGTGCACCTGTCTATTATGAGCGCTTCCTCTATGCCACCGCTTGAAAAAGATTATGACGCCGTCTACGACGCAGGCAATATGTGTTGCCGATGGCGGTACTGTACCAGTAATCGGAATGTGCACTGCTCGTGTCAGCATTGCCGGTCGTCACGCCTGTGGTCCTTTTTCCCTTGCTAGCCTGCTGCCCTTATGACCTCATACTTGGCCTTGATTTCTTTTCGGCACACTCGGCCTTAATTGATTGTTCGTCTGGTACCCTCAGCCTCTATCTTCCAATCTTTGTCGACTACTCTGCAAAGCCCACCAGCCGCTTGAGCCCAACCACTTTCGTTCGCCTGCCACCTCGAGCCGTCTAGTACGAGTCTTTGTCATCGGCCCCTCGCGTTCTTGACGGTGATTATATCATTACGCCGATTACTGATGTTCGACTGACGCGCAGTGTTACTGTGCCCCATACCATTGCAACCATAGCGGGTAACTGTGTGTTCCTTCCGTTCCCTAACTTTGGTTTCACCCCTCAAGTGCTGCCCTGCCAGGTGTCTCTAGCCCAGCTAACTGCCATAACAGAGGACGTTGTCAGTGTTGTCGCTGTATCTGCTCCTGATCGAAGCGCAGTCTCACGGTCACCCAGCACAGAGGATGTTATTTTTCGAAACATTATTCGATTGGAGCTTTCGCCTCACCAGGCCGACGCTCTCTGCCAGGTTTTGGCCTCATACAGTGACATTTTCGACACCGACGATCGTCCCTTGGGCCAGACTAAAATTGTAACTCACCGAATCAACTCTAGTGACTCTGCGCCTATTCACCGTCAGCCGTACCGCGTGTCAGCGTCCGAGCGAGAAGTGATTCAGAAAGAAGTGACCGAAATGCTTACGAAAAATGTTATCGAACCATCATCGAGCCTTTAGGCATCTGCCGTGGTATTAGTAAAAAAGAAAGACGGCTCTGGCATTTTCTGCGTTGCTGGTGACATAGTGCGTAGTAAGGAACTGAATATATTGCTACGTAGCTGACATATCAGTGGTCAGAAGACGACAACGAGGAAGTGGTCTGTCGGTTGTGCGTGCTGTCCTCCATCTTAGTCGATGCTATACGCATCAGTTTCAATATAGATTCTAAAAGACACGCCTCGTGTCATTTTTACGTAACAGTATAAATCAGTTAAGAAAAGTAACACAGATAGTGTCAGCATTTGTGTCCCAACTTTATGTTTCTCTATTCGGATGCAACTTTGGTAAAAGTCTACACAGCATTACCTTTTACCTTTTCTAAAACTGATGCACACTGACTTCGAACATTCGAAACAGGGAGGACTATTTATTTAGTCAGGCAATTGGCTGCCGGCTGCGTGGACACTCCGAACCCTCTTTGAACTTTTCATGTTTTACCTAACTATAGTGTAAAATATGTCCAAACAATTTCAGTTAAGGTTCCATAATAGTAATTGAACTGAATAAATGGTGACTAACTGGCTTTTTAATGACTTATTACCACACCAGATTTTGGGATAACTGTCATCGTTCGAATTTGCATGTGTAAAGTTTGAGTAAATTCATTAAAACCTTGTTAGATGGATAATGGAAATACTGCAAGACAATCGGTTCCTGTCAACATGCTTAAACCATTGTGATGTGTTGCATTTAGAATGCAATATTTGCTTGAATACATAACTAATTTGCAAAGCTGCCTAGCTGACGGAAGCCAAGTGAGAAAATCCATGCGTGGCACTTCCTATTATTCCTGCGTTGGCATGTCTGCAGGATTTTATCAGCCACTTTTTGAAAAAGAGCCATGGCTTTCGAGATGGATGCGTTGTATGAACTTACTGGTTCCATTGTAGGTCGCTGCCGCCTTTCAAGCCTGACGCATGAATCACCTAATTCGTACACCTTTCGTGCCATCTCCTGATCCCACACACCGGCCGAGGTGTCCAGTACAGGTGTGATGTCGTTGGGATACGTGTCCTTCAAGTAGGATAGCTGCAAATGGTTAACATGTCGTTTACCATCCCTTGTAGTAGTAAACAACACAATACATTGCAGCAGCGGCGTAGCCATGTTGTGCTCTTCTCTAGACTTTACCAATATCCCCAATGCTGACCGAGATGCCGCCAGTCGAAGACGTTGATGGTGACATCAGGAAAATGTGTTCATATGCTAGCAAGTACACGAGCTTCCAGCTGTTCTACGTCGCCGTGCAAGAAGAGACTCCCGAAAGGAGGAGAGAAGAGGCAATTAACTGAGCATAGTGAAAGAAAGAACGGAAGAAGTGGGTGCTGCATTTTGAACACGAAACGCGTGTAACTCCACCATTTTGACACCATTTCACAAAATTCTCACCGTTATGTGTTCATTGTAGATTCTTGCACAACTAAAACACTACAGCTAAATATTATGGGTGTGTAAATATATTCATGTTTGGAGTTCAAATTAATAATACATAACTTAATAATTCAATTTAACTACCAAATAGCTAATATTAAAAGTTTCTAATTATTTGATGGGACAATTATTTAAAAGGTGACAAAGGCCAATGGTGCAACTTTGTTAGGGTGAAGTGGCTAAAACTAACTTCATTACAGTAGGCATTTTGTTAAAACTTTCACCAATCTCCGTGTTCAAAAGCGATGGCATATTTATTTTGAATATTCGTAGTTTCCGCACGTCATGGCTCTAGTAAACAAAGTCGGGGAACAGTCTATAAGACTGTCGAACTGCAAGCGTAAAAAATAACCAGCACGGTGAGCACACTGTTTTGTATTCAAGATGCTCAAAAATAATTCACTGAGCCCCTGACCCCAAGACAACAATGATCCTTTGAAATGCTGAAAATAGGAGAGCATGGAACTGCACTTTATCCAAGCATTGCTCAAATCGTTTTGCAGTATATACTTTTCCGTCCCTACTAGTGAGGTATTGAGCGAGCACATGCTTTCAACAGCAGGAAACACTGTAATATCACAGAGCCTCAAGCGAGGTCATGTGGAACAGCTTGTGTTTCTGCATGACAATTGGTAATCTGTAAGTAGCGGTCCCTCACTGCATCACACTCAAACCTTAATATAACGTACCCAGATATAACGAAAATTAGATATAACGAAGCAAATAAAAAGCAGTCTTGCAGCAGATATAGTGTCAAGAATAAACCTTTATAACAAATTTTCTGTTATAGGGAACTTGTTCTCGTGTAAGATGCAAATTTGAAAACAAAAACAAAACAAAAAGGCAAAAAAAACATAATCTGAAAACAAAAAGGCAAAAAAAAGGCCACTGAAAACAAAAAGGCAAAAAAAACATAATCCTTGGATAACCCGCGAAGTTTTACACGCAAAGCGAAAAGTTAAGAGGCTACGCCAAGGAATCAAAAAGAAAGGCAAGAATCCAGTAACCGTATCTAACCTAGCACGTGCTATTACAGACTTCAAACAAAAAGCTAGCTTCGCCAAAAGGCAATATTTTACTACAACGCTTCCGTGTTACATAAAAAACAACCCTCAACGATTCTGGAAACATTTTCGCTCTGCCGCTGAAACAAAGACGTGTTTAAGCGATAGCGATAAAACAAACCAGGCCAATATTTTCAACGATTATTTTCAATCTGTCTTTACTGATGACAATGGCACCACTCCTGCGGCCTTGCCCACAGCTCGAATTCCCATTGAACCATTAGTTATAAGCGACCCCGGGATTCTTAACCTACTTTTGAATCTAGACACGAAGAAAGCCAGTGGCCCCGATGATATTGCAAATGAATTTCTTTTTCGATACGCAGAACCGTGTAGTAAATACCTCGGCATAATTTATCGCAAATCAATAGAAACAGCAAAACTGCCATCAGAATGGAAAGTAGCAAAGGTGATACCCATACACAAAACCGGAGATACTGCTGTTCCTTCCAATTTTAGACCTATATCCCTCACCAGTACGTCATGTAAAATACTAGAGCATATAATCGCTAAGCATTTAACTATTTTTCTAGAAAACAACAATCTCCTGTCCCCCCATCAACATGGCTTCCGGAAAGGTTTATCAACAATCACGCAGCTTACCGAGGTTGTCCACGACCTTGCACTCAGTATAAACAACCGTGGCCAAACTGACGTAATTCTACTTGATTTAGCAAAAGCGTTCGATCGAGTGTGTCATACTAAACTGATTTCGAAATTGCAGAACATTATTGGGGATGGGGAAATTACGAACTGGGTAAGAGACTTTCTTATAAACCGGTCACAGTTCGTGGTTTTCGAAGGAGTATCGTCGTGGACAGCCCCAGTTAAGTCAGGTGTTCCCCAAGGCTCCGTCCTAGGGCCATTATTATTTCTAATTTACATAAATGACATCACTGATAACATAGACTGCAAAATTAAACTTTTCGCAGACGACTGCATTATTTATAGAGCAATTAACAGTTCGGATGATCATTTATCTTTAAATAATTCATTGAGTAAGATTGCTCACTGGTGTGAGCAGTGGCAAATGTTAATTAACCTAACAAAAACAGTTTGCATGACGGTAACTAGGAAAAAAGAACCCTCCGACTTTACCTATACAATTAACGGCGTACCTTTACAAAGAGTTACGCAGCAGAAGTATCTTGGCGTCACCTTGACTTCCGAATTGAGATGGGATGCGCACATTAACAATGTTACAGCATCGGCTTTGCGTAAACTGTTTTTTCTACGAAGGCGTTTACCCTTCGCGCCGACAGATACTAGGCTCCTAACTTACACCACATTCGTGCGACCAATCTTGGAGTACGCTAACACTGTGTGGTTCCCGCAAGGTGTTACTAATATAGCAAAAGTTGAACGGGTTCAAAGGAAGGCCATTAGGTTTATACATAATAAGTACAAACGCACCGATTCACCCACACACCTTTTAGAAACCTCCGGTCTACCCACTCTTGCAACAAGAGCAAAAATCGCGCGTCTCAAATTTTTACACCACATTCTGCATAACCACAGCCGGATCGATGCATCCAGGTACATATCTTTGGCAGAATCACGAACACTACGACATAAACATGCATACACTATCAAAGAATACTCTTCCAACAACGACTGTTTCAAGCAATCCTTTTTCCCCCTGTCAATCAGCGAATGGAATAGGTTAGATCCCTCCATTACTAACGTAACATCACTGGCAGAATTCACTTCAAAAATTGAGAGTATACTTTGAGACAACGGCTTTCTTCAACCATGACCTCCAATATTGTTTTCCAGTAGTATTTATTTGGATGTATAAGTCTACACAATGCCTTCTCTGTATAAAACTGTATTGATTTTTTTTTTATGCAGCAAAGATTTAGTTTGCTGCTTCCGAAGTGTGAATATTTGGAGTGCATAAATACCTATGTCTAATGTTTCTATGTAACTAGGATTATTATTACTAATTTTAAAATAACTACAGTTCTGTATGCCGCCTGTAAGAAAGTACTTAGCATTCATTGTATTTTGATACTCATGCCCTCCTGCTTTGGTCTCGTAAGAGACTGGCAGTATTGTAAATAAATAAATAAATAAATAAATAAATAAATTTCTTATAATGAGGTTTGTGCATATGTGCTCGAGAACATCAGCAGATTTCATTTCTTTGTTCTTTCTTTAGATTTCAAATAGAATTTTGTGCATTTGATTTCACATACAACTATTTCGGCCAATATTTAGCACTGTTTGATTCAATTCAAGGTGTGATTTAACTATTCACACGCCCATACTAAACATCAACGTCCGAGTGGTTTAGGGGTGCACTAAAGGGGAACTCTACTCACAATGTCTCCTCTTGCATTCGTATACGGGGGTAGGCCCGTCAGCACTTCCATGATCACCACGCCAAAACTGAAAGTGTCCATCTTGGGGGAGATGGTACCGGTGAATGCTTCTGGTGACATGTAGACAGATGTTCCTACTACAATCTCTGTTCTTGTTGTACTGTCCCCCGACATCTGCCTTGTGAGTCCGAAGTCCCCCAGCTTGGCAGTATAGTTTCTGTCTAGAAGTATGTTGGCGCTGAAAAGAAAAAAAGGTATCCACACCACCATCACGTAGAGCCAAAGGGTGACTTCATCGGCTCACTGAAAGACGCAATTTCAACTGTAACAGAGAATTTTTTGCACACGTAGAATGTATTTGAATGGTTCAATAATGGATTCACAATTGTTTGTACTGATTAGCTGTTGGTTGCAAAACTGCCCTTACCCTCAAACAATCTAAGTTCAAAGATGAGAGAGTGGTTTTCTTTTCGTTCTTCTTGGCATTTGTTTTATTATAAAACGTGTGGGCACCGTCAGGACTAAGTGCAGAGCCTGTCAGGATTTCATGCTTTTCAGCGACATGCTATTACCTTTGCTTGTGCATTCGAAAATCCACGAAAGCAGAATGCAGTCAGTCGACTACACACAATAGTCAAGCGAGACAAGGCCGAACAAGCATGCGACAGCACAGCAAAGCAAGGTAGGGGGCAATCCACAACTGACATCCCTCAAATTCGACCTATTGATAGCTTATTTCCTCTTGACGTCCCTTGAACAGACTGCTGGCATCACAAACTGTGGCAAAAAGAGAGAAAATGGCAGGAAAGAATTATTGAACTTGTTCTTTGTATATTCGGAGGTTATGTAGGGGCCCTTTAATGTTTACATTTGGAGCGAAAATTCTTCACGTACGTGTGATAATATGACGACCGATCCACTAAAGACTGTGAGACAGCTCCAATCTTTCAGAAGTAATAAGAATGTGTTTAGTGGTCATGTTACTACTGCATCAAAGAATAACAATAACTAGTAATTCTTAGTGATGGTAGCACAGTAGCACTAAATCATCAGCTTTCTCTATGTACTAGTTGTCCAACCAATTTAGTATTCGGAGCAATTTTTTTAGCAGGAAAAATGACATTTAGGAACAGATTCGGAGCAGCAATAATTGTGCTTTAGAGTAGTTTTGGAGCAGGAATAATATAATTTGGAACAATTTCGGAGCATAGAAATTGAGCTTGGAGCAGAAAAAATTCAGATTATTTACAGCAGTATAACAGTAAGAGTGCGACTGTTTCCTGCAGATGATCATCCCTGTGAGCACAGAAAATGCTGCTCTAATAGACACAGAGAGAGAGCACCAAGAGTTGGAGAACAGCATTCGACGCAGAAAATGCCCCCTATTGACTTTACCGCTATATTCGAAAAGTGCATTTTGGAGAGGCATTAGCGACGAAGGTGAACATGACAGGTACGGTTTCTCCGTGCGACAACACTTCGTATGTTTGATGAACATGTTATTCATGATGCAGTGCTTGAAAAGTGAATAAAAAACAGAGAAATGAGATGGAGGAATTCTCCTCTCTGTCTTATCTTCATGTTTCAAACATTGCACCAGAAATAATCTGTGACGCTATCTTTGGCACCAACTTGCCCGCAAACAGGTGCCTCTAGACAGTATAGTATGCTCTGAAAAGCGGGACAAGGAGGCATTCCGCCACGATTAAAAAAAGCTCTAGAGGTTCTTTAGGCCAGGCCAACAGCATTTTGGGCGAAAAACACACAAATGCTGTGTGAGAGGCCAACACTGTGAACTTTGGCACAGCCGGTGCAACTTATACTGGACTTGACACAGTGAGACATAGAGATGTTGGACTGTAGCAGAATGACAGAAATGGCACAGTTTGACCACCAGTAACTAGTTATGCATTTTACGTCGGAGCCATCCAAAAAAAGTCGGCCATGAATGAGTTCAATATAGTCATAACACAGCCAACACAGAAACTGTTGCTAAAACCAACCAGCTATGACCACTTTGGAATGCTACAGACCTTGTACTCCAGGACTCACTGTGGCAAGCACAAACTTTAAATGAACCTGGAGAGCTGGCAAAAATGTTATATGAGTAACAAAATATCACGCCTCACTGGCAAAAAAGACCTCGTAATTTTTTTCTAAATCTGGGTCATATGTTTGCAAAGCAACTTGATTTTACAATAATTTTAAATACCGTATTTACTCGATTCTACCGCGCCCTCGATTGTAACGCGCACCCGATTTCCACTGCGGAAAAAAAAAAAAAACGTAAGACATCGATTGCAACGCGCACCCATTTTTCTCGCTGGCCCGCACGATCACACCACTCGAAAAAACGACTCCTTTCGGGAGCGTCTCCCATTTAATTATGAGGTACGGGCGAAGCTCGTGCCCATCTGACGTGTAACAGAGCATTGTCGTCACTGTAGTTTTACCGTGGACCGATGTCAGCACGCGAACTTGCTCCGCCTCCTTCTTCTCGACGGTTGTGGTGCCAGGCATGTCGAAGTAAAGAGGCGTCTGATTGGCATTCCCGATTTGCCCAAGCAGGTAGCCGTTGTTGCGCCACAAGTTTAGGACGAACCTCTGAAAACTGTGAAGCTTTTCATCGTACTCACTCCTCCGCAAAAGTTTTCGCATATGCATGTTCCCCTTCGGAGGGAAAGGCTTTCCTCTTCATAAAGTTAGTTAGCCAGCACCTGCTCGCTTTAAACTGGCTCCGCATTAGACCTTTTTCTAAGACTAATTGCATAGCCCGAACTTGGAGCAGTTCTGTCGTCACGGGCCACTGTGCCGCTCGCTGCTCAAGCACATACTCGCCGAGCAGCTCTTTAATTTGCGAAAACCGACCCTGCTGTGGTCCACTGAAGCCTTTGCGTGAAGCTTTGCTGTCGACAATCTTCTGCTTTTGTTTCCGCCGGTCCCGCACGCACGTTTCGGGAACTCCGAACGACTGCGATGCGGCCCGATTTCCGTCCGTTTCTGCACACGCGATGACTTTTCTTTTAAAAGCGGCATCATGGTGCACTCGAGTATTTGGAGTCGGCCCTTCCACGCCGTCGATGCTAATGCACTACTAGATGACGAACTCCTCAGCACACGTACGAAGTGCCGCACATGGGAAACACATAGGCAAAAATGGCCGACCCGCCATGCCGACGCACGTAGGGGGCGGCCATTTTGGATTTGCCGATGGCAATAGATTGACCGTAATTTTTTTGTTCGTACTCGATTCTAACGCGCATGCGATTTATGAGCTCGCTTAACCGGAAAAAAGGTGCGCGTTAGATTCGAGTAATTGCGGTACATTTAAAAGCAAACAATCCAAGACTGTGGCAGGACTTCTAACACTTGATGCCACCTACACTGCCACATTCTTGTTTTTACTTCGGTGAAACCCCCTAAGCATGATCACAGCGAAAGGTCGCTCACTCAGGTACATGCGGCAGACTCAGGAAGGAAGATGGCACCAAGACACCTTAGAAGCAAGCACGAAGTTTTCGTGCTAAAGTGCCCCTTTGCACCTTGGGTCAAACACTCACTACCATAGTGATTCTCATTGTAGTGGCACAGCTGTGCTGTAGTGTTCCCAATTTTCTATGCATCACCAGCTCAGTGAAATTCGGTTGAACACATGCATCCCAAATAATAATTTGCTCACCTTTTCACATCCCTGTGTATAAGACATGGCGTGCAGGTGTGCAGGAAATTGATGGCAGCAGCGACTTCTTTCAGTATGGTCACACGCCTTTTCCAGTACATTGGATTGTTCTGCAAGTAATAAAAGTGAGCTGTTTCGCCAAAATGATGCCGCCATGAAGAAACGGCATACTTTTCTCGCAAGGCACGACTGCAGGCACCCCATCTCCATAAATTCATAAACCAAGCAACTGGCCGCCCCGTCTAGGGAAATCCCAATGAGAGGCAGCAAATTTCGATGGGAATACCTGGATGGAAAAATAGGAACACTGCATTGAAAGTTGACGTTGGACCCATAGAGTTTCCTATAAATCCACTAGAGGGAACTTTGGCGCTAGTGTCTATGGGAGCTGCAATGCATGGCGCTTCAGCGAGCATGGGAATGATGGGTAGTACACAGATTTGTCTAATCTTCGTACTTCTGGCTCCGTGTGTGTTCATGTGGCTTGGAGCTGTTCTGTCACGAAACAAAAATCGGCAAATGTTCAGCGGTTGTGCTTCACCACCTTAATCTTTTAGGCTTACCATTTAAAATCGGGTCACAAAGTTCAAAAAGGCCCGATCTTTCCTTCAAAACAAAACCGAACACAGCAGTAAACAAAGCCACAAGTGCAATTTATCAAAAGTACGAAGGCTAGGCAAATCCGTGTACTGCCGATCATTCCCATGGTCGCTGAATGATCACAGCGCCAGAGTCCCCTCTAGTTTATTTCAGGAAACTCTATGGTTGGACCAGAGCATCTCTCACCTTCGTAGCAGTCTTACTTCAGTGAGAAACTGTTGCGGAAGAGAATCCTTCATGCGCTTCACAGCCACAGCAGTGCCGTCCGGGAATGTGCCTTTGTACACGACTCCAAAGGCTCCCTCCCCTATTTTAAAGCCTCCCAGGGACAATGGCCTGTCACAGAAGTTGCCAGTTGCTCGCGCCAGGTCGTCGTACCAGAACCGTGGTGTTTCATTGATTACGCTGTCCAAAACCTCATCTGAAATATCAGACACAGTGTGACTCTATTATGTGACGGCGTGCGGTTAAGGGGGCAAGTCGAGTTGGGTCATCACGTGCTGTAAGAAACAACGACTATGAAACACGCATTAAAGATCAAGTTAATTTCAGAGTTTCTACAAGCAATAACCACCACATGATCATGAAGTACGTCATAGGAGACCCCAAATTAATGTTGACCACCCAAGGTTGTCGGATGTGCACCCACAACTGAATACATGGTCGTTTTTGCATTCCATGCCTCTTCATTGAAATGCGGCTGCTGTGGCCTGGAATTCAATCCATGTGCTCAACACTTCAGCCATTTAGCCGCCTAGGCATGTCGCAAGTGCGCTAAAAAAATGAATGGGAATATTGCTTTAGTGAAATGACATCATAACGAAAATGAACTGAAACTACATAAGTTGGAACAAGGAAAGAATGGGAATTTTAAGGGCTCACTTTTCTTTGTCAGACACAATATTAATAAAAAATAACACATGACGATGTCAAGGAATGTGCAGGAGATGTTATTTCTACTAATTATATTATCAATGTAAAGAAAGCGCACTTGCCATTGGCAGGGAACGAACCTGCATCCTTCGAATTCAAAAGTTCCAAGTTCAGTCCTTGCCAGTGACAAGTTCACTCTTCATCCACTTTACTCGCTTCACTTTTATATTAAAATTAGCATAAATAACATACTCTGTACTTTTCTTGGCATGATTGTCTGTTTGTTCTGATTAATAAGTTAGAAGACTGATTTCATATTCATAGCCTTTTTGAAGGTTAAAATACAAATGGGAAGTCTGGTAGCCAAAAATTCACCAACGTAGTAGATAGAGGTGCTTTGGTTAGCTTAGATGTTGGATTTGTTCTTCACGTTTACCTGACGCTGGCTTATGATACTTGTGCAAATCGTAAAGGTGTGCTTGCCTGTAAATATTAAAAAAAAAAAAAAAAGGAAAAGTATGCATGTATTGGTTGACAAGCTTGGTGCCTACAGAACTACGAAACGTAAACATGAGCGGTCCGTTTAGTAGCATCACCTGTCGATGCAAGGCTCAACCAGACAAACACATTCTATCGTTGCAGTGACCAAGAGTGTACTCTACTTTACTGCTTGTATAAACTTTTGGGAGCAGTGTAGCTTTGAGCACCCGTAGGCTGTATTCTCAAGAAGAGCTAACACATACACTTTGGATCACACCGCAGAAGCCTTTTTTTTTTAGTGTGGGTCCCACTAAACATTTGGCATTTATCCAACATTCATGTATATCACCATCTTCTTGCTTAGTTAGACCCTTCAAACTGTTCAATCACTATGCCACGATTGACCATTATAGCAGATGACTTGGACTTTATTTCCTTCCTTTCTGCCATTAAGCAAAATAACAAATTACTTTGAAACAGCACAGGAAGCTTAGCTACTGGAATTTGAGCTCGTATGCTTCATCACAGCTTTTAATTTTTGCATTTACTAGCATTTTATTCTTGTACTTTCTACATTGTGTGTGAATATTTATGTATATGTATTACAAGAACATATTTGCACACACTTTAATTCGTATTGAACTTGCTTTATATCAGTGTAAATGTGTTTAGGAACATCAGGTGACGTGTTAACTTACCGTGGTAATTTTCGGATGGCAGGGCGGGTGGTGGTCCCAAGTCACTCAGCTCGTCTAGATTATCATCATCGTTGCGTGGTGCCTCTGTAAATTTGCGAGGTGAACTATTGCTGAAATTTGCTTCAAACACATTCCGAAGCTGTTAAGCAGCGGTGCAGCTTAAGCCGTTCGTTCTGCCTTTTCGCGTGACCAGAAAATTAAGCTGTACCTAGCACTGGCGACGCAATAACTTGGCCGGCGTATGTTCTATTTGTCATTTCAGGATAGACTATGAATAAATACGGTTCTCTATTGACAACATACTTTCAAGAAGTGAAGATAGTTGTACATTTTTCTTATCGCCTGGTAATTTGGTGGATAATTAGGCCTGTGGCCAGCACACCTATTCAGGTTGACATGATGGATGTGCAATGTAGACATTTATAGAATATTTGTGCCTTATGAATTAAGACAGCAACCGGGGCAGGTACAGCGAGCACATTTCTAATTAGTATAATTAAGACCTTGCTAATAATGAACTTATCAAGGGATGATTGCGTAGATGTTCGCAAATCTACCCTTGCCAAGTCCATTATTAGCAATTAGATACATGCGAAAGTAATTGATTGTGGCTGACATAAATATTAGCAAGGCTAATACTCTATGTCAGCCACAAGCTCGGCTGTTCGTCCAGCCTTGCACCACGTGTTCAAGCTGCCCACATAATAATTTTTTTTCTTATACTTACGTTGTAGCACGTCGTTTTCAATAATCGAAGCTGCTCTGTGGAGTTCTGCCTGTTTTAGCAAGGCGATTAAGCCGGATATCTTGGGTCGATTGCGCCCCGTGGTGCTCCATGTCTTCAGTATTTCGTCGCTGCGGCTTCCTCTCGTGTAGTTTTCGAGAACCCTAAGCGAGCTCGAGGTTAGGACACTGTTAAGAACTTGACAAACCTATTTCGTTACCTTGCGTGATCAGGGTTGAAGAGCGGTCTGTCGGAGTAATCTGGGTGAGTAATTCGGTGCAACACCTCCCTCCAGCCATTTCCGGCATCTAAAACAGTCGTCAAGCGCAAGCGAGCTTGATCGGGCAAGAAACGTAATTCAGTGTCCGCGTTCACTTCGCGGTTCGAATCGCTGAACCGGTTGGCAACTTCTTGAAGCAACATTCCTTCTTGTTATGCCACTTGTTGATACTTTCGGTTCGGTGAAACCTCTATCGCGCGCACTTATTCATGAACTCAGCATCGAAGTTTTCATCTTGCACCTTTGCGCTTTCACCGTGGTGAGAACGCTACGCTCAATAACTTGACTGGTCGCACGCCGACGCTTTGAATTCGTTTTACGCGATCAGCATTTTCTCTGCGATCGCCGACAAGCGACAGCGGGGTATGCGGGAAAATTAGCCGGTCGGAAGTTGACGTCACGTGACAGAATCCAAGGAGAGAGTTCAGCACACGGAGGAAGGTTCAGCAGCTTCGAACGGCTTCGAAGTTTCTCAAGTCTAAAGCGGCTGAAGTCTCGGTCTCGCTACAACTTACACTGTTTTCTTTGTGTAGATTAGTGACATATGTAATTAGAGATTGTTACTATGGCGCCCAACAACGAATCAGCATGAAAAAGAGATTTGAAAAGTGGTACTGCTCATTGTTTTTCCTAATCTTAGGAAACTCTATGAAACAGGAAGCCTTTGAGATTTTTGGCTTATATTCACATCTAATAGGCTCTTCTCTAAGCGCGAAAATTTCGTTAAGCTTTTTATGATTTAGGCAACACGTTTGTTGAGGAAATGCGGGAGGTCTGCCTTAAATATTCAGCCAGCGCAACTAGCATAATGTTGGTCAGAAAGTGCGGGAACTTCGAAGGGGCATACGTCACCTATCTCTCGTGCTTGCCTGCATTCCCGGGAGAAACTACGAGTAATCCTTCAGCATTCTGTAAATATAGCTCTGTAATAAAAATGTCGACCCTCTTTACACCTTATAAATGTACGGTAACGTCAGTGAGTACAAAGACGGGGGAGGGGGGTCACTATTCTGGGAAATGTTTTTACATTTTGCAAGCGCATGCATAACACTCTTCACAAACGCAGTCACGAACATACATAAAGTATAATTGGACCCCTCCCGCCTCACTAAAAAATTCCTGGCTAAGCTTCTGGCAACCGGAACTTTTTTTTTTTTCTGGAGGGGGAGAACAGAGGGTTGACGAAAAATAAATACTACCTTGTACCTGCACGTGTTGCCTTTTGCTTCATTAGTCGTCACGTTTGTTTATACTCCCGTGGTGCAGATGAATGAGGCGCAAAAAAACATATCGTGAACCAGAAAGAGCAGAATAGAAAAAATAGCGCCCATGTGCGACTTTGTTTTTTTCTTTTAATTTTCACTTCGGTCCCTAATGTTATCGATTGACACGTATGATACATGCGTGAAACAAGTACTCTGGTTAGCCAACTTTCACATGCATATCTTGCCTCTTTTTGTCGGCGGATATGTTGAGCATGGTTTAGAAATGTTTAGTGTAGACAAGTTAAAGTGTGCATTGCCAATAATTTTCTACCAGGTATCATCGCTTCTTTGAAGCCACCCGCTTTTCATGCTTGACTCGACCTGGGGCGTTTCTAGTGGTTTCTGATTGAAGAAAATGCTTTATTCAGACAAAGGTGCTTTTACTCGCTGTCTTCTGCGGCCCGTGGTGGTAACGGGGGTCATGTTTTTCAGTTTCGGGTTGTCGACGATCTTAGCTCTGAGCAAAAGCACTGCTCAAAGCACTTGGCACGAATTCAGTACACTTCTTTTTGTAGATGCTAGCCCATACTCTGAAACAAAGGCTCACACTGCTGTCGTGATTGGCACGTCGGGCATGTGCATTAATGTGTGCACTGTCGGGACAAACAATATAGAGGAAGCTGAGAAGGTAGCCATAGCCATGGCTATCACCTCTAACAAACACACCTTCATATTGAGCGATTCACAAGTAGCTATCAGAAATTTCACGCAAGGACGGATTTCACAGCAAGCCCTCAGAATCCTCTTTAATAACCAAGAACTTCAAAAAAGTAGATGAACCCTAATACCTAATATGGTTTCCGGTGCACACGGAGACTGATGCTTGCAATCCGAACGAAATGGCTCACGAGTTTTCGCGAGAATTAACTCGCCGCGCAATCCAACCATACCGCTCGGTTATGATCCCTGGTGCCGCCAAAGTACCACACAAAGACCGATTCACGTGCTACACAGAATACACGCATCACTACACAGAGGCAAGGCCCGTCTTTCCCGCACCTCACCCGAGTCTAAACAGGCAACAAGCATCTGAATACCGACAGCTACGAACTCCTACCCAAATCCAGTGCACCTCCACAGGAACTACCCACATTATACCCGGACAATAAACGCAAACTATGCATAACAGAAAGGGCTTCTTATAAACATATATTGTGTGGATGTATCGACATATCAACATGTTCTCCTGAGGCCGTGGAGCGGTGGTGGCTAGTGCTGCTCAGCTCGGACGTCCAAGACCGAAATGGGCTATCCATGCAGGCCAGGTAGGCTGTACAGAGACAATGTCCCCTGGTACCGCCCTGTGCTGTCTAGCCCGGACCGCAAACATGCCGCATCATGAATAAAGTTTCTTCACTCACTCACTCAGACAAAGGTGCACATTTAATCAGCTTCCCTTGACGAAATCGGCTCGAGCATAGCGTTCACGTACATCAGTAGCATCGCCCGATGCTACTTAAGAGTGATGTTTGTTAGAGTGATGTTTCTTGGGCGAGTTGAAAATTCTTACTTGGAAGGGTAGTGCTAGCGGACATCGACTGAAGCAAGGCAGACTGACACACAAATGGACGCGCGAAAACAAGCAAACAAACAACAAAACAAGCGGTTGCTACAGCACGTCCTCTGAGTGTCAGCACGTCCTCTGAGTGTCAGCACGTCCTCTGAGTGCCAGCACGTCCATCTGAGTGTCATTGTGCCTTTGTTTAGTCCGTGCCCACTAGCACTATACCCTTCTAAGTACAAAGTTTTTTCGGGGGGAAGGGGGTTGAAAGAAGGTTTCATTCCTACTTTATGTACATGCACGCTAGTGTTTTTCTACGTGTGCCTCTATAAATACAAACACAGGTCGACAAACAATCATGAGACGACCCAATCGGACTCGCATTCAGATCGGGCCATGAGTCTGAGTCTGAATAAGTCCGGCTGAAAAAAAAAAGAATATTGGTCAATGTGAGAACGTGTGAGCCCTGGGCGCAATATATATTTCTTGATCGAGTCTGTGTGAGCTCCACGTTTCGCGGATGTGAAATGGAAAAATTTCAGGGAAGGTCCAAACCACCCTGCCCTCTCTGGCTACGTCAGCGACGCACCTAATCCCTGTGGAGCACAATTTCAAATTCAAGAATTTTTTATTATGGCACCTAGATTTATTGATTACTACATTATTATTGAAGCTTTAATTTCACCATCACCCACCGCGGTTTCCCAACCGATGACTCCTGGCTCAACACCACCTAGGTTATGTTGTCTGGCTATGCCACTGCAGGCTTCGTCCTACTGACGTGAGGAAGCCGTCCAGCTGAAATGGTCAGTCCGAAGATTCGGTCAGCCAGCCATAACAAGTACGTTGAATGAGAAAGGTGCCTGAAGAATCATTAAACGCGAGACTGATAGCCAGTGTCCAGCCAGTGTTTCATTTTCCATGCAAACGCGAAGCACAAATTGTTACCGTAACTATAGTTAGACTCTCTTCTTTTTCACCGTACAAGAACAAGAGAAAGAGAATTGCCAATAGCACACTTTATCAGCATTGTTTGATACGCAAACATACACTCGTGCAACAGGGGCGTAGGCAGAAATTTTTTCGAGGGGAGGTTTGGGAGTGGTCTCTTTGATTTAGAGTGGGGGCTGGGGAGGCAGATGTGGTAGGGTGCCATTTGCTCTCTATATGCCGAAGACAAAAAAACTTACAAAAAAAAAACGGAGGGAGGGGGCATGGGCCAGGCGTGCTACCAGTTAGCTACGCCACTGAAGCGCAGCGCCATACCCATTACTTATTTTTTTTTCGTGGGTGTTTACGAATAGGACGGATAACTTCGGCAACTGGTGGTCGATGTAAAGTTGTGTATATACTTTAATACCACCCAAAAAATTAAAGCATGAAAAATGTAAGGAAGTTTTGGAACTTCCTGGAACCACCCCTCCTAATTAGTGCCCTGAACAAGTGCCCAAGGAAAGGAAGGAAATGCGGAAAAGAGCAAGCTGGCAACTGCCTCTTAAACGGTTGCAACACTGCCAACATAGGCGTGCGTGTGCAAAAATGAGTCCCCACCCCCCTCACAAATTCTGCCCTACCTTTGAGGCCTAACCACATGCATCCGTTGCAGCGCGTAAGCGCGGGCCTTTCTGACGCAGCGCCACGTCCTCATCCCAGAAAGACAGAGAGACATGGCTAAACAAAGCTGCGCGCTCTTCATCTTAGTAGGGAGAGGGTGTGGCATCGCGTCAAAATTCGGGGCGCTCACGCGCTGCGACGTATATGCGTGTGGTCAGGCCTTTACTCAGTCAGACCTGTCGTGGAATGCTTAAAGAGCAGCGTTATGTCCACCCTGGTTTTTAACGATGATAACGGCCGAAGGACCCCAATGTTGCATTGCCAGTAGTACTTTACCACTGATATAGGCAGATCAGTGATCGTTACTTGTTTACTTCCAGAAAGCCAAGGGCCAAAGTCAGGCCACTATGGGATGCGCGTCATAGCTTCCTCATTTCATTGTCTTTTGGAGTCGACCAGCGGAGAGGGGGGGGGGGGAGGCGTTGAGATATGAAACTTGAAACTTCGGCCGCTTTGGTGGTGAACCCTGCGCACGCCTACGCCAGCCGGCTCTTTCGAAAGAAGGGAGTAGAAATAGGAGATGAGAACAATAAGATAGAAGTACGGAAGAAATGGGAAAGAAAACAAAAAGACGAATGACAGAAAATATTGACAAACTGCAGTGAAATCGCGAGAAGATGTCGACAAACGGGAGGCCAGTACCGTGCTTGAACTGGATCATGCCAAGAGATACCACAGCCCCGCCGCGGTGGTCTAGTGGCTAAGGTACTCGGCTGCTGACCCACAGGGCGCGGGTTCGAATCCCGGCTGCGGCGGCTGCATTTCCGATGGAGGCGGAAATGTTGTAGGCCCGTGTGCTCAGATTTGGGTGCACGTTAAAGAACCCCAGGTGGTCTAAATTTCCGGAGCCCTCCACTACGGCGTCTCTCATAATCATATAGTGGTTTTGGGACGTTAAACCCCACATATCAATCAAATCAAGAGATACCACAAAACAGTGCTTCAAATAATTCTTCGACAGCGCAGCCCTTGCAGCACGCATACAATACGCTCATACATGTCAAGCGTTGTGCCTTAACCCTTTCACTGTAAAAAAAATGAAGATCAGATAAGCAGGTAAAATTTGCAGAATTTTATTTCACATGGCTTCACAACTTCCAAGAAAGAAAATTGCGACAAAAATTTCATTTTCAAAGGGTAAGAACGGATGACCACATACGGTGACATTGGTTGCGAACATCGCGGAAACAGCCTCGGTAAATGTGAATTATGAATCTCAGTGCTTCAAATATTGTCACGCTTAAGGTAGCCTTGCGTTGTACTGCTCGTTGAGGTAGGCCAAAAAGCAGCTCAGTCCCAATTTCCATGTCCTCTTTCATGCGTGGTTTTCATACTCAATACCATGCAGCGTTATCCCCCCCCCCCCCCCCCCTGAAAAGCATCGACTCGCTGCTTGGAAAGAAAACAGAAACATAACTCCAACATGCGCCGACGCAGAGAATCAGAGTGTGAGTACCACACACACAAAAAATAATAATAAAGAGGACGCACCGTCACCTGTGCTTGCGTAGACACGAAAATACCTTCAAACAATCCACAGGAAAACAACAACAACAAAAGCTATCACAAAAGATCACTGTCACATTTTTTAGACAAATCCCATTGCACGGACAAATAGCATAACTCATGTTCACACAAATTTGCATGAAAAAAAAATGGACCATGAAACTTTTATTCGGGCCTAGGCATACAGCTTCGCGCTGCGTGAACTTGTCGCCATCGTTTTCTCTTGTGTGCACTCAAGTGACTAGGGACGTAGGCAGATTTTCTCGGGGAAGGGGGAAGTGCGGGCGGGGCCGGCAGATGTGGGTCATGCGTCATACTGTGCTTTGTATGCTATAAAGAGAAAAATTTTGAGGGGGGGGGTGCATGGTGTGTTACCCCTTGGCTTAGAGTTACTGTATATGCTACCTAAAGGTAGCATATACAGTATCTCTACCTTGGCTGTGCCAATGCCAATAACCAGCCGCTGAAGTTGACTTCCGCTGGTCACTCTTGGAGTACGTGTAAAGGCCTGACCGTACATAGCCGCTGCATTGCGTCAGCGTGTGGCTTTTTGACGCGGCACCACGTCTTCTGGAGAGAGAGAGAGAGAGAGGGTGCATGGCTACACGAAACTGGACACCCTCTCTCTCCATCGGGAGATGGCGTGGTAGATACGTACGCATGGTCAAAGGGCGCTGGACGACAATGGCGCGAGCTTTCAGTGGCACTGAACGACTCCTTGAGTAGTTTCTTTAGGAAGTCGTGTTCGTGAACGTGGACGCAAGTAGCGAAGAAGTTAATTAAAGGGGAGTCAGCAGGCCGCACACCCTCCCGCGAACAGGCATACTTCAATAGTCGTCTTTAGCCCTAGCACTCTTATATCTATAGGGATATACACGCCATGTAAGGACGTGGGACAAGATAAGGTGTTCAAGTGCTTCACGCGAGCTGGCACAGCTTCGAAGGCAGACAGAGACAACCACGGAACCGTCGGTTCTCCATGCTCTTAGAGAGGCCCACAGTTGTTGAGCATGGCTAGCCGCTGGCGCATATTATGCCCCGTGCACTCACGCGTACACCGTCGCTGTCAGAGTGAAATTGAAGTTTGCGTTCTTGGAGCCAAAGTAGTCGACAAGAAAGTCTTTCTTCTTCGCAAACAGTGGTTCGTTCAGCGGTAGCTCGTACCAGCAGTACCTGTGAAAAAAAAAAAAACAGCAACAACATGCTGGTTTTCTCTTTCACACATATAAAATGTCTTTCTTTTACGAAGTCGATGGTCTGACGAAACCTCGCCTGATCGCGATGAAACACTGCCAGAAACACCGAAGGACGCGAGCATGGTGAAAATATTTACGGACATCCCAGATACCAGGAGCCTTGTTCACAATGACGCCTTGTTCATTGGAAGCAAGGCTTCCGTGTGATAGCTGGAACGTCAGTTCAGTAGTTCAACTTAATCGATGTCCTACACACCAATCCCTTTCCATTCATTGTGAGTAGAATTAAAAGACTTTTGTAGCACGTTTACGGAAACATACACGCTATTATGCCATAAACGGATAAATTATATGCAAAGATTTGGCACTCGCAGTTGTGTAAGAATGTCATGTGACGTAGTTTGGTAGTAAAACTGTGCGAACCAAACAGTACCGTTACATGACCGGAAACCTGTACCCGCCAAGCATAACGAGGAGCACCTAACCACGGTCTACTTATCGAAACTTTGACCAGCCTGTCTGAAACACGTACTATACCTGTATTTATACAACTTTTATTACACATTGCCCATGAAGTTATTTTGCTTGTATTGATTGTCCGCCTGAAATGATCTTCTACGTGCTTCTGAAGGAACGTCTATACGCTGGGTGTTTTTTCGCCCTGAAAAAGCAGGGTGTCTTATGAAAATAGTTGAAATAGTTATAGCTTTTATAAAAGTCGTACCGTGTTGTAAATAAAAAAAAGCAGTTGCCTTTCGATTACCTATAACAGTAATTTGTTACAAAACATGCGCTCGTATTCAGATCACGTGTTACGTGACGCCAACGCGCAGAAAAACAGTGTTCCAGAATTGCCGTCATGGCCATGGCGGCGCTGACTCACGCTCCGACATTTAAATGGACATATACACCCTATAAAGTGGACGGGGGGATAGCCGCCGCGTTAGCTCAGTTTGTAAAGAATCGGACACGTTATTTGAAGGTCGCAAGTTTCGTACCTGGCCTCGCCGCAGTGGTCTAAGGATACTCGGCTGCTGACCCGCAGGTCGCGGGATTGAATCCCGGCTGCGGTGACTGCATTTTCGATGGAGGTGGAAATGCTGTAAGCCCATGTGCTCAGATTTGGGTGTGCGTTAAAAGAACCCTAGGTGGTCAAAATTTCCGGAGCCCTCCACTACGGCGTCTATCATAATCATATGGTGCTTTTGGGACGTTAAACCCGACATATTGATCAATCGAGTTTGGTCCTTGGCCGCGGCAAGTTATCGTTTCTTCTAGTTTTCTTGACAATTACATTACATTTACTATAAATGACTTCCCTTAGCATTATTGTCTGTTAGTTGGCTAACCTCCCTGTCCATTCGTTTATTTCTCCTCCCCCTTGCTAGCTAGCTCTTATTAATATTACGTCTAACAAAAGAAAACACGACCCATTGAAAATTTCATTTTTTTAAAACAAGACATTCGCTTGTTTTATTTGAATAGCAGTGTTATCGGAGGACAAAAACGTCTACTCCCATGTAGCTTGGGTGGAAAACGAAGATGAGACCCGGACCTGTCTGGATACATCGAAGGGAACAGAACGACTACGAGAGCCAGCGCCCACGGCACTTGCTCTTGCCCGAGTCCCTTCTTTCGCCTTTATTTGCAGCGGCTTGGATCCTGTTTCGATATAGCTTGTACAGGTCCCGATAGCGATAGACATAGCACTTCTCACAAAATTACCTAGAGGGAAATCTGGTGCCAGTGAGCTGCTGGATGCAAGGGAATGCCGGGACATGTGAGCTTCGAACTTGACTCGGATTTGTATACCTCGAAGACGCGTCTGTCTTCACGTTAAAATGATTGATTTCTTACTAAAAGAACACGAAATGAGCCATTTATTTTTCGTCATTGCACAAAACGTGTTTTGTTTAACAATGGAACCTTCGGCGTCGATGTACAATTTTACGAAGCGTAAGAAGTAACCAACGCCCACTAAACTTGGCAGGCAGACGACAAAGTGAGCATTCCCTTTGCCACTTTGTGTCGCCTGTTTCTTTTTTTTTTTCGTTTGGTTGTGCCGTCAAGGCAGGCCACGGAAACTAAGCGCTAGTTTCGGTTTCAAGGAACATGCACGCTCGTAGCGGTTGCCGGGCATCCACAAATCTTGTTGAACAGAGGGAGGTTGATGTGAATGCTCGTATTTATTGACTTCCGCAAGTCTTTACAAATAAAAAAAGTTAATACCCATGTAAAGAACTTCTGTTTTGTTCATATGTCTTTTCTTATTCCTTATTTTATGAATTTTAAATCAGGCGATAGCGCGGAAAGTGATTGACAATTGCGTTTGTAACGCTTGCCTCCGCTCCTTCTCTCCCCTCGCTCAGCGATGTTAGAAGTTGGATCGCGCTCAGTCATCTCGCACGGTTGGCGTGTCACCTACGGGAAAGATAAAGACGGCAAGTTGTGGCGGGCAGAGAACGGAAGCCGCAGTGAGCTACGCCGGACAAGTCAACCATGCAGTCGTCGAAGATTGCTTAAGCGGGCAACACATGTTTTTCGCGGCTCTGTGGTGTGCTAGCCCGGGAATCTCTAGTTCAGTGAAGGTTTTCCAGCATTTCCTAAAGGCAACGGGCGAGCACAAGAATTTGGACTCACTATTTGAGCAGGTATTGATTTTGCATGGGTACATATGAGTAAACCCAGTTCTCTGGAAGTCTGACTGGACTGACAGAAGTTCGGTGTCGCTTGACTAATCGGTGAAGACGGCAACTAAGCTCATGTCTGTAAAATGTGCTTATTGAAATACTTGAAATCGTGTTGGCTCGGCTACATAGTTTTAGTTTCTTTTATTTTTGGTGGGTAGTTCAAATGATGTAAAGTAATTATAGGCTGCTTTCTGTTCTTAAAATTCTTGTAGCAGCGTTTTGAAAACTTGTGAGTCTTATAATCGTGCCACTCATGTACACTTGATGGAATAAATGCTTCTAAAAATTATTACAAAAAATGTCGTGGAGCCGAAGTTTTGTCAAATGAGCTTTTCTTCGTCAAGGCGACACTGTTGCTCTGACGAAGACAAGTCAGCTTGCCGAAACACTGTTTCCAGCGACGTTCTTTCTCGGAAAACTTCTGATCGCTTCAAGCCGCTCCGTGCCTCTGAACATCACTCTCGTTTGGTTCTCAAGTTATGTAAGAAAACTATGCCCGTCGTCATAACAAACGTGATTGAGTCAAATAGAACGTGTCCTACTCGCGATTGTTGATAATTTTTGCATTGATTCGGATATTCTGGGTTCAACATTTGCTCACTATGTTTGTAAGTCAGTTGTCAGTTAAAACTGCTTTTATAGATTGATACTTTCCCGCTACGTGCTTGTCTGCTTTTTTTTTTTGTATACAATACGTGCAATAAAACAGTTCAATTTCTTTGCTCCGGTCAAGTTTCGTCTTACTGAGAGATCAGTCAGTTTAACTTTTGCCTCTTCAGAAAACACGAAAAAAATCAAAATTAAAAAAAAAAAGATTAAGAAAAATTTTCGAATGGCAACATCGACCGAGCGGCCAGCGTCACTGAAAGAAGGCACGAGGGCATTCCACTTGCATGCGAAGTAGGAAAGGAAGGCTTTCGCGCCAACCCTCCTGCTCTCGATTTTTCGTCCTTTTCCTCTATTTCTGGACGTTACTAGTGATGTTATGAAATACATTTTCTGTTCCTGATTTATTTCTTGTAGGATGCCCGGCAACCGCCCAGCACCGATTCTACAATCGGTGCTGCCGCTGCCGAGAGCGAATGCATGGGAGGTAGTTTCTGCACCCTGGTCAAGGTGAGTTCTTGTTTTAGAGAAGCTTTATTTACGCAGTCATATTCACATTTCCCTCTAGGTAGTTTTGTGAGAAACTTCATGACGATCACGCGTGTGCTGCTTAATGGGCTGTATTTATCTCTTTTCCCTCTCTCCTCTCTCTCTTTCATCTGCCCCATCCCCCTCCCATGCGCAGGGTAGCAAACTGGCTGCTTATAGACTGGTGGACCTCCCTGCCGTTCTTTTCCTCCTATTTTCCTCCCTCCCATGACGATAGATTTCGTAGGTACCCAAGACGATGACCCACTGAGCTGTAACACTGTTAAAGAGAGCCAACGAACAAGCGAGAGGGAGAGCAGTATATGTTTTGATCGAAAAGCAATGTGTCCAGTCACCGCTTACCGTATATATACATCTATTGAATGATGAAACTAAGGAAAAGGATGATTTGAACTTTATTCTTTCGAGTAACGGAGCAAGGTCATCGTGTGAGGCTCAAAAGCAAACATAAAGAAAAACAATCCTATGGTTTCCTCGGCAGTTAAAATTAGGCGGTGGATTGGGACATATGTCTTCATTCCAAACCTTGGTGCAAATACTTGAACTGGTATAGCGCATTACGGGGTCTGCTCGGCCGTTTCTTCTTCCCCGTAATGCGCTATACCAGTTCAAGTACGACGAACCAACTCGCCCAATCTTCAACACTCTTGGTGCAAATAGTAACATTTTCACCATGGTACACTTTGCTCACCTTTCTCCTTTGTAGAGGTCGCGGTTTCTGAGCTCGAAGTACAGGTCACAACTGCCGACACTATGGGTGGAGTTGTCGGCGGACAAGTCGGCAAACGTGACGCTCACGTGGCCTCCCTGAGGTGCCTGTTGACAGTTTTACATGCGCGCACACAGCGACGCAGGGTTAATCGGTACACTGCTGCGGTACTGTCCAATCCGCCTTCTAAGTTCCCGTGACGCTCTCTGCCGTTTTGGTAGGTTTTTGGCGTAGAGTTTCATACAATAAGGTGTTGGTAGGGTTTTGGTAGAGGCCAGGAGAACTGGCGTTGCTAAAATGATGGCCTCCGAGACCTGAAGGTGTTTCGCGACATTCCCGCTAGGGGAAGAGCGCATGCGTCGAGGCATCGTGGAGAAGGCGGATTGTGCAGCATGTTTTTTTTTTATCGTGGGGCAATACATTTTAAAAATACGATACTGCACGGTAGTTATATTTCGAGTAACCACAAGGTTATGATGTAAGTGCAATATTTAAAACAAGAAAGTGTTCGCACCTCACCGGATATTACAATTTATCTATTAATGAACTATCGTGAAGGTCCATTGATAGTACTCTTTTTTTTTCTGCAACGCTGTAGACCGCACTGAAGGAGTCTTAGAGGCATCAGCACGTCACAGGTATTTGACAAGATCTTTTCACTGCATGGTTTCTGGCTTGCTGTGATGATTAAACTCCGCTTCCACGCGCGCGAATACACAAAGCTTATACTACAGAAGTATTAAGCACGTTAATGCCTTATATAATCCGTTAAAAGTTGTTGCTTGAGAGCACATACGTTACGTGATGTCAAGGTGTTATAGCTGGTCTCGCATATTCACAGAAAATCTCGATTTCACGATCTAAGTTCGAGACGCCTGTCCATGTGCTATGTTCTCGATAATTATCCCGCATACTTGAAATTACGAGAAGTCGCGAAGTGCAGTGATTGGTTCATGTAGGCAAGCGATGATGCAGTATGATTTGATGTCTCGAATCAGCGCAGTTGAGCTGCTTTTGTTGGATATGTGATGGAATCTGGAGACATTAACTCCGCTCGCAACACAGACAAATGTGAAACAACACTCGCGAAACAAAGGTAGGAAATCTGACTGCATCACTAGGTAAATCTTTCGGGAGAAGCCCTTCAAAAGGAAGAAACCCAGTCATTTAAAATTATTACCCTGATCCACCACGTGCAGTGGTAACTCGAAGGTTGCGAAACAAAGTGAAGCGTCTTGTTGTCTTGAAGCACTTCTCCACAGATATCTGAAAGGAAAAGAACGTTTGTGAGCCGGGTTGTCAACTTTCGGACTATATGACAGCCTCTCGAGAAACCCAGCCGAAGCGTTAGCCTGAATTGTGCGCCAAAACTCGTGGCCTCTCCGACATCAAACAGCTGTGACGCAGTAAACAATAATGTAAGTGCTCTTTAATTTTATGTATTCAAATAGCTCTTATCGTCTCTGTCAGCGGCGCTGTTTTAGATTCAGCCTACATCGTTGCGTCTCTCTTAAGCGCATGATCGCGATGTGTATCGCATATACAATTCTCATCTTAATTATGACAGATCGTGTGCGCTTTTTTGGTCAGTCTATACACTTCTCTCAACTATGAGCTTCTCACTGACGACTTCTAACGACTTCTGGACTCTCGGGTGATAAGTGGAGAAGCATTGTTGTTGGAAGAACCATGCGGAAGAATACAGTCTTGGAGAAAGTGCTGATAACTGCTCTTCCCAATGGCAGCGGAGTTCATACGGTACGTAATATATCTCGTTTAGCCCTATAGGATTCATGTCAGCCGGGCTAAATATGACCAGCTCACCACACCTGTTCTTCCGCTCAATATCAGGATAAGGTTTCAGGAGGAACCTCCCTCACTCAAATACAACGTGCTTGTGCGCGGGTAACAAAGGACATCGATCTTACCTTTCTTGGCATTGGTCGACCTGTGCTCGCAGTGATCCCCGACTGTACCTGGCGGGCACACGCAGTTGCACTTCGGTCCCAGGTAGCCGCCGTGCTGGCATCGGCTGATTTTTACGTTCGGACATCTCTCTGCAATTTAGAAGTATACACACGATTGTCATAGCAGTCATGATGCGCTCGTACACTGAGGCATTCAGTTCGCCTTTGATACACCAATATCGTTTTCTTTCCCTCGCACAATAACTTCCCTCCTCGCCAGCTGTGCTTATATAAAATCTCGCAGGGGCGTCTGCCTGAGTGGTAGTTCGGTGAGTAGCGTCACCAGGGACCCGAGCTAAGAGGAGGAAATGGGGGGGAGGGGGGCGGTTCAACACCTCTCACCCCTTGCTGCGCGTGGCTTTGCCGTATCCGAGGAAAAGAGGATCCTATAGAGATCGAGCTGACGCAGGGAGGAGGATTGAAAGAGGAAGGACAGGGAGGTTAGCCAGTACTGACACAGGGAATGCGCATTATGGCCATGACCTTAATTACACATTAGGTGTATTGAGGCGGTGACCATATATTGAGGTCAGGACTATCTGTCCCGACATGGGAGCAGCTTACTACGTGCTAGTAAGCTGCTCCCATGTCACGACGGACCGAAATGAAGTTTTTTTTTTATAACATACCGACAGACCACATACATCAATAACGTTACAGCTCTGTTAGAAGAGCCACATAAGAAGCCACTTGAAGTATGTCTATGGTCGTTTTGTTGTACAGCGCAAACTATATGCGTGCCGTGGACCTACCATTACATTTGTAGAGCTGGTTGACCTTCTTGTATTCAAGGAAAGAAGCACGTTCTGTCGACGTCGTTCGGTACAGGTAGAAGGGGTCTGATGGATAAACAGCTCTTCGGTCTTGTAGCATGAAGTCGACGCCGCCCTCTACACTCTGCATGATAATGTTGGGAAAAAAAAACACAAAAAACAAAAAAAACAGTATGTCATCAGCTTGCACTGTGGCAACTCGCGCACCCTTCAAGCGCGTTCTGTAGATGAGCTTGACGACTACGGTTGCTGAGAAGCGTATAGTTAGTAATTTTATGTCGAAAACATTGAGTTAATGCACTTGTTTGTTATGCTGCAGATAAAGAAAAGGGAAAAAAAATAATGTGATTGTTTGGTGACCGGTAGTGGCACTCACACGACGGCGTTCATGTACCCTTGTGTATTTCTTAGGTTAACTTAGCTCTTGAGCCACGCTGCCGAATCAGATCTCGGAGGCCACGTAGAAAGAAGTGCGTGATTTAGACTATGTTTCGATAGGTGGCGCAACTGCCACAATTCGAGCTGCTCACAAGAAAACCATCATCTCATTTAACGAATTCATTAAATTTTCATTCATCATCGTGACACTTGTCTTTGTTGATCCTTATCTTCAGTAAGCGTACGTATGCCTAGTTAACTCTCATCTTCACTAAACATATATTCACACGAAAATCATTCTTAACTAATTGAACCATGGAACCTCTAGATTTCGTACCAGTTGTATTGGTTGGAATACGCGTTTGGTCTGAATATTCGTGAAACCGGAAGTAAGTTTTCGACCGGAAGTGCTAGGAAGAGAAACGAGGTCGTCAGTCGTTGCATCGTACCACTAAGAATGTGTAGTTCTTGTGTAGCGATTGGCGTAGTTGTAAATCCTGCGGATGTACGTAGCACGTGCCCCCGTCGATTCCATTTCGCAGAGTTACCTCTTCTCCGTCTACCGAACCGTTAGTGACGTCAACGTTTGAGGTAAGCGTGTATGGTTCCTCCGCAGCGAGTAGAATCTTGTTAGAGAGATTCGCAAACACAATGTGCGACATGCGCTGTATTCTATGACGCGTTTTGTCGACTTACTGAGTGTTACGAGACATGTGTCGTCTGCATGCAGCGAGTAACACCAGCCCCCTTCTGATGTAGCCATCTGACGCAGCTTCAGCAGCGTGGTGCCAGCTAAATTACCACAAAGACAACGTATACGATCGTTTGAACGAATTTGAAGGCTTACGGTCTGCAAGCGCGTATACCTCGCTCTCGTCGGCCATGACGGAACTCCAGTCGAACTCAAACTCGGACTCTAGCGGGTCGATCTTGGTGCGCGGCCCGTAGGCGGGACTCTCTTGGTCGAAGTTGTACCGGTACCGCTCCGGTACCGTGTCCCAGGCCACGTGGTATAACGTGTCCCGGTCGCTGTCGGCATGCGTGTGTCGCAGGCCGAGCGTGTGACCGAGCAGGTGAACGTAGCGCTGTGTCCGAAAATAAATAAATAAACAAACAAACAAACAAACAAACAAATAAATAAATCAGATCAACTGATTACTGAGTGATAGTACGAATATGCGCCATTATGGGCACGTTTTTTAAATTACAATTTTATATTACCATACTAGATTACCCGCCATGCATGCTGTTCTATAGTAGTTATGGCGCTCGCCTGCTGACCCAAAACCGCGGGATCGAATTCTCTCTGCGGTTGCGGCATTTCGATGGTGGCAAAAGAATGAAGGCCTGTGTCCTTAAATTTAGAGGTACGTTAAAAAAACTCCTTTGTGTTGAAGTTTTCGGAGCCGTCCATAAGGTGTTTCTCGTAATCATAATAGTCACATTGTGGCTTCGGAACGTATAAAATTTCGACGATTAAAATAGTTACTACGACGTTCGAGATTCACTTAATAATTGTTCTTATAAGCTGCGTTGTGGCGACATGTCAGGCATGGCTGTCTCTATTCGGTGAAGTTTAAAGTCTGACATTTCTGAAGTACAGCGCTTGGTAGGTAAAATGGGATGGTTATAATAATTTGTGTTGCAATTAAAGCGGAAATGCGCGACAATTGGCCTCCTACCTCTTTCGTTCTGATAAATTGTGACGTCATTTGTTGCTCCCTAGCATATCGGTAATCTATTTGTGGAATCACTTCCTCCACACGTGCCTCTATTTCTATAATATAATAAGGAACCCGTGTGGTCCCGATTCCTCTATCAAGGACTGATGCAGCAAGACAACTTTACCTGCTGGATTGAGATCTTACACGCACGTTCTGGTCGTCTACCAGCTTCCAAAGGTGTCACTTATATGAACTGGATCCTTCGCTCAAGATACAGCTACCATCACAACTTTCCCGCTCCGATGCGACAGTGTTATGCCGCCTTTGGTTGGGTGTTGCATTCACAAAGGTGCACTCCTTTCGCATTGGTATGGCAGACACCTCTACATGCGACTCCTGCGGAGCTGAAAAGACCACTGAACACGTCCTGTGCCGCTGCGCTTGCTACGACACGCAGCGATGCCAGCTCCGGATGGTTTTGAATCAACTTGACTCTAGACCATTCTGTGTGCAGAAGATTTTGGGACCTTGGGCATCTGCCTCAGTTGCGCAGAAAGCGACTAAAGCACTCCTACTCTACTTAAAGTCAACTAACCTGAGCGACCGTCTGTAGACTGTCTGTGCTCCCCCGAGTGTGCTCGTGATTGTATGTACCTTCTTACCTCTCTGCAACCTTTATCTCCCCTTCATTTCTTCCCCAGTGCAGTGTAGCAAACCGGATGCGCGTCTGGTTAACCTCCCTGCCTTTCCTTGCATTTTTATCTCTCTCTCTCTACGTACGTACGCTTGTGACGGAGGCGGTCCTATCAATCTCGTCACATTGAAAGTGCTATACCCATCGACATGGCGACATTATCTTTTTTTCCCTCCACAAATAAAGAAAGGCTGTGCGACCGTAAGCCTTATTCTGTCATAGACACAGTACATTTACAAAGCACAGAAGAACGTGACGTCGAACCTTGAACTCACCGTGTCGGGAAAAAACTTGCTTGGTATTCCAAACTTCTGTGCCCCTCCTTGCTTTCCGAGATAGGAGTAAGCCCTTCAAAAAGAAGGAGATAAGGAAAAAAAACGGCCAGGAAATTTAACGTATTATACTCAAAGAAGCTAAAAAAGAAAGTCAGATAACGCCCAGTGAGAAAATAAAACGTCCAACGCAGAAAGAAGCTGCTTTGCACTGTACTTAAAAGGGACATTTAGCTTGTACGTATACTTTTCAACGTTACAGTGTTACCGGAATGGCAGATGGCGATTACCGTGTTACCGGAATGCACGTTTTAGAAAAGTTTCAGCTCCCCATACGTAAACGTTTACGTACCTACGTAAGCGTGCACCTTTACGTTTGCGCAAATCACTAAATGGTGATGACGATCATCATTCATCATCAAGCTGACTACACCCACTGCAGGGCAAATGCCTCTCCCATGATCCGCCAGTCAACCCGGTCTTGTGCTTTCTGCAGCTACGTTATACCTACGAATTTTTAAATCTCATCGTCCCGCAAAGCTTTCTATCTCCCCCTCGTGCATTTGCCTTCTCTGGGAATCCAGTCAGTTGACCAGCGGTTATCCTGCCTACGCGCTACAAGCCCTGCCCATGTCCATTTTTTCTTCTTGATTTGAACTATAATAACCTTAACCACGGTTTGTTTCCTGATCCACTCTGCTCTCTTCTTGTCTCTTAAGGTTACGCTTACCATCTTCATTTCCATCGCTCACTGCGTCGTCCTCAGTTCAAGCTGAACCCTCTCCGCAAACCTCCAGGTTTTTGTTCCGTGGTAAGTACCGGCAAGATGTAGTTGTTATATACCTTCTTCTTGAGGGTTAGTGGTAGACTACCATTCTTGATTTGAGAATGATTGTTGAATATGTGATCCACCTGATACTTATTCTTCTAGTTATTTCACTTTCATGGTTCGGCTCCGCGGTTACTACCTGTCCTAAAAATACACATATTCCTTTAAAACTTGCAGCGTATCTTCACCTATTTCAAAGCCGTGTTTCCTGCCGAGATTGTTGTGCGTTACTTTAGTTTTATGCATATTAATTTTCAGTGATAACTGTTTTTAAACTAGGATTGATTTAGATAAGGCTGAATGAGGTTAAAGTCTTATTCAATCAATTTCATCAAAAAGACAAAAAGCACATCGCGTTTGCAGCCGGCCGTTGGTTGCCATGATCTTTCCGCCGTTCCTCGGCTATCCTATCCTTTAGTTGTAAATCACGAAGTCGCGGAATAACTATTTCTCTTCGGTCTTATTCCGAGTTGTAGTTCTTAATTATCATAAAGTCTGTGTCGATGTCCAGTAACATCATGAGTATAGACCTCCTGCGAGATATATTCATTCCGTTGTCTATACTGATTGCGGAATTTCTCTTCTTCAGGCCACGTTCTATTTATGTGTAGACATAAAAAGACAGGACGCCGACCAAAAGGGTGTCAAAAATGTAATAAGAGACGTTTCGGCTTCCACACGTAAGCTTTGTTCACTAAGCTGAGAAGCCGAAGCTTCCAGCTTAAATTCGCCAAAATAATTGCTTGATGCATTTTGCATACGTCAGAGGTAGCCTGACGATAGCTATGGCGTGAGAACAGAACGACGACACAGAGACAAGAAGGACACGAAGGTCTCTGTGTTGTCGTTCTGTTCTCGCGCTATAACTATCGTCATGTCATACCAACTAGCCCAAGCTGCCACACTTCTGAGTCAGAGGTAGATTGTCGGCTTTGTGGTTAAGCGTGTTGCTCGTTGTATGTATAGTTAAAGATTTCAGATAGTGCCGTTTTATGTAGTTCTTTTCTCGGGCGATAACGGAAGCATGGTCCCAGTCGAAGTAGTGGTGCATTTTTTTTTCTGCGTGCTCTGCGAGAGCACTGGAAGCGACTTTTTTTATTTTTCACGTCACTCATGTGCTCTTTCAGACGTCACTCAAAAATCTCCGCTTTCACCCACGTAGACGTATTCGCAGTCAGCGCAAGGAATCTTATAAATGATCCCAGGAAACTTTTTTTTTATTTTGTCGACGCTGACGAGCTCATGACGCAGCTTGTGGCTGGGCGACTTCGGGTTTCACCAAGTCGTGCCTAACAAAAGAAAGCAGCCCTTAAACTATTCTCCTCGTTTGACTAGTAGTAGCCACTGCCAGTGTTGTCACTGAAGGCATCCAGAAAACTTTGACCGTTGTTGTATTCTTCGTTTTCGTTTTTACGCTAAAATAATTGTCTTTTATGTCTTTCTTGAAGTCGGCTCCTTGTTGTCCGGCAACCTTGTGTGTAGCAAACACTGGTGCTTCCTCTTCACCCTCTCCCATTCCTCCTTTCTACAAGTCCTCCCGTTGCTTTCACTAATTCAATTTCACCCCGACCTCACCGATGGCTTCTCTTAATCACACTGTTCACGATTCAACAAGATTTACAGCGCATCGTCCGGCGATGTCTTGCTCCCTATCCCTATAGGAGCCACGGACCTCTCAGTTTGTGCGCAAGCGCGCATGGTTTGCCATTTGTCTTCCGGGCCTCTGACAGGCCGTGTTATTAAAAGTCGTTCAGGCAGAAAGCCGACCGTTCTTTTTTGCCCCGTTTTCTACTTACAGCGCGTGTTAGTCGTTCGCCAGTGTTGTGCAAGCTGTCGCCGAAATGACTCACCAACGAGACTGTACGAAGCGGACTTGATCCGTGTCGACGGTGTTCTCCGTCGTCTCGACAAAGCGAACGCACGTTTCTCGTTCCCAGTGTCTCATGGCGTCGCGAATATCTCGCGCAAAGTCGACAACTGAAAGAAATGTGATATATATATATATATAACGCCAGATGAGCAAATCACCGAATCCTTGAGAAAACGTACAGTCGATTCAGCCCGTAAACACTAAAAATGCTCATTTTTTTTTTTGCTTAGGGACAGGCCGGACGGTTTGTCCCCACATAGTGTTACTTGCGGCTTCACAACGCAAATCTCATCTGAACTTGAACACTCTTGAACGCGCACAAATTTCGGAAATCATTGAAATTTAACAATATAAATAAAAGAATGAAGTAATAAATACAAAAAACACAAATATATAATTTTGAACACATAGGTAGATATTTCCTACAAACGTGGAAATAATAATTACTATTAAAAAAGATAGATTATGTATTCTTCATGTGCAGTCTCTTTCCTTTCACTCTGTAAGAATCTAAATCACCTCCCTGTATCCCCAATAAGAGATTCATTTATCGAGATTGATTCGATTTCCCTATAGTGCCCACAAGGGCGCGCGCTAATGCGCTGGATAATGAACGACAACTTTTGAAACCGAAACCCACCGCCGCGACCGATTGTGCGCCGTTCTCACCTTTTCTTCCGAACGAGAACGGCACCGTAGCGTTGGGCCACGCGTAGTACGTCTCGTCCTTCGAGGTGTCGACGCCGTAGATTTGAGCCAGCTGTGGTCTGGTTATGCGAATGTCCCGCTGGTACATGTAGTCCCCGCTCCACAGCTTTCTCGCGCTTCTCACTGCTTCGAAAAACTGCGAACAGAATGAGACGGGCTTGAGCGAAGGAATCCTGTTGCAAAAGCAGTGAGTTCGTAGAACTTAAAGTGGCACTAAAGATAAAGAGAGAGAGAGAAACGGTTTTTCTGTATAGCAAGTTACTCGTTCACGATACGAAAAATGTCAGTTTCAACGCAAGGGCAAAGCGATGTATGCGAAAGCAACAAATTGTAATGTTATGTGAAGCTTTAAGCTGACAGCTAGATATTTTAGATCCGATTTGATGCAACTCTACAAAATGCTGGCGTCAGAGAATACGGCTACTCCAGGGACACTTTTCGCTAAGTCCGCTTGTGTTGAGAGCGCAGCACATGGGAAGGGCCCGATGGCTGCCGAGATCACGAGATAGAGCCCAGGCCCGTAAAATTTAAAACTGCTGTTTCAGCACCCCCCCCCCCCCACCTTTGCGTCTCTTTATGATCATTAAACATGAGTGTGTCATTTCCTCTGTGCTTGAGCATTCGACAGCCGGTCTAACAGACGGGTGGCCCTTATGCATGCGCCCTCCTACCGGTGGATATGAGCCGGTTCATTGAATTTCTGCTTCAGACGCATTGGTCGCCCCGCAGATATAGCGTACGATACGCTGGAGGATCTTATCAACTTGGCCTTTACATGGGACATGATGGCGACGGCGGCCGCAATACTCGTCGAGAGTGTCTATATAATTGCTCTTGTAATAAAATAACACGCTTGATGCATGTTGGCTGGTAAGCGACCAAACGCGCAACACGAAAACGCTGGTGGTGGCGCCACTTGAACTTTCCCACACGAGCTGCTGCGGCGTGGTAGAACTTGACAGCGCCTGCTATGGTCTACATCGTTTTTAATGAGTTATAATGAGGTACATTGCCTTCTAAAGAGCACAGAAACCTAACATACCAAGTTCCAGAAAATTTAGTTGAGCCTGCATGGCCAAAATACGAAAAAAAAAAACAGCCCGCCTTGTAATACGTGATGTCACCATTGAACATTTCAGCGGCAAATTGAAATGTTAAAACTCTGCCGTGGATTTATTTTTCACTTAATAATGAACCTATGCTCTAAAATTAACGAAGATAAAGCTCTCAGAGTGTAATTTATTAGTCCAAGCTAATTTATGAATAATTCATTGTAAACAAAGAGGTACTTATAAGAAAGATTGAACGATTTAGAATGTGATGTACAGTGTCAATTTTTATGAAAGGGAACACGGCGATGCGTAGCCTGCGCGTTCCAGCGGCGGCTGGCAGCGCGTTCAAGCGAGAGCGAGAGCAATCACAATCTCTTTATATCAGCAACGAATGGTTCTTTTGCTCGCCGCGAGATGACGCGAGAAGAGACTGTGGTTGCTCTCGCTCTCGCTTGAAGGCACTGCCAGCAGCTGCCGGAGCGCACTGCCCACGCGTCGCCGTGTTCCCGTTCATAAAAATTGACACTGTACTCTAGCTACTACGGGAAAGCACTAGGCGGTGCCAGTTCAAAAAAAAAAAACGCCAATCCGCCGATGCTGTTATTGGAAAAAATGGTTAATGATTCCGAGTACTTCGTACTCTACTACTGGAGGGCAGGAAGCCGCGTGTTAACAAATAGTGGATGACGATTTGGAGCACTATGTACTCTACTATGGGAGAGCCCCAAGCTCTCCATAATGAACGCAGTTGGAATGCGCCGATAAAGAAATCACTGGTGTTTAGAAAAAGTGTTTAACGATTTTGAGTACCTTGTACTCTACTATGGGAGAACGAAAGCTGTTCCAGGACATTTGTTGGACAATGACCTGTTTAGAAAAAGTGTTTAGAATGAATTGTCAACGCTTTAGAGCACTGCGCGCATTCTACTATGGTAAAGCCGTAAGTAGTACACGGTTGTCGGAAATCCGATGCTGTGTATGTGTGTTTAGATTAACGACTTCGAGTACGTCGTACTCAACTCTGGGAGAGCAGCGAGTTGTCCCGATTTGTGTCAATCGCTGCGTTTAGGGAAAACAAGTGTTCAACGATTTAGAATACTTGGTATTCTACTACGGCATGGCAGTGAGCCGTGCAAGACACTAGAGTGTGTTTGGAAAAAATGCTTAACGATTTAGAGTACTCGGTACTCTACTATGGGAGACCTGAAAGCCGTCTCTTGGAAGTCGCCGAAAGAGGAAACTAACTACCACTAAATGTTTAGAAAAAGTGGTTAACAATTTAGAGTACTTAGTACTCTACTATAGGGAAGTCACCACGGCGTAAAGAAAAAGTGTGTTTAGAAAAAGTTGTTGACGATTTAGAGTACTTGGTACTCTACTATGGGAGAGCTGAAAGCCGTCCTGAGACTACTGCATGTTCAGAAAAAATGGTTAACAATTTCAAGTACTTAGTACTCGACTATGGGAGAGCCTAAAGCCGTCCCGGTGGTTTGGATCGGAGCGTTTCTCTCGAACGCCCAACGAGCGTGTACAGGGGGGGGGGGGGTTAGAGAAAGTGGGTAACGATTTAGAGTACTTGGTACTCTACTATGGGGGGAGACACTAGAAAAACTAGAAATAGCCTTGATGCGATGTTATGCATTATTATCATTATTTTTCACATTCTGAAACTTGTCTTCAGGCTATGGTTTCCACAGCAAATATGAAGTTGTTGACTGCTCGTGTATGACCCTTCTGAATCGATTAATAATTGGACAGGTCGAAAAGACTACCAGAGACTGAAACTTTTATTTAATAACACTAATATCTGGGGTTTAATATCCCCAAACAAAACAAACTTTTACTTAGAGGCTTCGTCCTACGGCTTAGCTAGGAGTTACTTTTGTTCGAATTTCTCGACTCCCGCTCTCTCCACTGTGGTGTAGCATAATTTTAAACATCTTTTAAGGCATTTTATTGTGCCATTTTTGTGTGCCATTTTTTTATCGTAAGTGCCATTAAAGCTAAATGAAATAAGTATTGATGAGGTGTCCAAGATAATCTACGGCGAAGTGATCCTCTTCAAAGACAAGAAAATACAATGTAAGCTCTGAGTTACTAACTGCAGTAAAGCGAAGTGAGAAATGGTCACCGTCGGGTGAGCACGCTCTCTTACCTTTTCCCTGTCACTCCTTTTGTCTGTTTTGAAGATCGTGACTTCGGGTACTTCGGTGTCTGTCGTGACTTCGGTCACATGGCTTCTTGCGATTGTGTTTTCCGCGTCTCCGCCGCTATAGGGAACGGTGGCCTGTAAAAAGATGTGGATTACCGCATTAGTGAGGCTTTTATGTGCGAACGACTCAGTGAGCTCACTAGCCCCGCCGCGGTGGTCTAGTGGCTAAGGTACTCGTCTGCTGACCCGCAGGGCGCGGGTTCGAATCCCGGCTGCGGCGGCTGCATTTCCGATGGAGGCGGAAATGTTGTAGGCCCGTGTGCTCAGATTTGGGTGCACGTTAAAGAACCCCAGGTGGTCTAAATTTCCGGAGCCCTCCACTACGGCGTCTCTCATAATCATATAGTGGTTTTGGGACGTTAAACCCCACATATCAATCAATCCATCAATCAATCAGTGAGCTCACTTGTAACCATGCATGTTTCAGGCTGCTGGAAAAGTATTTCGACGCTCGCCTTTGCCTACAATATAGCGTACGCGCTGGGAACGTAACGGCGAGGGTATTCCAATACTTTAGAGAGAAAGCTCTACTATGTCGTCTCCCAAGGTCGGTCATCGCGTCGCAGCGACCTTGAGCCACCGGAGCGAGTGTGTGGCTAGTGTGACGTCACGCCACGTGGTCCGCTGAGGAAAGAGGTTGCAGCTGCGCTCGCTTGAAGCCTCAGTGCTGACGTACCACGTCACTAGGAGAAGGTTTCAAACACTGCCTGCACAGTATTTGCAAAATCGAGACAAAAACACCTTTTGCTCCTGATAGTGATAGGTTTACAAAAGGAATAGTTCGAGCAGTTTTTTTTGTCTGTAATAAATTGTCTTTACGAAGCTTGCATTTATTTGTATTTTTTTCGAAGCGCTGAAGGTCAGAAGGAAAAGAAAATTCGATAGCTCACAGTATTAGCATCTACAAATGTTTGCAGTGTTTTTTGTATGAATCACAATAAATTCAAAAAAGAAACAAAACTGAACGTTATATAACTGTTCTGGATACATTTACTTCTGATGCATTTTCGCATCACACATGTATATGGGGTCGAGTGCGAATTCAGTTGTGGATGCGTAAGTTCAAAGGCTCACTTGCGACTGATTTTTATTTAAAGCAGTTTGGTAGTTTTAAACTTTACTTTCTGTGTAACTTCACATGGGCATAGTCAAGAGTATCCACAGCGTTAAGAAAAGCTTGTCTAACGCTTTAAAGAGGGATTTTCCTGGGTACGACAGAGAACACGTTCGTACAGCCGGCCAAAACTTTAGCTATTGTGCGCAGTGGCCACTTTTTTTTTGTCAGCACCATATTATGACGAAGTTACAAAAAATATCATCGTGGACATGCGCTTTATGGGCATACACTTGTCCTTAATTCAACTGAAAATGAATTCAACCGTTAGAAAATATACATAGAAAAACTGCCACTCATGCACGATAGTTAAGGATATGACCGACTGTATGCACCGGCTTATCGGCTACCGTATTGTTCGAATGTAATGCGAGCTTTCTTTTTTTTCAGATTTTCGCCAACAGAAGTAGACACTCGTGTTACAGTCGAATACCGTGATACTTTCTTCCTGGACGAATGAAAAGTCGCCCCTCGAGTTACAATCGCGTTCACGTTACGATCGAGTAAATACGAAGCGTGGAAACATGGGCAAGTTGGTACAACATAACTGAATATACGAACAGCGCAACTTAAAAGTAGTTACAGTGTAACTACAGACGCGAAGAAATGAGAACAGAAAAAAGCGCTTTTTTTCTGAGGGCAGAAAAAATACGACAATAAAAAATTGGCACCGTATCTGCATGTTACACCGCAAATGTCATCGAAAGATCATAGTCTTGCATCTGGAGAGAGTGAACAAAACGTTTATTTGATGCTCTGCGCAAGAAAAATGGTGAATGGTACTCTGAAGGCGCTGTGTTGGGGTGCCCCGAAGCGTGCAGTGGAGGCGAACGTGCGCAATTAAGTCACGTCACACGTGAGTCATCAGCGCTATCTGGCAGTTATCTTGGCAGTTATCTTGGCAGTTATCTTGGAAAACGAAGCGCGGGTCGTGCGCGCCTGTCTCGGATGCGATAAGGTGTAGAACGCAAGGTGACGGGTAGGTGCCACCACCGTGTCGTCTTAGCAAAGCGTTGGAAATACTTGCCTTTTCATGCAAGCGTTGCATTGTCAGCGCAGCGCGATAAACGCTACGGTCCTCTAAAATTACTTAAGTATGTATTTTCTAGTAAAAAGACACACATACAGAATATTGAAGCGTCGTTAAGGTGCCTCACATATGCGAAATAATCGCTTTCTAACTGACAATCGCACAAATATGAACGCTGAACCTTAAGCAATATTGGTGGGCGCTGCGGATGGGGTTGGTCATTTGAAATACTGTTTGGTGCCGTTTGGAGTATAGTTATGGCGACCAAATAGAGAGTTTACAGACAGACCCAAAACTTTTGCGTCGAAGGTTCCCAAGAAAGACTATCGACTTCAAAAAATAGCTCTCTGGAAGGTTGCGGGTCACACGTGTATAATGCTCCTCTAAAAAAAACCGAACAATTTTAGTCTGCAGATGTGTGAATGTTGGTGTAACAGCCAAGTCGTGTTTGTGGGTAATATATTCGACCCGACATATATTTCTTACAGTACAGCTATATTCTGTTTACACGGAATCATTTTCTTTATTGACGGAATTGTTTCTTTTCGACGTGCTGTTTCTGTTGAAAATAGGCTGCAAGAAAACGCTCATTCTTTGTCCACTTCCGTTCACGTCAAAATTTGTGTTCATTAACATATATTAACGCGCGGAATACGAGATTAAGCCCTGTTGCGTTAATCTCGGAGGCCGGGATTATTTCAGATTAGTTTTGCAGAATCTTGTAAGGTGGCGGTAGGGTTAAAAAATGAAAATAGAGCGCAAACCGTTCGTAGCACCCAGTTGCTGGCCCTTGACTCATTTGCATAACTCTACACGTCCATAAGTTTTGGGTTGTCGATTATTTCACCATCGCGCTGCCGATTGCTACATTCCTGGCTAGCTCAATTATTAGAGAGATCGCGCCAAAAATACAATGGTTCTGGGTTCGATCCCCTGACCAAGACAAATTTTTCAGCGACTAAGAGGCTTTCCTTTCCGAGGAATTGGTGTCTGCGGCTTCGTGCTAAAAACGGACGATTGTCATTTTTTCCCCCTTTCATCGCTGTATATTCGCGAATTCTTCCAGCGACTCGCCCAACTTAGCCAAGTTGCATTGCTAAAGGCGTTGAGTAGCGCATGTTTTCCGGCAAGAATGCGGACAGAATTTTTTTCTCTATTTTTTTTGGGGGGGGGGAAGGTAGGGGGACGTCATCTACATGTCTGTTCATGGTTGGGTTTGTATGTAACCACGCAAAATTCAGAAATGGCGGGAGGAAAGTGGGACCCCGCCTGTTCCACCGTGGTAACACGATTGTTTTTTTTTTGTGTCCACATAGAATTATTTCTCATTTTATGCACACGACTGTTTTTCTCTATTTGCATTACTACAAAGCAAACAGCAAACGCCGCGACCGCTTCCTGGCGTTGTCTTGTTGTTTCTGTTCATTTCGATAAAACAATAACAGTATTAATTTATTGTCTACAAATTTTTTTCTGTAGAGTTTTCTGCACAAATGAGATTACCTGTCACTTGCAACTTCAAGTATATCCTGTGGTCTAGACAGTATGAGGCTTGTGGGCAGTACGTACAGGTGGGGTCGTCTAAAACTCGTCCCGCGGCTGCCTTCTGACGACTTTTTTTAGTACAGTTGCTTCAATCTCGTGTTTTGTTGTGTGAAGCTCACCCGGATACATTGAACTCGCAACAACAACAAATAAAGAGGGGGGGGGGGACTAGTTCAATATATCGGACAATTCGACATACAACTTCGAATAAAATTTGCCTGACCACATGTAAGTATGATGTCTTCGCAAAAATATGCGTTTTTTTCTTTTTCTTCAAAATTTTGTATCATTTTGTGGCTTGTAGGGGTGACATACGTCGGGGAGTTGTACGCGAGGAAATACGGCATCAAAATAAAGGCTGCCTCTTGACCTTCGCCCACAGCTGTGTTTACTCGTCGGGTGTCGAAAGCGCCTAGCCTTTGTTAACAACAAATTTAGTCCTGTTCTTTTTTTTTTAAATGATACTTAGCGTGCTCTTATACGGATGCTGTATGTAGCCGTTATGTAAGGATTACTTTCTCGAAGTTCAACTACATCGTTTATTACCAACATTACGGAGAAGAGCAGATCATTCTGTTGCACGGCATCCATCGCGTTAACAAAGGAGCGCTGAAGCGAAGGGCGAGCCAGCACAACGTGCCGTCGACGAAACGAAGAGGAAGCGTCACGGCACATGGCCTCCGATATGGTGGGCACGCGGTGTGAACTCGCTGCGCGCTCGCCATCTCGGAGGCCATGCATGGCATGCGGTAGTTTTCACTCTCTCCGCGCGGCGTCGCACTGATCACAACGCTCGGTCTCCCAAATACACGCGAAATTTATTTATTTATTTATTTGATTTGCTTGCACAGATCCGGGATAATCTACTTCTTCGAGGAAAAGCCAACTATATTAAGAGTGACACCCTCTGCCCGATGTCCCATCAAACGCTCTGATGTTAAATGTCAACCCATTTTGTTTTACTCCTTGCTATCTACTCAATTATCACCTAGTTATGAAATAAAAAAGGTCTCCGTGACAATGTTCTTTTCCTAAAATCTGGGACCTGCTGTTTTTAACGTGTGTCATCACGTGACTCCTTAATACATTTTGAATTAACTTGAATCGATAACAAAGAGATCAATTTAAGTCAGTTCTTGTCATTTAAACCAACCACTGTCACTGAAAAATGTCTCATGAGCACTCCTATGAGCAAATGAAGCTGTTTTGCAAAGCAAAAAAAAAGTGGTAATGACTTACATTGTTTTTAACAGGTGCACTAGTAACGAAGCTGACAACCACGACAGAGCTGAACGCGATCAGGAACGCCATCTTCGTACGGTGAGGAATATCTTGAAAATCTGGAAATTTTGAAAAAAGAATGAAGCATAAAACAGTTCGTGCGTGCACAACTTCATAAAAGCACGTGCCGCTGCTTCATCAGCTCTGTGTGCCCGTTATATCGAAATAAATGCAGGCAACGCAGAAGTCAAGCAGTGGATGGCATATCAACAGGAACGCTCCAAGAGGCGTGATGAAGGTGTTTATTCGTGTCGTAATCACAGGGCGAGCCGCTGTCGCATTGAGGCGCACCTGACCCTTAACTGTCAAGATGCTTTCATATCGGCAATTTCACAATGCGCGAGGGAATTTCACAATGGCACGACTTCGGGTATATTGTTGCCCAACACTGCGCTTTCCGTCAAGTTTCTCAGTTTGTAGACCGTTCATCCTTTTAGGGGCGAAGCTCCTTAAGGCGTGGGCTGTGCGTCCCCTGTATGTAGCCACCTCTCGTTCAGTTCTTGCAGTGTTCACTAGATGGCGGTACTTGTAGCTGACGGCATTAAGTATTACGCTAGCCACCGCCCGATCTAAAGGGTACAGCCATATCCATCCATCCATCCATCCATCCATCCATCCATCCATCCATCCATCCATCCATCCATCCATCCATCCATCCATCCATCCATCCGTCCATCCGTCCGTCCGTCCGTCCGTCCATCCATCCATCCATCCATCCATCAATCCATCCATCCATCCATCCATCCATCCATCCATCCATCCATCCATCCAAAAGATGCAAGATGTTATAAACTAGACGGCGGTACGTGTAGTTGATTATGAAAGATGCGAGGTGTTATAAAATAGGAATGATGCCACATATGGCGCGTGTCATCGTTCGATATAGTGCGGCGACGTACGCTAGGGGGAGCGTTGCAATAAAATCGAGTGGGCAAAATGTACGGAGGATTCATGGTTTACCAGGTTTACCTCCGGAGCTTCGCCCACTCATCATCATTCACTTCGTGGATATGGCGGCACTTTTTTTTCTTTATCGCTTTCATAGCCAACCTATCTTGGTTTGTGGATCGTTCCTTCTTTTTTTTTTTAGCTTTCACAGCCAACCTATCACCACGAGTGAGTCATCTTGGAGACTTGCACTGTAGTATTCCTTATTACTTGTGGGCTGATATAAGCTGCTGCCGAAAAGATTATTTCAGGTAAATATCAGAATGTATCTTCAGGAATTTATCTCAATAATGTTTCTGTAGCAAAAGAAAATAAAAGACACACCATCTTCCGTTAAAGGAAACAATGTGTAGATGCCAAGCAGTGGACGCTAACGCTTACACTGGCGGCGACGTTGACGCTATAGCGCTCATCGTGGCGTTGCGCAGGAGGGAAACCTGGGGAGGCGCAAATCACGCAGTAATGGACCGGTGTCTCCTACAGGAACATGCCAATCGCTGCTAATTGGCAATGAGAGACAGAAGACTTCAATTGGACGCTGAGATTCGGAGTCCGCTTTTAGTTAACGCGCACCCAGCGAATTTTTTATTGCTCATCAACACACAAAAGATATCTCCCACCGACACTACTTTGGAGGTCAAGATACGGGGTGGCCAGTTAATGGTTGTGCAGCGCGAGCAGTTGGTATTTTCAATCGAGAAAACAAATGGTACTCTTACCGTGAGGCCTACGGGACGGCTTTAGGCTCTCCGATAGTGCAGTACCAACTACTCTAAATCATTTACCATTTTTTCTAAACCCACCAACTCGCTAGCACACGCGGCCTGCCTCGGTGTTTCGAAGCGAGATGCGGGGGAACGTGGGAGAGGAGGAGATGCGCATGCGCAGTAAGGGTAGTCACGCCACACACCGGATTGAGCTCGACCATAAGAAGCTTCGTATAAAAAAAATAGCCTCCACTGCGTGGAGCGCGCTTCTTTACAACTGGATAAAGCTGTACAGCCATACAACGGCGTAATACGCCTTGATAGGCGCCATAGCTGCCCTGGCATTAAAGCTCCTTCTGCTTTGGAACACACCCAATGCCGTTGTAATTCATCTACCAATCTAGATGACGCAACAGCATGCATTAGACATATCATCCACCTTGCTTGTCATTTGATCCTGCGGAAGCGGTTATGTCGGTTTTCTGTGCGTGCCTCATGGCGAAATGGCAATATTGTAGTCGTGCTTTCTTCAAAGACAGTGACAAATGCAAAGAGTGTTCGAGGCTGCTGTATACGTGTTAAAATCTTTATGTTGACACGCTGGATACGATAACGATGCTAGGCGAGCGAGAGATTTCCTCTCAAGCGGGCAACAGCCACCGTGATATCGCATTCAGCTGCACAAAGTATATGTCGGCCGCTCAATTTGAAGCTGAAAGACAGATAAGATGAAAGTCCTCATGTTTATCCTTTCGTAGCGATACACGCGTTTGTACTCACAGGCACAGATATTGCACTTTTGCAAACGGCAACTGCATGTACAGCTTACATAAATATGCTAGAGCGAATTATTTATAGTAGTTTTCAGAGCAGTGTATATGAAGCGATCTGGCCGCGTCTTTGTATCACTGCGACAATTAAAAAAATAATACTGTTTTTCATCGCTCAGTTGTAGAGTAGTAAAATGCGTATTTTCGTTTGGAACTTCTATTATTAGGGGTGGTTCTTACGTCTGTAAAGTGATGGTAGAGGTAGAACACTGTCCAAGTGCTGTAGTCTTTATTTAACATATTATTTGAAATGTAGCAAACCTCGTCAAGACCGAGGCAATGATTGATTAACACGATTTCTTCGTTGGCACTCTGTGATGTGGTACGTCCAGGTTAATCCTTTCTTACTAGTGCGCCGTTTATATGAGTCCATAGTTCAAATATTAGGCTGAGATATACTTCAGCCGTGTGTAAATTTGTTTTTGCATTTACTTTCTTACATTTACATTTTTACTTTCTCTGACCAGCTTTCGAAATGAAAAAAAAAATAGCGTGACCAAGGCGTGGTTATTAACACTGATGCCGCAGCACTCACAATAAAGAGTCAAAAGCGTGCGCGCTTGAGAGAGAAAGAGAGATAGATAGATAGAGTCAGGAAGTTAAAACGTGGAATAATATACATGTCATACTTGTATGTGGTGCTACTTTCAAAGACACTGTCATAATAATGCAATAGAAAACAATGGCATGTCCCTATCTAAGACCGTGGTACGTTGCCAAAGTGCAATTGCAGTTCACACAAGAAGCAGTGCCAGAAAAAGAAGCGTATAGGAATGGCTCCGTGCACGAGGTAATTCGAAAGCCACCACTATACGTGTGTATGATGACAGCAAGTAAAACACCATATTTAAACTATGAATTGATTAAACTACTGATGTTCGGCACACTCGCCCGAAGAGAGACTTATAAGTTGCTGCCCGAACAACACAGCTAAAGAAACTACGCACTTGCGTTTATGCATTTGGCGGGTTCTACTACACTTGCCCGCACAAAGTTGAGTGCTTCAAGCCCTGCGTTAGAAATAATGTACCACTGCGTATTCTTAAGGTCCGGACCTGGGTTTGCAAGACTGTACGGCAACAAAAATGGCATACTTGACCTAGTTTGATTCAGTGCATGTCAAAACAGCGTTGAGAACCGTACATAGAGAAGTCGCACAGATAAATGAAATGCCATGAAGCGTCTTGCATTCGCAGTCTTTCTCCTCTATGTTGTCCGTGTGGTTTGCGCTAGACTTTCCGCGAACACGCAAGAACAGAGCGAGCGAGAAGCCACAACGTTTCGTGTTAGACGCGAGGTTTGAGATTCACCGACTTACCTATTCGCACCTTCTAGACGATCGTCCACGCGAATCGAGAATTGTGTCGGGACGCGCGTGATTGCCCTTCATGGAGGGCGTCACTGTACTGCAAGGGCGCTCATTGAAGTCGGCCACGCCGCCTCGCTGGTTCTTTAACGGATGTATGCAACTCTTGCCGCTTCCTTCGTCGGACGAGGAAGTGGCGCTGTCTCGCCCGGATGCGGCTGTAATATAGATGCGTTTTGCCTCTCATTTGCCGCCCATGACGTTCGCTTGGAGTTCGTTTACAGTTTGAGCTGACGTCACATTGGATCGTCTCCAGGCCGCCCCTTCGAGCTCGTACTGCAGTATACGAGCAGCGCTGGAGAGCCATGCCGCCGCTTATCGCCTCGTCAGCGTGAGATGTTGTGTCTGGCAAGCCGGGGCGCGAACCAACTGGGTTTTCATTAGGGGCACGCATAAGCAGACCCTGGCTTCGGGCTACGAACGGGCCCGGATGTCCCTGCCCTGGGATCCGGGTGTCTGTAATAGCTACTGAGACGAGGTGAACGAATGCATCAATAGGATACCGTAGCGTATACTAGCTGAGAGCCGGATTTCGTTCAAGTAAGGACTGTGACGCTCTCGGATCCAGTAACACAGCAGACCTCAGCAAGTGTGCAGTAACACGGGCTTGTTTGTTAGTCGAGGTCACTTCGGTTGGCGTCTACTGCTTTAAAACGGCCCGTTTTTTTTCAAGAACGCGCAGCGCAAACCGAAATACACCAGTGCTAAAAACTAACTACTGAAAGTGTGGACGCAAAAGTCACAGCTTACTATACGGTCACTTGTATAACTCAGGATGAGCGCCCACTTAGTTTACAACTCTTTTTTAGTGCGCCTCTTTTGGGCTGTCTTGATAAATGCAGTGTTGGTGACTGTACGTATTGTATCTGTGTGTATGTGATCGCTGTACACGTATATAATTGTCATGGACACTTGGGGCAGCAAGCCAGGGGATAAACAAGGCCGACATCCCCGGTAATACCGTTCAACGTTGTTAGATATCTCTCTGCTGAGCGTTTTAGAATGCACTGACCTGGGATAAACTAAACCGTTTCTGTAGTGTAGTAAGACCACACTTCTGCGTGTATGGCGTTTCTCCTCATACAGTTCTCCCTTGCATAGTCGCTGCAGAAAGTGTCGAAGACGAGTCTCATTATCTCAGGACATTGCCGACCATCAGGTCACTGGTTAGCTTACTTTACGAGTTTCTGCCTTCAGACAGACGGAGGGGGGAGGGGGCAAAAACGACAACACAAAACAAACAAATCCAAAAATGCACGCACAAAATGCAGGCGAGCACACGCACACAATCCTGCCTGGCACGTGCATGCGAAGTATCGCGGCTGAGCGCTCACATTGGCTCGCCCCACCACGAGCCAACAACCTCCGATCGTCTGGACTTTCTCCACAAAATCTTTACTGCTAATAAACAAAATTCAATCAGCGACATACCCTGAGGAACAAACGCCACCTACCGTGAAATCCCGGGCAAGAACTCCACCCTCACCCACCCACGGTGACGGATAATCCGACAGGATTAGAGGGGTAGGGGCGGGGAGGGGGGCTTGCTGGGTCATGAATCAAAGCTCAAGATGATAGAGTAAGAGTAGCCAAGAATAAAATAATACATACCCGTGCTTCTAATGAAATGCTTTATTGAACACGCATGCATTCGCCGTTTTCATTCACCCTCGTCGGGCGAAGAGAAACTGATCGAAGCAGTGGAAATGGTGCGGAGGTGGAGGAGAGGCCGTATATTTAAGATGTCTCGAAGAAAAAGAGTGGGGTGCTTGCTCGTGTATATGAGCGCATGCTGAGGTCTTTACGGTGGTTTAACTTTCTGTCGATCCTGCCACCCGGTTCTTGGCTGATCCCCCTTTGTGGGTGTGCGCCAGTATTATATGATGGTGATGACGATGATGATGATCATCATCATCATAATCATTGTCACCATCATCACCATCAGCACCATCATCATAATCATCATCAAACTGCTGGGGCAACGCACTGAAGATGCATGCCTTCCACCGCAAATATCTCGACAGCAGGCTGTTTACTTTAGTACAACACAATAAAGAGTCATGCCTCACCAATACTTAGATATCAGTCTTCGGTAAAAGGAAAGCTTTTGTTCGGCCGTTGATCTCACATAAAAAAAAAAGAGCTACCGAAGTGAAGGGGAGAGGAGGCAGTACTTCCGCTTTAAAAGAAGTCAATGTCGAGAGTAGAACTTTCGGCGTAATGGAAAAAAAAAAAACGTAATTCGCATTGAATGTAAGAACCTTCATTTTTCTTATAAAGACAAAAGGAATGGTATATGGTTCAGCGTGATGCATCGAGGGGCTCAAGAGCTGGCGGCTTATGCTCGCTCACCCACTGCTCTTGAATGTCGACTACTGAGTGGGGCGAGGGCTAAGCGAGGTCGTAAATTGTGCCTTCCTTTAAGCGGGAAAGCCGGCTTAGGTGCACGCGATCAACCTCAGGATCCAGATAACCTCACAGACGCAGCGGCAGCCCCGCGGGATATTCATAAATAGTCTGCACAAACAAAATTTGTATAACTATTTTAGAAACTAGTTTCTTTTTTCCGTGCCGGATGAAAAATTCAAAGCACCCAATTCTTTCTACTCATTCCAAATTGAAGAGGAAAGAAAAAAAAGTAAAGTGTTTGGTGGCGGTGAGTCATTTTTACGGAATGCCAGACGACTTTTTTTTTTCTTTTAAAGCAGCACCTATGGGTTCCAATGCTCTCGATTTATCTTTAAACAAACGTGCGTGCAGTGCCCCTCCACAAGCTTATAGGGAAGTTTAGGTGGCTCTACATCTTTGCCTTTCTCGACTACATTTCTCTCTCTCTCTCTCTCTCTCTCTCTCTATAAATATATATATATATATATATATATATATATATATATTAAAAAAAATTAGCCACCCTGTTTACGAGATGTCTCCTGACGGAAAGAGTACCAGAGTCTTGGAAGAACGCTAACATCATCCTAATACATTAGAAAGGAGATGACAAGGACTTGAAGAATTACAGGCCGATCAGCTTGCTCTCTGTAGTATACAAGCTATTTACAAATTGCTAACAGAGTAAAGGAAACAATAGAATTCAGTCAACCAAAGGAACAAGCAGGATTTCGAACAGGCTACTCAACAGTCGACCACATTCATACTATGAATCAGGTAATAGAGAAATGCTCAGAATATAACGAACCACTATACATAGCCTTCATAGATTACGAGAAGGCGTTTGATTCAGTAGAAATATCAGCCGTCTTGCATACACTGCAGAATCAGGGCGTCGATGAAGTATATATAAACATCATGGAAGAAATCTACAGGGGATCAACTGCTACCATAGTGCTTCATAAAGAAAGGAACAGAATACCAATCAAGAAGGGTGTAAGGCAGGGGGACACAATCTCCCCAATGCTATTTACCGCGTGCTTACAGGAGGTTTTCAGAAGCCTAGAATGGAAACAGTTAGGGATAAGAGTACCTTAGTTAGGAGAGTACCTTAGTAACCTGTGCTTCGCCTATGACATTGCATTGCTGAGTAACTCAGGGGACGAATTGCAACTCATGATTACGGAGTTAGACAAGGAGAGCAGAAAGGTGGGTCTTAAAATTAATCTGCGGAATACGAAAGTAATGTACAGCAACCTGGGAAAAGAGCAGTGCTTCGAGATAGGCAATAGTGCACTTCAAGTTGTAAAAGACTATGTATACTAAGGGCAGGTAATAACCGCGGAGCCAAACCACGTGATAGAAGTAACTAGAATAAGAATGGGGTGGAGCACATTTGGCAAGCACTCTCGAATAATGACAGGTAGATTGCCACTATCCCTCAAGAGGAAGGTATATAACAGCTGTATCTTGCCGGTACTTAGCTACGGAGCAGAAACCTGGAGACTTACATAGAGGGTTCAGCTTAAATTGAGGACGACGTAGCGAGCGATGGAAAGAAAAATGGTAGGTGTGACCTTAAGAGACAAGAAGAGAGCAGAGTGGATTAGGGAACCAAAGGGGGTTAAGGATATCATAGCTGAAAACAAGAAGAAATGGACATGGGCCGGGCATGTAGCGCGTAGACAGGATAACCGCTGGTCATTAAGGGTAACTGACTGGATTCCCAGAAAAGGCAAGCGGGTTGGGGGGAGACAGAAGGTTAGGTGGGCAGATGAGATTAAGAGGTTTGTGGGTATAAATTGGCAGCCGCAAGCAGAGGACCAGGTTAAGTGGCGGAAGATGGGAGAGGCCTTTGTCCTGCAGTGGACGTAGTCAGGCTGATGATGATGATGATGATGATGATATAATAATGAAATCTAACAGACAAAATGCCAGGAAATGTATAGAGGAAGGTATTAGAATTAATGTAATGTAAATAAGAAGAACGAAAAGTGGGTGAAAAAATAACTTGTCGTGAGCAGGAATTGAACCTACAAACTTCGAATAACGCGTTCGATGAGCCGTGATAGCTGATTCTAAGCCACTTCACGTACGAGGCAGCAATGCACAACTGGTCTAGAACAGAGTCCGAGACACTGAATGTGCTCCTCAGGAAAGTTTTCAAGAAGGTCCTGGGCATACATACCAGCACCGAGCGTCTGCTTGAGCTTGTCATTCACAACACGCTCGAAGAAACAGCAGAAGCCCAAAAGAGAGCACAGTTTGCAAGGTTATCTCTACAACAAGGTCGGGGAGGATGATCCTGCAGGAGCTGGGCCCACACCCAATGGCAATTAGACGCAATTACAATGATATTCCCGACAATATCAGGGAGGATATCACGGTATCTCCTATACCACAAAAAATGCATCCAGAACACAACATCGGAAGAAGAGTAGCGAGGGCCAGGACTATACTTCGTCAAGTCTCAAACGAGGAACGAGGGGTCGTATTTGTTGACGCGGCTTCCTACGCCAATGGGAAAGCTTTTGTGGCAGTGCTGGCCGTAGAGGCTGGTCGTGTCGTCAACTCAGCGACGGTCAGGGCGAAAGACCAAATCATTGCGGAACAGGTGGCCATCGCCTTAGCACTCAAGATGGATAACATTAAAGTTGTCTGCAGAGATTCCATGGCAGCACT